CCAGCGTTCTAGCTACAGGTTCATTATCTAGCATTTCTAGGGAAGTGATCTTGGGGATTATCATATTGTCTTCAACTAGAAGTAAACATTACACGAGGTATACTATGTTAATAGCTCAGCAACAACCTATTCTTCCGACGGGTTAAATCTCCATATTTTTGGTCGGGAACCAAATGCTCTTGGTTGAGACTAACATAATCGCGTCGATACTATTTTATTAGCATTATGTCCTCACGTATAATTTGAGTGCTCATTTAATAAGGCTGGTTCATCGATTGGTGCGCAATTCTGAGCGTAAAAGGGTCAGGTGGACGGTAAGGGCGGTCATGAATGTTACCCCCAAACTAGGTCTCTCCAAATAGGGGGCAACTATTATCATTGTGAAAATTGATTTCTCATATTTTAGGGTTTTAAATCGACTACACTGACAATAAGAATTATGATGTATGATAAGTAAGCTACTCCTAATAGGTAGCTTAGATTCAACCATAAGGCAACTCGCAAGTTTACTACCTAAATCCTTGGGGACGTACGACTAAACAGAAGGCATTTGTATTATAGCTAAAAGTAGGCCAACAACGTTGCTATGGCAATTTCTAAGGGAGAAGAAAAATGAAGAAAGTGAAAAGTGAATAGTCCATATTACTAAGGCCATTGCTGTTAATGAACGATCATGATAGCTAGGTAGCTATCAACATGAATCGTGCTAAAACATAAGAAAAGCTTGCGTTCTCGGTGCCCCACAAGGACCCCAAACTAGGTTGTTTTAAGTACAACTTTCATATCCCGTCTAGAATTAGTCTCTATGATAGTAGAAAATCTAAATAAATAGTTGTCGTTTTATTAATGGGGGGAAGGGTTGCTTATAAGAGAAATAGTCTGTAGTAGCCCACGACTGTGCCGATGACGCTTCACTTCTGTACACCGCTCCGAGTTTCCAACACTTTCGGCCCCGTCATTGAGTTATCATGGAGTATCATTGCTGCTGGAGACATTTCGGTATTTATTTCTATATTTATCTACTAACGAGTCTCCTAGATAAGGCCATTTTATATGTAATATGTACAACCACACATGTCTGTATGCCACCTCGCTTAATTCTAAGCAATTCTAATGGCCTATACCTATACCCAGATTGCCGATCTCTAAGTCCCCGACAAATGATAGGTGTTCGAGGCATGTGAAGGGGGTGATGAATTTGAGGAAATGAATCGTGACTACACCATGACAGGGCACTTATTAGGCAGGCAGTACGCAACACGGGTTGGGGGCAGATAATATCAGCTTTATGCCATAAAAGGGTTGGTACAGTATCTTATTGTGAGTACCTATATCGGGTACGTATAGGAGATCTCGTCTCCGGTAACCAAAGATAAGATGCCCTGAAAACGGGACGATAGAAGTAATGTTCAGGTACAAATAGATAACATAAAATAGATTCAAAGATTTACAAAGTGAGTATACTGTATAATAGAAGATGCATTAAAGATATTACCGGCAGCGAAGTAGAGTATAAAAATGGTTGTACGTGCCAAAACGACATCACAACAAGATGTATCAAACTATCGGCCAGCACCGACCTACAAGAGCAAAGCTATTGGACAGTCTAATTTGAGCAGAAAGTATACTAAAAGTAAGACAGCATTGGGAAGTGTGCTTGAAGTATTGGGTGGCCATTTAGCGTTATACTAGGATTGTGTGAATATGCACCAACATACACGCGCTAGCAGAGAGTTCGACGAAGCACTGATCTTGACCACCTACGCCCGAGTTAACTGACTGGGGACTCCAAATACCGCAGCTACCACCGTGCAGGAAAAAATGAATGGGGTTTTCCTATTTAGGTCTTAATACAATATTTAGCGAAAGCAGACGTGGGCGGACCATGAATGATCCTTGTTAACCTATCACTTGACCTACTCCTAACGCGTGTTGTAATATAGGGGTTGTAGGAAGAATACATACCGCCACTTTGCAATTCTTCGTAAGAGATATTTAGGTACTTAGATCTATCGAGAAAGTTGGCTGTAAGTGAGGTGAATAGATAGAACCGGCCGATGAGTTCGGCTCATCGAACGGAATTTCGGGGCCCACACCGATGAGATGCTGTTGAGCCTATTTTCTTGGCTTCCCCGGTGTGTCCCGATAAAGCATCGGCAAATGAGCCAGGGGGTGTAAACCCATGGAAACGGGTGGAAATGAGTCGGGAAAGTGACCGACTGTTATCACCTTCTATTGTTGCCTTTCTAATCATTCACATACTGGTACTGGTCACATAGTAACGTAACTTACAATATAATTGCCAGGAAATCAACTCCTATTAGACATTGCGTGATCTAATGCGCGTATAAACTATGTAGGCCGCGGAGATGATCAATAAAGGGCTGTACCTAATTGTATGTAATTACATGTGCCTCATTATTCTCGAATTAAACCCGGAACTACATACCTACGATACGAGATAATTACCAATGCGCTGTGGTTAGTCGACAAGCCGCAATGTTTCAATCTCTTAATCTCGGGGTCGGAAGACTCGGGGAGAGCCTGTAGCGCAGTAAGTATCCGAGACATCGTCTGTTCGTAAGCTAATGGAGGATTTTCTCATCTTAAAACATGCATTTCCCCGCCAACGAGGCTACATACGCAGAAAAAAAGGGAAAATAAATGCGAAGTCACTCGAAAACTTGAAACCTATAAATATCAATGAGCAAGCATTGCTGTGAGTGTCCTCGACGATGGGTTGATATCATCAGACCCACGGGCCACGATTGTGCATGCAAGATGCTTACCTATTTGCTGGATGCCTCGTCGAAGTCGAGTCGATAAGTTGCGATGTCATCATTACGATTGCTACGTACCGACGTGGAGAAGACGAGATGTGGTTGGTGGGATGTGATGGTGGGTCGACTCGTTTATGCACGAGGCAAGACAAGCTTTTTTAAGGCGTCCAGCGCGACAAGCTTTTGTTCTGGGCCGGTCTGTTTTAACCTCAGATCATGAAGTCGGCCATTAGCACTATCGTATATATTATACGTTTCGAATTGATTATTCGAATCCCATAAATTTATATGGATATGTTATTATGGTAAGACTATAAGTATCATGTACGATGGCAGATAAATGGTAATAATTTCATTCTAATATTATGATTCCTCTTTTCTCATCTTATTGCGTCGATGGTATAAGTAACACAGGGAACGGCTGAGATGCAGTGTGAATTGGCATCTTTTAAGAATCCTAATGATCCTAATCCTAACCTAGGTTAATTGAGTTGCAGCTGCACTAACGGCACTATGTAAGTCCCACAAAACGCCCAACTATGTAGGTACTAACGTTAAAAACATCCTGGCATCAAAAGCGGTGGGTTTTAGGGCATCCGGCAGCCCGAGACAAGCTGACAGGGGTTTGCATCGAAGCAGCGCTGATCAGGATTCGCAGTGCCTGACGAACAAAAGGACTTGTGAATAATCTGCTTATTCTCTTTCTTTTTGTATTTGAGGCTTATGAGGGTTACTCTTATATGTATATTATTCTTATAGTTAATGTATGTTTAAATCCTAAATGCTGCGGCTTAGTCCGAACCTTGCTTGCTCGTACATATCTGGGATCCTTTAACAACACTTACACGATACGATACACTACGATACCTGCATATACCGATCTTGTCTGTGCGCTAATGGGGTTAAATGGGTATGTAGATGGGACACATTACATAGCACCCAGCTACGAGGTAACGATCTAACTGAGTCAGGTCCTAGATATACCGTATGCGGTAAAAGCCAACTGGGGCTTTATCAGTCGTATTATGTAGGTAGCCACTTAGATGTTTGGTAACGTTATGTAGAGCAGCATAATGGGACGCGTTTAGTACATCAAACCTGTCTATGTTTGCCTGACCTATTAATGTTTTGGGAATAGTTCCTAGTGTGCACCTGATGCGACAGATATGTAATGATAATTTGTATTGTACGCCTGCCTGTTACTTTATGTAGGTACCTAAAGGTAACTAACTCCCTACTCGACACACCTGAATTGCCGTCTGTAGGTAGTCCGAGAGGATTTTTTTCTTTCTTTTTTTTAAAAAAAACCCTCGTTTCCCTCAGCTGATAATAGATGGGGTCTTTTATCCCCCCCCTTCCCCCCATCCCTGCCAACTATTCCTTGGGTCCCCCTATTATCTCATTTTCATTTTCCCCAATTTCCAACCCCCAAACTTGCCAAGAACATCTTTTTCATCGTCTCCCGCCCTACCGTACCTACACAATTACTTACCAACTACCTATCTATTATCCCTCCCTCGTCATTCGCGTTCCTGTTCCTGAGAACTTATCTCTTCCGTTTCGTTGTCTCGTTATCAATCGTAATGTCTCAACCATCTCTCAAAATAGTATAATGATTATAAGAGCATGTGTATGTCTTGGACCCTTTTCTTTTATTGTCTCCAGTAGTTCTGTCAATTTCGTCATTATTGTTATTTCTGTCCCTTTTTCCCCGCTGCCCAGAGTTGTTTATTATACATAGTCCTTGAAAATCTTCTTGGCACCAGCCGAGCCCTCTCTAGAATCCCTTGGCACACAGCGGCTGACGTCTACTCTACAGCACTCCAAACCGTCCGGAATGTCGTGTACGTCGCCAAGAGAAACTTTCTTTTTCCTTTTCCATTCTGCTGGGCATTGCCAAGAGTATATTAGGCCATCAAGAAAAGCTTAGAAAAGCTTAGCAATCTTGATGGTTGTTGGTTGGCCGAATGACTGATGGTAAATGCTTGTTAATTGACGGACCAGCGTCGATGAGATCAACGGTGCCGAATAGTGCGTCGCCGGTGCATTCGCGATCGGTGCATCGCTTGTGTTGTACGACGTAACATTACACCGAAATGCATTTTGTCAATTCCGCCGTGCCTCATCTACTACCGTCTCTCATCAATACCATGCATCATCATCATTGTTGTCGCCCTTCCAATAAAGCTTGCCCTGTGCACTTAATCGAGTTGATACGTTATGCTGTCCGTGGTATCATACTAATATTCGAGTAGACTGTTATTCAGCAATCCTAGTTGGACGGGTGGTCATTCGGTTCCCAGCACTATCCTCAGAAATATTACCGCATTATCAGTATGTGCCGAAACTTGAGGAATAGGGAGTATACCGGAAGACTAAACTTTTACTTACACGTTGTGATAGAGCCATATAGCATATTCCGAGGATCTACTTCAAAACATCACGACCCTCTCCACTACTTCGGTTTCAACGCCAAATGGGGTCATCCAGGGTCTGCTCTACGTGCCAGACCTCGGCGACAATGATCCGTGTCAGGAAGAGGCGGCAAAATACATTCCATCGAATGTCACACGACAAGTGAATTTGCCGCCTACGAATTACAACCTTATTGCTTTGGCGCCGTGGATTAACACCGAGTGTACCCAGGCATTTCTTGCCTCGGCTAGGTTGGACCCCATCCGAGGGATGCTTGTTTATCGTCCAGATAACGACACCAGTCAGCCGCCAGACGTCGGCGACGATGTTTGGGACCTAGGGGATGGAGAAATGTGGAAGACGCAGAACCGATACCCCGTCTATGCGATCCCCGGTGCCTCCGGACAAGAGATGATGAGACAGCTGAGTCTTTATTCTGGTGATCTGTCTCAAGTCCCATTTAGCAATCAGATTATTTCTACGTATTCCCCGAACCCAGCGGATTACGTACGGGTATGGACGGAATTAACCGTAATTACCGTATCAACGACTCTCCCGCTCTGGGCATTTGTTCTGATTATTCTTGGTGTAATCGTTGCCATCATAGGCAGTACATCGTTGCTCATGCATTTTATCCAGAGTCGCCGTCGCGCTGCTTTACGACGCCGCGTGATGCGGGGTGAGGTGAATCTAGAGGCGCTAGGTATCAAAAGGCTAATGGTGCCGATGCATCATATCCTGACTTTCCCTTTATTTACTTATAATTACGACCCACCATTACCATCACCATCATCGCCTACGTCGGTCAAATCCCCACAGAAGATAGGGCGGAGGTCATCAGAAGGTAGTCGAATACCTGCTAGCGTAAGGATTGAGAAGAGCGATTGGACCATCGATTATCAACCTGCGTGCCTCATCTGCTTGGAGGATTTCGAGTCTAAGAAAACGATCATCCGTGAACTACCTTGCGGCCACATTTACCACCCCGAATGCATTGACGAATTCTTGGGCCAAGTTAGCTCTTTATGTCCTTCCTGCAAAGCATCAATGCTGCCTCGCGGTTACTGTCCAAAGATAACCAATTCGATGGTACGTAGGGAGTTTGGCACTCGAAAGCTAAGGTCTAGTGGCGCGGTGATCACCGTGGACGTCGAAAGGGGTCGTCAGAGATTATCCTCATGGAGTAGCTCTATGAAGAAGCACATATGCAAGATTTCACCTCCACAGCCGGAAGAAGCTATCGACTTACAAGAGCAGCCAAGGGATGATAGATCAAGCACAGTCGGAACGACACGAGATCGCATGCAGGACCTTGTAGTACCCGTTGACGAAACGAACAGCGACGACGGGCGGCCTCAATGCAAGTCGCGTCGCCACACTAGCGGGCCTAGAAGCTAACATATCAATAGGGAAACGCACAGCTCTCAAAGTCTTCCCGGGATTTAGGTGACGGTTTAGCTATTAATCGGATATTACACATTAAAAACTATTGGCATCATTTAGCATAGTTTGGCGTTTTTGTTGAAAGGAAATGCATTATTTGGGCTGTTACAAAGGCCTACTGGGGGCGTTCATGGGAATACCGGCTATGATTGCCTCTTGGGCATATGCGGATAGTAGGATCTTTGGTGTATGGTATGGGAATTGCATATGAAGATGCATATGAAGACTGCTTGGATATACCCCAAGGTTCGGGCGCGATTCTAAAATCCGAGGAATACAAAGAAATTCCCATTGGCCATTGGCTACCCAGCTACCTCAATAATATCTATGGTTGTACAGCGCCTGTGTAATAATACCACAGTGCGGCTCGTCACCTTATGTCTTATGTAGAGATGTCTGTTGGAACATGTGTCGTGTCCATGGTCCGTGCACGTAATCTCTCCAGCCGTATTCGCACATAAGGATTCGTCATTCTCACAACTTGTACATAGCTCCAACAAACGCCGCACACCTTAGAAGTGCCAATTCGAGTCTCTGGAGTAGAATACTTTCTTGCCTGAAAGGAAGTACGCCGAGTTGGCCTTCTGACTCGAAATGAGAATACTAGTCATCTCGCCCAAACCGCAGCAGTGCAGATGACCTTCCCGCGTGATGAGTGCGAATCTCGGTAATGGCGGGATGCCTTCGGCCACGGAAACCCTAGGCACGGAAACCCTAGGCGAAACCTCGTCGTCCGAAGCAGACCCTAAGCTCTTGGAACCTGACTCAGATCCAGGCACAACCGGTGAAGGTGACGCGGCGGAAACTCGACCTCTAATCATCTGCTTCCACGGCTCAGGCGAGTCGTGCTCGCCGTCGTGGGACGCACTGGCGCACACGCTAACTGCTGTACCTCACCGCCTACGCGTCCTGTTGTACGACCGCGGCATCCTGAATCCTCGGCCCCCGCAAGCTACCGCAGAGCTGAGGGAGTATCTAAAAAGCGAGAGGTTGAAGGGGCCTTGCGTGCTTGTTGCACATTCGTACGGCGGCGCGTTTGCGCGGACGTTCTTGGAGCTGGAGGCAGAGAAAGACAGTGGGGGCGACGGCAATGTGGAAATCGTGGGCATGGTGCTTGTGGAAACAGGCCAAGAAGGCGGTCTCGATCCCGAGGTAGAAGAAAGCCAATACGCGCTCCGGGTCTTAGGCACGAGGCCCCTGAGCGTGGTACGTGGGAACTCGCTGCTGAGGCAGTGGGCGGATCTAGAGGCTGCAGAGGCGAGCGTGTCCGCGAAAGACGGGATGAAGAAGGAGGATCTGAGACAGAGGCGGGAGATGCTGAAGATGTATGACGCGGTGGACGAGCAGATGAAGAAGAAGCAGCTAGACCTTGCCGCGGCGAACGCGAAGAAGAGGTACGTGCACGTACCGGATTGCGGACACCATGTCGTGAGAGATCGGCCGGACGTGGTGGCCGGCGAGATCGCGTGGGTGTTGGACAACGTGGGCAAGGTGGACAAGGCCGATGGAGCGGTGGTAGGGAAAGATAAACGGAAGGATGGGAATAAGGGTAAAGAGGGACGGAGAACGTGGGAGGCGGGAATTAAGAGGATATGGAGGTTTTGTAGAGATGTTACGGGGAAACTACTTAATAAATTGGGAAAATGAGTTATTGCTGTTGGCGGGATACCATTGAGTTACTAGAGTTATAAGTAGTATAATATGTAGTTTATATTAGAGGATACCTATACTTTTCGATCTTTTAGATAGGTAGTCAACGTTGATAATTTATCCCTTCTTCGTAACTTGAATATTAGACATTTTGATTTAAGAAATATCTACTGTCGGCCGATTTAAGAGTAGGTATTCCCACACCACAAACTAATTCCATAATGCGTAATATAGAATATATAAATAAACTACATTGGCAATTACTTATAGTTGTTAATTGAGTTGTCAGGTGGTATTTGGGTTGGGGTGTATTAGATTTGACTGTTGCTGTTTGGGATAGTTTAAGCTGCCGGCATACTATAAGAGGTATGTCCTGGTGCCTGCAGGAGAGCCCTAATGAAGGTCTACACCTCATAGGTCGGTACCTGATAAGAGGTACCTAATACTTTGCGGTGTACCCACTAATGTCCCAATTTTAACGGTTCGGCAGCCTGCAGGTGTCTTAGGAAAACTCAATTACCAGATTACCAGCGGCTTACAGCGGCTAGCAGGCCTCCGATGTAGCGTGCCGGGTAGCCGGGATTGAATTTTAATTTCTGGCGGGTAGTTGTTCTCTAGCACTCAAATACACTACCAGGTACCAACCTAAATACCCGTACTTTCCCTACCTAGCTGCCCGACCTGCCGACTTACAATACCAATTTCTCATCCTTGGTTTAGTCGCCAAGGACATCAGCCTCAATTCCTGACACATTCATGTATTAACCTATTAACCTAGTTTTTGTTTCACTAATGCAGTTCGCACAGCGCGCGCTGTCAGATTCAGCCTGTTTCAGTTCGTCGCTTTTTTTGGCCGCCCACGTATATTAATAATAATATCGGTAATGAGTCAATATTATTCCTATTGGTTGTTGGTTGATAGGGCCAGAGAAGTCGAAAGAGGGCATTCACTAGCAATTCGCCAACATCCCTCATGTTGGTTGAAAATGTTCAATGGCAGGTCCTTCACCAACCTCACCACGCCATAATGGCCCTCTTTCGACGGAAGACGCGCGTCTTCGCTTCATTGTTTCTAGTACTCGTATTATATCTTTTAGTCGGACTTATACCCGAGCACCGCGATACCCTCTTCGGCTTTACCTTCGTTAGGACGAGTTACGACTGGTCTCAGCAGCCATTGAAATATCCCATATCAGAATATGTGCCTCTACCCACCGGTAGGCCTCTTGCTCTTCCCAAAGTCCAATATGCCTTCACCACCGATACGAGCCCCGAAGGTGTTGCGAGGGAGGAGGTCCTAGCGAGCAGGCGTGCAGAAGTTAAAGCCGCATTTGTAAAGAGTTGGACTAGCTACAAGAACGCCGGTTTTGGTTACGATGAACTTATGCCGGTATCCGGGAAAGGGAGGGACGCGCCTGGATTTGGAGGTTGGGGAGCTACGCTCGTTGATTCTCTTTCGACACTATGGATTATGGGCCTTACAGACGAATTCTACGAAGCGGCCGCCGCAGCTGTGACCATCAATTGGTCCAATACGAGGGATACTTCTTGCAATTTCTTCGAGACTACTATTCGACACCTTGGAGGACTCTTGGGCGCGTATGACTTGAGCTTGGAGACGGCATTGCTCGAGAAAGCCATTGAGCTCGGCGATATGCTCTATATGGCATACGATACGCCTAACCATATGCCGCCATTCTGGTTGGACTTCGACGATGCGAAAGATGGCAAGCAAGAGGCCGGATATCATGACCCGTCTGCCTCCGTCACATCGTCGTCACTCGAATTTACTCGGCTAGCGCAGCTTACGGGAGACGACAAATATTATGACGCTATAAACAGAGTGACAATGGTCCTGGACGAATGGCAGAATAAGACAGTTCTACCCGGCATGTGGCCAACATACTTTGACTTTAAACAATTACAGCTAGACAGTGACAATAGCTTTACGCTCGGTGCGCTAGCGGATAGTCTCTACGAATACTTACCGAAAACCTTTGCCATACTCGGCGGTCTTGAGCCAGTGTACGAAAAGCTCTACCGCGGAGCGATGGATACGGTCATAGAGAATTTACTATTTCGACCGAAGACGCCGGATCAGGACGATATACTTTTTACTGGAAATGTGTACGTGTCTGATGACACGGGGCCTCATCTAACCGCCGAGGGGCAGCACCTCGCATGCTTCGTCGGCGGAATGTTCGGACTCGGGAGCAAGCTTTTCAACATCCCGGAACATCTCGAAATCGGCGAGAAGATCACTCGAGGCTGCGTGTGGGCATACGATGCAATGCCCACCGGCATTATGCCCGAAATCTTCAACTTGCTCAAATGTGATACGCTGGATCCGTGTGAATGGGACGAGTCAGAATGGGAAGATCAATCGAATACGCAGTTGAAGAAAGGGTTCACAAGTGCACGTGACCCGCGATATCTTCTACGGCCGGAAGCAATCGAGAGCGTATTTCTAATGTATCGCATGACCGGCAACCCCGAGTACCAGGAGATGGCGTGGAGGATGTTCCAGGCGATTCGTAAAGCAACCGAGACTGATCTGGCCTTTTCGGCTATCCAATCCGTTCGAGATGTCGTCACAGTCAAGACAGACTCTATGGAGGTCTGTTATTATAACAAATATCACGAGATTCTGCATTTCGACTAACATTACCACAGAGTTTCTGGATGGCCGAAACACTCAGGTACTTTTACTTGATATTCTCCTCGCCGGATCTTATTAATTTAGACGAATTTGTCTTAAATACGGAAGCACATCCCCTGAGACGACCTAGATGAGACACGCAAGGCTCGGTTTATTCAGCTTACTCCGGATGCATTATCTCCGGAGCCCGATTTAAAGTGCGGTTCGTACCCCTTGCTATTTATGTGAGTGTAGTTGGTGGAATAGCTTACCGTCATGAGTTGTTATGAAACGGCCTCGGGAAGAGACAAATATTCGAAGGTTGCGTTCATATGTCAAGATGGTATATGATTGATGATGGAAGACCATGTATATCGGGCGATAGGGCGTACGTATAGATACCTAGACATAATGCTACGATAGACTTAATGATAATAATACCCAACGAACACCTTCGGAAATAGTAGATCGTGCTTTGGGTAGCAAGGAGGATTTCGGTCCAGCCGATTTTTCTCGTGGCGTCACGACACAGACAACTCTCTTCCTCTATTTGACTACGGTCTGTAAGGACATGCATGGCGATGAGGCGCAACTTGATGTGCTGGAAAACCGGTGAGTGAGTCACCTCTTGCCTGATTTGGGGACGGTGAGTGATGAAGCGAGGGAAAAAAAAAAATCGAGATTGATGTTCACGACTACGTAAATGCACTTTTATGGTTTGGAGATATGTTACAACAAGTAAGCATGCAGCGAAACGCGTCTTCCATTCCTACTAATCAGGGCGCGGACGGTATAAATCATGGTACGATTGAAAGTACGGGCACGGGTCGGCGTTGGCATGATGATCCCACGTCTCTCGCATTCAACTAAGAAACCCGTTCTCGACGGGGCCATGACGGTGGTTATATGCCGCGTAGAACATGTTATATATTACGGATGGGATACGCTGGCAATATTGCAATAACTGTCTTTGCTATACGACGTATTATGTACTACTAGGTACCTAGGTATTCATCATTTTCGGAGATAGGGGCATATATTAGGTTGAGGAGATGATAGGATGAGATGTGATAGAATTCCAAGCTGAATGCGGGAGCCTACTAGGGCTGATAGGAATCCATATTACTTGTTAGGTAGGTAGGTAGGCAAGGTATTGCTACCCGGTCTTGAACCCGGCCTTGAACTCGCTACCCGGCAGCTCGGCAGGTCAAGAACGGCGGGGCGGTTCATGGCAACGCTACGGACGACCATTTTTTTTATAAAAAAAATTTTTGCCCATACATAGAGGGAGACCCCTGTCAATGTCGACGAGCGTTGGCCGTGCTTGGCGGCTGCTATGTAAGAGTTTCCCTACGGGCATACGCCTAACTGCAACCCACGAACCTGGAACACAGCCACCGCTGTTGTTTCGGACGCTTGCTGATATTTTTTTCTTTTCCTTTTTCTTTTTCTTCTTTGCAAAGTAGGACACGCTGTTTAAACCTTTGAGGCTCTTTCGACTAACTACGACTTTTCCTCGGTATCTAATATGTTGTTGATGACGATGCGAAGGACATCCCTGCGCAGCCACATCGTCCCGTCAGGGGCGGGCAGATGCATATCTACAATCCTCCTTGTCTGACGCCATCGGTTATATTTTATTTTATTTTATTTTTTTCTAGATTTATATAGGTACCTTACCGTTACTTTTATGTTTGTCTAGTTCTGCCGTGGTATTTTAACGAGATCATGTGCGTCCCTTGCGCTACAGATACATGCTGAAATCTTTATAACTACCTGAGAATGAAAGATGATAGTTACGAGGTACCCACATGGTTATTTCACGTCTACTCTAGGCGTTTTTGATGTTATCATAGTAGAAGCACGTTGTGTGGATCGCTTCCATAGTAGGTCCGTAGTTGCGAGCCTTGGAGTCCATATCTTGGTGTCCAGGCATATATTAGTAGTCGAGAAGGTGTCCTAGTTCATTACATGGCCATCTGTATCGTAATCAACCGTCCTGGTTGAACTTGCACCGAATTCTTTTCTTATCATACCCGAGCCGCACATGCTATCCAGTACCAGGAGCGAATTTCGAGTGGCTCGCCGTCCATGGTTCTGGCTCTTCAAGACCCCCGCCCACGCATGGCTTCCATGTCCAAAGGATGCAACAAGTTATAGTACGTACCGCATTCTCAGTTATCGCGTAAACCCATAGTCTTGCCCTATATGATCGAGTGGACAGAAAAGCTCACCTTCTTCCCCCTTTAGTCAGTCTTGTTACTATAAACCGGGCGTCGCTTGAAGGTTTTTTCCAACGTTTTCGTACATAGCTCTATTACTTGGGGTTAGGTATGACCAGCCCAATCATTCAATTGCGGTTCATAGCTGATTTTCAGCCACCCCCCTCAAAGCACTGGTGCCCAATAGACCGGGAACACTCAGCTTTTAGACTGTTCTCTTTCTTTAAGTCCGCGGCCTAAGACTCGTTGCCTCGTTTCCCTATTGCCCTGTGCCCAAGGTGTAAGTAGTTTTCCCAAATAGTCGGACGAACTGGCTGCTCTGGTAAGAATCGTCACGGATTGGAGATAGATCGGGCTTATATGTTGGAGATGTGATGTATGATATTGAATCACGGGCGAACCGGGAGTCGGATGGATTCCCAGTGGCCTAAGGGTTGTATACGTGTAAATGCCTACTTACTTACATATTCCTATGTGACTTGCACACACAATACTCCGAAAGGCTGGCGATCTCATGGTTATTGTACCTTCGTACAAGTGGCCGAGCCAATGTTCTGAGCCGACGTTCTGAGCTACCCCGCTTCTACGTGATATTGTTCTGACCTTCGGCGGGCTTTACTGAATTATACCAGCCTACACCAACTTACCTACACCGTGGATCAAGAGAGATTAGTACCAAAAGCGGCAACTTTCTGTGCTTAGATTCTAATAGATATTCAGTAGTCGATATTATTACTGCATAGTTATATCCTTGTTTATTTGATTAGGTTTTGTGTCTGGTTCTGGTGTGGTGTGGCTAAGTCTCTCATTAGCTGTCAGGACAATGCTGCAGGACAGCCCGATCTCGTTCACTACCTTTTAACAGCCAGCTCGCAAAACTACCGCCTCAGAGCAATTTTTCTCTTTAAATCCCCGAGGAGCTCGTCTGTGTGATCCCCTTTCTTCACGACCATGGAATTGTTCTCGTCGAAGCACTATCGTGTGAGCTTGATTCCTTGGAGACGTCAGAGGGTGAATATCGTCCCCCCGGCTTAAATTTATTCAGCTCTTATCCTAGCTTGCCAACCAAAGCTATTGGGGGGCGACTCTTCTGGCAGACTTCACCATGGAAGACTATCCGATGTCACCACTGCTGATGGCGCCCTACAAAAACGACATCGACGCTACTGGCCTGGGTAAAATTAATTCGTTTGCCATTACCTGCGAGTTTCTCGATTCTCTACGCACATCAGCAAACGTGTCCGGTGGTACGTATAAACTCAGTATACTGTTAGTAAGTAAGTAAAGATGATTAACAATTTAGTTAGGGGCGTTTGCTACTACTCCCAACTTACAGCATCTTCATAACTTCTCTATTCCCGCATTGCGATTCGACCGTCCGATGAACAATACCTTACAGGCCTCTCCACTTATGCATCCTAGTCTGATGGACAATTCGTCCAATAGTTGGGATAAAGAACAATGGCGCTTCCTTTGGTGGTTCGTCTGGAAAATTGATGGTTACTGTGAAAAGCTTCAAGAATGCTTTGACCAAAACATACCATCTGATTTAAAGGACTGGTTGGCAACACGCAATAATTCGACCGAAATACGGAACGTCGGTCTACGGGGTCTTGGCGACATATTACAAGATATCATTCCTTCCGAATTTCACGAGATACTCCCTATTATGATTGTTCAACACGCGATTTTCCATTACACCTGCGAGACCAATTCTTTCGAGAGCGTCGAATCTGCGTTCACCGGCTGGAGAAATAGGATCCCTATAATACAGACTCACCAGTCAAGCCTTGATCTGGTATTCGAGCGGTTAAAGTCAGCAGATCGATCGTCTGGGAATACTCAGCTCGCTCGACCCCACATACAAACCCCCCTTTTCGAAACAGGTAGTAAATTTACGAATCTTGGTTTTACCTGTTATCCGCAATCTATTACCGACAGCTCCTTATATCCACCTAGGAACCTGGTCCCCAGCCCCGATACAAGCCCGTGGACCCTATCTGGAGATCAAAGTTTTGCTTCTGGTGCTGGTGATAGCAGCCTGGGTGATAGATATATGGCGGGCTACCCCTTGGATCCTGTGCCGAAGTTCAACTATTATGAACCGTCAAGGTCCGAAAATATCATGCCTTATACTCCGGCAACGAATTTAAATGGTCCATTTTCTTCGAACGAGATTGAGAATTCTGCATTTCAGAGCCAGACCCCTCGACGCGTCGGACAAGTATATGGGTTATCCCCATCGCCCAGCTATCCTCAATACGAAGCTGGGATGAGCTCAATGTCTCTCAGCCATTCCACGCCATTCACTATTTTCATGAAGTTTATAGATAGTAGGTATATTAACCCCGTGTGCTACGGATCGAGTCTTACATGATACTAGACTTTACAAACCAGGGTGGCTTGCCTCACCTTTTCTCTCAGGGGTCGATCCGTTGGACCAAACGACCATTAACTTCGAACGCTCTGGTATCCGAAAAGCAATTCTTCAAGAACGCCGATAGTTTATTCTTTGATCCATTGAAGACTCTGGTCTCGCATTCATTACAGGACCCTATAATCCAAGCAATAATTTCGACCACGTCGTCGCTGATATTACTTGGCGGGTTGCATTCAGTTCCAGACGTTGCGGATTATATGATCAGCCTAGGAACAGTAAGTGTGCATGAACCACACCTGACTGCGAAGACTGACCGTTATTAGCATTTATTACCTAGCCCTGATTTATGTCGCGAGTTTGCTCGGATGGTTTTGCAAACCTGTTCTGAGGCTGGTGCAACAAGTTCTCCTAATAGGTCTACTCGAGGTCGAGGCCAGAGTCGGAGTCGGGATCTCGAGAAGCGCATCGATGAGATAGTAAAGAACTACAGCGGAGCGTATCACCCGGCGCATTTACTTCAGCCTCATAGCACTCGTAGAAGTCATCGAACGTTACAACCTCGACAACCTATCGCTACCTCGCGAGCCAGCAGCAGCCAGCCCGCGCCATCTATCATCGATTCATCAGCAAGTAATATACATAGCTTCGTGGATAACAGCATCGAAATATCTAACGTGTAGGAAGCCTATGTCCCTCTTGATTCACACACGCGTATCTAACTAACTACCTAACCTATAGGACCAGCAATACCACGCCGTCTGTGACAAGTACCGCACAATGTGAAGAGTGCGGTAAGACCTTCACCGGTAGACACGTCAGCTCACACTTGTCCCGCCATAAGCGACAGCACCGAACCGGTCATGTAACCATAGAGTGCCCTTACTGTGGCAAGGCCTTTCATCATGTACGCACCGATAACATACGGACGCACTGCCGAAATGTCCACAGGCGCGAGCTCCCTGAAAATGGGAAAGAGTACTGGTCGCGGTTCACTGGTACGCAGCTCGGAGGTCAGAACAACTGACCTGTGGGCACTTCGAAGCCCATGTCTAAGCGCTGACCCTCTCCTCCCCCTCTCCGTCGATGGTCTGTCTTGTTCCGTTCTCTTATCGAATGCAAATTTGCAATATCTCACGGTCTCACGGATTTCACTACCTATAAATACCCTCGCGTACGATTTATGTTCATTTTCTATACGGTACTTTATTGGATATCTGGGGTTGGATCCGCCCCTTTTTAATTTTTTGCTAGGCGTTTGAATAGCATATCTTGATTGAGACGCGGATTAAGCTATAAAATCGGACAGGACAGGACACACAGTACTGGATCTTAAAGAAGAGTCAGAAGGTCTCGGTAAATAAGTGCTCGGAGTTGATTACTGCATAGGAAAACTGATGGAATGTTTATAGTTTTTATTTCATCTTCGTATTGTTATAGTTGGGCTCTATATCTGAGTTCGTATACCACATCTTTGATGTTAGATTTTTATTGTATATATCACTGGATGATCGAATTGGTCAGAATAGACTGTAAATAAGGGCAAAACGAACTGGTATGCACTTATCTATTGTCGTTACATCTTTCTCTATTATAAAAAGCCCAGGTTTATTTTACCGGCTTTTAACATACAGCATAGCAGCGCCACCGTACGACTTGGTTTACCTCTAATATTCGACATTTACGTCCCCAACGGAGGTACGTACGTCTTCCATATCCATATACCCATATACCCATATACTAACTGTCCTGTCCCTACCGCCATCTCACTTACTCCTCCTCTTCCTCCTCTTCCTCGTCACTCTCCTCATTCTGTCGGAAAATCACCTTCTCGCAAAGCTGTAGCATCTTCCGTACGGGCAACCCAATTACATTATCAACTGAACCATCTACCTTCTCAACCAACAACGCACCTGCTATGCCCTGCACCGCATAACCCCCGGCCTTATCAGCACCCTCCCGTGTCCGCACATACGCTTCAATCACATCATCCGGCACCCCATCATGCTCGCGAGCAAAGAACACCTTCGTCTCTTCGACATGTGACGCCATCGCATACCCCGGGAACTGTGCATCTGAACGCGGCGCCACGCAACACACCGCCGTCAGGACCCGATGAGTCCTGGTATCTCGTAGAAGACGCAGCATGCGGATATGGTCGGCTTCAGAACTGGGCTTTTCGAGGACATTCCCGTCCCTCGTCACGATAACAGTGTCTGCCGCAATCACCAAGTCAGGGTCTTTCCTAGCACGCTGAGCGTCCAAGTCGACATCTGCCCGTGGATCGGAGGATGTAGATTTAGGCGCGGGGGGAAGCGGCTCGGCCTGCTTCTCGGCGGCCTCGTCGATGAGCGCAGCATACACATCTAGGGCCTTCTGCTGGGCGGTCGCGGAAACATAGCCGAAGGCGCCGAGTTCGGCTTTAGATAAGTCTTCGGGTTTGGTGGAGGCGCGGACCTCGAGATTCGGGAGGCCGAGCTGCGAGAGGAGGGCGCGGCGTCGGGGGGAGGCGGAGGCGAGGATTACGCGGTGCGTGCGCATGTACTTCAAAATAGGCAGGTCGAGCAGCGCGCCGGGAGGGGGCCGCCGGGGTTGCTGTTGTTGCCGGATCGGTAGGCCTTGGCCTTGTCCGTGTTCGAGAGCTGATGTCGCGTAGTCTGGCGGTGGGTCGGAGGGTGTAGATTCAGGGGGAGGTTGCTTCTTTTCGTCCATTGCGGTAGAAAGGAGTGAGGGGGTTTAGGACGGGGAAGTAAGTATTTTTGAGGAAGACGGAGAGAATGGAGTGAAGTAGTCCGAACCGACACTACCTTAACTTGGGTATGACGATCTACCTTAGGTTAGGTACCTAATGTAAAGGAAAGTCCACAGGGAAAGTCCACAGGAAGTTATAGCAGTCGTGGTGGGGTCCACAATGCAGGTCCGGGGAAGCTTGCGTCACAAGCTTATCTACCTCCTATATACATATCTAGAGCAGCTAAGGGATGGTACCTGTATAATACTAGAGGTATACGGAAGTCCCCATCAAAAGTTTTGTCCATAAGCCAGCCCTTATTAGCTTTTGACTAACTTTAACAGGGCTTGGCAACAGCTATAGGCCATCGAGCGCATGTACTATCCATAGTACACTACTTTCGCTTATACATAATAACTCAAAATCTTATCCTCAAATAATAAAAATTATATAGGCGTATAAAGAACCTTTTTCACTTATAATAGATCTAATTTTAATAGCATATTAAAGCCAAAATTAGATATGTTATAAAAGCTAAAATTTTGTATACATTTCTAACCTTAGCTGCCGCATGGTGTCAGGTTCCGGACAGCTGCATCAAAAGCTGTCAGGTGGCACGTATGGACAAAACTTTTGATGGGGACTTCCGTACCTACCTACCTATTTAACCTCCTCGTGGCTAAGCTGAGGCTGGAATTGGAGTTTAAACTTTATTATGGACCTAATATGTACCTATGTACACTAGGTACCTCGAGATGGACAGGGGTTCCGTCATTGTGTGGTGGGGCCAGTGTCACATGCACTTTCTTGAGATGAGATGCCCTTTCTAGGAACTCAAAAGTTAGAATCTTATTCACCTAGATTCATCATAAAGTAAATCGCGAGTTGTTTTACTTCGCGACCATCCTAAACCTTCTCCCACCCCGAAAAGCGCTTTCCCGCTCCGATTCCCTGGAAGATGTGCACACCGAGGATACCTACTCTTAATAACCATAGGCTGTCACCTCATTCCTTCCAACACCTGTCTCATGTCTTCCGATATTTGGTTTAGACATCCGCGTGCAGAGTTTGTCGGGACCTTTACCAGCTGAGAATACAATCATACCGAAAGGAAAACGGAAATTTATATATACCTACGTTATACGTTACACCTTGTTTCGAGCCTATCATCGTCACGTCTTTCAAGGAACATGTCGGAGCCTCGTTCGAAATCACCACAAGATGGCGAGCATGGCGGATCCTCGACAGTACAGGACGACAAGCCGCGCCTGACTGAAGAAGAGAAGAAACAGAACCACATCGCCTCCGGTAATTGATTAATCCTACTCTCTCGAAATGCCCTAGAGTGCCACTGACAAGTTCTACAGAACAGAAGCGGAGAGAGGCTATTAGAGCTGGCTTTGACCGGCTATGCGAACTCGTACCTGGCTTGGAAGGTCATGGACGCTCCGAGGGATACGTCTTGAAAGAAACAGTCAAGTACATGAGAGAGCAGCTAGTCAAGCGCCGCGAGCTAGTAGAGGCAGCAGAGGCGCGAGGGGATTTTGTACCGGAACGTCTAAAAGAGTAGGTCGCTATTTTCTTATGCTTCCTTGTATGGCATTGACCTGGGCACATTATGCTGACCAGTCTGGTTCTTACCCCAGACCGGTTAAGATCCTTGAGAAGTTGGAAGCCCAGGAGAAAGAACAACAGGAAAAAGCGCGGCGGGAGGGGCTTGGAAAAGGCCCTAATCCAGATGAGTACGAAAGTTAAGGAGCTGACGTCGGTATTTCTTCAGGCCGTAGCTTACGAGGCACGGAATCGAGGCATGGAATCCATTCAGCACGGAGCAGCTAATTCGTAATTCTTATGGAGATTATGATCTTCATTATTGATAGAAGTCGGCCTTATTTTTGAGAATGGCAAATAAATCTTTCGGTAACATGTCCTGCTTCTGGGACGGGTTTTGGCTATCGCCACTCTCCAATCCTGACATGTCAACCGTGATAGTGCCATCTGGCACTTGCTTTGGGCCGACGGTGACGATAACACTATAACCCTTAGATTTGGCCTCTCGCACTTTGAGTGGGAGGCTTCGCCGGCTATCATCAATATCTACTGCAAGTTGAGAAGGGTTCACAACTGGACCGTCGGCTGGCCCATGCCTTCCCATAAGGATATCTTGGGCCGTCTTGGCTAATTCTACCACCGGTTCGGTGTCATTGACGGTGACTATCATTACTTGCCTCGGGTTTAACCAAAATGGCCACTTGCCGTTGTAATGTTCGATAAGGAGAGCTAGTAGTCTCTCTACCGAGCCCAGCACAGCTCTATGAATTAGAACAGGGGTTACAAGACCAGATTCCGCTAGCTTATCAGAGTCTGTTGTCACCTCTCCCCTTCGCTCAAAGTCGGGTGCTGGCGCTGAATAACCCAAATCAAACCGTTTTGGCAGCTGGAAGTCTAGCTGAATCGTAGCGGTTTGATGTTCTTTGCCATCCGAGTCTCTCAACACAATATCGATCTTGGGCCCGTAAAATGCGCCGTCACCTTTATTCACAGTCCATTCCTGGCCGGACGCGTCCAGCGCTCTCTTAAGAGCGTTCTCCGCACTCTCCCATTCTTCGGCAGTTCCTATGTAATGATCCGCTGGACGTGTTGAAAGGGTCAATCGATATGGACCTAGTTTAAATGTCGAGTAGACAACGCGTACGAAGTCCAGTGTCTTCTTGATTTCTTCCTCAATTTGTATAGGCCGACAAAAGATGTGCCCATCATCTTGGTGGAAACGTCGCACTCGAGTAAGGCCACTCAGGGCCCCGGACACCTCGTTTCGGTGTAGTGGAGAGAAGTCGGCATATCGAATGGGCAAGTGTCGATAGCTCCGTCGCTGGGACGCAAAGATCAGGCAGTGACCGGGACAATTCATGGGTTTGAGACCATACTCGTCCTCGTCGTCGCCAGGGTTGGAACTATCGCTTCGCAAGGGCGACGTACTTGTTACCGTATACATGTCGTCGCTATAATTTTCCAAATGGCCTGATTTCCTCCACAAGGCTTTTTTGTAAATGGTTGGCGTAATAACCTCGTCGAATCCATATCGGACATATTGCTTCCGCAGAAACTCCACTAAACGATTGAAGAGTCGCGCACCGTTAGGCAGCAGTATGGGAGAGCCGGGACTATATATCGAGGTGGTGAAAAGTTCTTGTTGGATACCAAGTTGCCGGTGGTCGGCGGGGGGTTTCGGTGGGAGACCCGAGGTCGAGGTCGAGGTCGCAGTCGCATGGGATGAACAGTATCGGTGCCAGGGATACCTCAGGAAGGTTTCGCCACTACGTATTCGGACCGTACATGTTGGTGTATGAGGGTATATCCTCACTATCCTTCTCGCGAACATGCCGCCGATCGATGGTCACTCTAGAACCATGACAACGATTTGAAGCTCCAAACTGACTGTACATAGTAAGAAAAATAATCGATGTAAAAGAATTGATTGGTTCACGAATGCAGATTGGAGAAGCGACAGGGGTCTCGAGCTTCTCTCCACTAGCTTGGCGCGCTAGTCTGATTTAGACACTCACTGACAGGCGAACGTCAGCTGTATGAGGTACCGATAAGATGTGGCATATCGTCAGCCTAGTGAATGTACTCCATACAACACCACGATTAGCGTAATGTTTATTACTGGATATGGTACAAGATCCAATCAGATGTCGAGGCACCAACCCTCGTGACATCAAGTCATTCGCGAGTTGATGGGTAAAACCTACGAATTTCATCTGGTGCGCGGATGCCTCGATTAAACACGTAAACCCGCATCTTCAAAACAAAAAAAATCATCTTTCTGCCTTAGATATTTCCACTATTATTTCCAAGTTTTTAATTACGCCTATGTCCATGATTTTACATGAGTCACTGTAAATGCGCAAACCGTTGCTTAGCAGACTCGACACTCATATTATCTTGTCACTAATATATAAATATATGATGGTCGCGCCTGCCTTGTCTTGGACCAAAATAACATTTGATATCGCACTTAACTAGTACGAACTTTATTCAAAGATTTAATAACTTTGTTTTGCCGATAAAGTTGAACTGGGCCTTGTTAGGTTTCAAAGAAGCAAATTCACGGATACCATGACAACCTGAGCTGATTTTGACCGAAACCAGTCTTAATACAGTATGGCGCGAACTCGCAGAAGTAACCTCTCCGTGGAGGATTCCTGGCGCATGGTAGACGGAGGTGAAAATGATAGTTTTGATACAACTATTATTCAGGATCCCTTCGAGAACGAGAACGACCCTATCATATTCAGCAGCCAGTCTCAACCGTCTCAACAGTCTCAGCTGACCTCGTCATCCCAAGCCCAAAGTTTTGCATCCCAAGACAGCATTCGTGACTTTGCCAATAATGCGGATGAAGACCGAGTCATATTACGAGCTCCCTTTCAGCCTTCACTCGCTTCCACCAGACATACCTCTATGGATAAGGATCGAACGCCCGTTCCGGAATTCTTTATGCCTGCCGTTGAAGTTAACAGCGAACAAAGCAGTAGTCGCCGTTCATCAAGATCTACCCACCCTATTATGAGCGAGTCGCGCTTTGTCAAAAGAAGAGGTAATCGTCGAGACAGTCGAGACAGTGACTCGACCGCACGGCAATCCCAATACCAGCAAGATCAATTGCCTCCAAGACCTTCACTTGCAGAGAGATTTACGAGTTCTGCTCCCAGCTTTCTATTCGATCTCGCCTCCTGGATTATAGGTATCCTTCGCATGGCTCTCCGATACGCACAGTGGCCACTAGCCATTCTCCTCGCCATTTACCTAATTATCGGCACGTTCATAATGGCTAAAGACGCGATTATCACCTCGGTTTCGGCACCTCTTGCACCTATATGCTGGATACCAGGCGCCTCTCTGATCAACCTTCCGTTCTGCCCGAAGGGTCCACGCCCAGGGGTCCGCGATGGTTCGTCGGTGGTTGAATTTGATGAGCTCATGAACGTGCAAGCCCAATTTGAGAAGGTACTAGAAGAATCCGCACAGGGCGTCTCATTGCCGATGGATATGAAGCGATCAGAAGCCTCCGTCCGAGACCTACGTACAATGGTCAAATATAGCGAGTTGCCAACTCGCGCCGAGCTAGTCCACGAATTTGATACTTACATTGACATCGTCCGGGCTGGCGCCAACGACTTGCAAATGTTCAACACCCACGTCGGCGGTGCAGTCGATAGCATTATCAGCATTAACCGGTGGACAACCCGATACATCGACTCGATCGCTATGAACCGCGAGGCCCATAACAATATGCTCTCGCGCTTCACTGACTGGGTTTTCTCCCCGTTCCAGGTGTCGGTATTCGATGAGCGTGCTCTCTTGGAAAAATACATCGAACACACAGCTTTAGTGTCGGACAAGATTGCGAACCTCATTGTGGAGGCACAGGGAATACTGCGTCTGCTCGGTGAAGCAGAGAATTCACTGCAGCTTATCAACGAGCATGTCGTGCGTACAAGCAACGTGATGAAGGAGAAGCATAATGAGGTGTTTTGGAACATATGGACGCTGGTGGGGGCTAATACCCGTCGCCTTCACAACATAAGAGTACAACTAGGCCTACTACAGCAAGTTGATAGGCAGCGAAACTCAGCAGTTCAGCGGCTAGATAGCTTAGTCCACGACTTGTACGATATTCAAACGAAGCTGGGCGACCTGAGAGATAGAGTCGCCGCCCCAGAACTGCTGGCAGACTCGACAACCATACCTCTAGCGGTACACATCGAGACTATCAACGCTGGAGTCGAGAGGCTTGAGACCGCGCGGAGTCGTATCCGAGCCGAGGAGAATGAACGGCTTCGACAAGCGCTGCAGAGATCGAGGGAGGACGACCACCTAATCGACGGCTAAAATAATTGATGATCATTTTCATTATTAGGGTGCAAAGATTATAGGCATCACAAACTCAGGACTTGAGGCGATAGGAGTTTAGGAACAAGTATAAATCGGAATGAGGGGATACGGACACTGGACCAATGTATAGCGGTACATTCTCGGAATGTGAGGTGTGATAGGCCTTCGGCATAGGTTTATAAGACTGCGAATACTAAAATACATTTGGTTTTCTAGTGAAGGCCCTTGAAATAAGCCTTTTGAGAGTATGACTTGTTGTATTGCTTCGATAGCATAGCGAAATTCAGAAAATGGGATGGATCAAACGAGACAGGGGTCGGTAAAAAGGGGTAAAGGAGTAAATACGCTAAGGCGGAGACCTATACTATGTAATTAGTATGTTGATAATCTGCACATGTATTTTGGTTTCATTTGAGAAATAACGTAACTATTATTCGTAACCTTGAATAGTGATGCGGCTGCGAAGTAAACACCTTTATATTTCTTTTATACGACTTACTTGACTTCTTCACGAGCCTTGGCTAGATGCTGAAAACATGTCTTGGCGGGGGCATAAATTTGGACGCACGAACCTTTTGGCGTGTCTTGCATACCTAAAGCACCGTCCACACAACGACTTATTATGTACATTTAGGAGTACAGCAATCATGTCTTTATGTTCAATTAGCATAGATTATCTATTTAAATCCATTCTCTAACAGAGTTTTGTTGGTATCCATTAATTTATTCCCGTCGCAATCAGTCGGTCATGCCAGAACAACGACCAGTTAGATTCCTGGATTCTCAACCTACCGACGTGTCGGCATAGATAGATCAGAGTTGTACGACAAATTCGTCGACTGTGTCCTCAACCAAAAAGGCTGGAAATAGTCAATGTGGCTACTATAGCTACTGGTACTGTTCAAACAATGCCTCCAAGAAAGATAAGAAAGGGGTGGACTCGAATGTCTCGGGTACTGGATGACACTGAGTAACTGAGTAACTGATCATACGCGATAACTACTTTAATGAAGATTGTGACTATTGTTCCAATTATGCCAAGTAACGCCTTCGGTGTTTATCTAATAATTTCTTCCTCAGTTTGTTAGGCTACGGGCTTATTGATTCAGGCTGTCGCCAGATGGGCACGTCGTCACGCATCTAGTATAAGTGATGCAACATTATCGAGTAAACTATAGAGATATTTCGGATCATTTGGCGCCCGGTTCTTGTTGGGGAAAAATTAGGACCCTAGGAAATCGATATAAAACGTGCTTCTACCTGGGGATAGCTCATGTCTTCTTCTTCATCGACAACACCTTCCACCTCTCCACCGTCTGCAATCGACATCATACATTTTCTCTAACCCTGCCTATTTCGCATTTCGCAACTGGTAAAGCAAACCAGAAATTATGTCTGCTAAAGATTCGGGCCGGATTTCCCGCACCCTAGGACGTTTATTTGGAACTACCGAGAAGTCGTCATCTTCAAACCATCCCTCGCATAACAAACCAGATGCCACCGGAAGGCTACCGGAAGGGAAAGGATGGGGCCCCCCTGCCACAGGACCATACCACTGCGACTTCTGGCTTGAAGATAAAAGAGACAAACATGTAAAGCTGGACGAGCCGTTCTCTCTGACTGTCAAGCGGGGAATATATCGCCAGCGCTACAAAAGCAAACCGGTCAAAATCGAGGCGACCAAAGTGGAAAAGCATGGTCGGTATCCCGCCGAAAGACACTATATCAACGACCCAGGCGCTTTTCTGCAAGGAGAGAAAGTGCGGTATTGGGACCGAGAGCAGCTCAGCTTAACATTTGATAATCTTCGACTATCAGTGAAAGGCGAGTTTCTGATCAAGGCGACCATCTGGGAGACACAAGGGTCCATAACTGGTCTCACTAAGTTATACTTTAAAGTCTACGTGTCGTGAGCTTGGAATATTAGAGGATGGATTGAGATTAAGGGGGGCCTAAGAACCGTCTGAGATAGCGAGGCATTGCGGTAATGAATATTTATTGATCTTGGATCTCATCTATTATATCATTGTATTGGTATTGAGAGACGTTCAATGTGATTGGGTAAGTACCTATCGGAATCGACAGATACTGCCTACTTAGATATAGGCTGCTGCTTCGCACAGGACTTACGCCAACTGGTTTTCGACGGAGTTCCTTCTGAACGTCTTGTAGGCCTCGACATCGAAAGATCCCTCCTAGAACTCGGATATGATCTTTTTCTCGATAGGGAGACACTAAATCACAATTTGTGATCGCGGATATCTTTAAGGCACAAGGAAAGACTTGGGAAAGTCTGAAGGAGCGTGGATTTGATGTGATACACTGCAGCGCCGTCTTCTACCTCTTCACTCTGGATGGGCAGATAACAGCAGCAAAGCACATTGCAAGACTAGTCAAAAAGGGGGGAATAATCATAGGAAGGCAGATGGGAAGTGTCAAGCCTGGTGATGTCCCTGCGCCTAGAGAAGGGACCTTCAGTTATAGGCATGATGTAGGTACGTTTGATGCGATGTGGAAAAAGGTAGGAGAAGCTACACAAACGCGATGGAATGTTGAGGGGACTATGGATATGGTTAATGCTGATCCTAACAATTACCTCGAAAACGAGGATAACCGTCGTCTACTCTTTATTGTTACTACAATAGAGTAGTTTTATAGGCTGAATCAAGAATTCAAAGTGGCTAGAGAATGGAGTGCTGGTTTACTTACCGACTAAACCGGCATCGGATCTTAATAGGCTTGGATAAGGCTGTTCTCAAGGTGGAATATGGAACATTTTCCGAAGACATGCAGTGGACGACTAATAAAATAGCACTGCCGGACTCCGAAGTGGCTGATTGTAGTGGCTATATGCCGTTAATGTAACCCACCATGTCCAGTACCTAGGTACATATTTGTCTACAGGTTGTAATGGAATGAATGCCCAAGGCTTAGAGTTCGGGCATACTGCTGTGGCACGCACTGCCTCATTATTTTACACTATATGTATAAGTCAGGTAGCTGGAATAATCACTTTGAATAAGTCGTCTTTCTTCGACCATTAACTTGTATAGATACCTCTTAAGCTATGGGGTCTTTCGAATTAAAACCTACGATATCAGAGAAGTGCACGTGCCACTCTATCGTCCCTGTCACCACATGGGGGGGAGGCCAACGGTCTGAGAACAGCATTAGGACCAGAGATTTAATTCCTTTCGAGACTGAAATGACGAAATGGCCATTCGACCCCGAAGATGATATCATTTTCATGTATGACAGAACCGAATTTAATGGTATAGCCCTATTTTAATCCATTATTTCAGGGTTGTCAAGGCCAACGATGTCCGCAACTGTGTGGTTTGCGGCGAAATATTTATCGACAAGTTCCGCATGCCACAATTCTGGTGGACAGACACATATAAAAGAATGAATGGATATTTCGGATCAGAGTTCGAGAGAAATGCGGATGGAGTGATTGAAACCTACTGTGAGTATCTAATTCAGCAACTATTTCAACTACGACGAACTGATTGATAAAGCAACATGGTCTCGTGCTCTTATAAAACACTCGGAAGCATTACATAAATCGGAAACTCACCATGAACTTCAATATCGATGGCTTAAACTCAACATATTCACAAGATGGTTTATGGGAGGAAAGATGATGATTATTGCCTTTGACCCAGTCGAAACGATGCAAGAAAAACTACGTGAGCTATTTCTGAGCCGTCTAGATAAAGAAGACTTACAGGATCCTTACTGGCCTTACGAATACATACTAGAAGAGCTTGTGTCTTTACAGGGATCAGCTATTTGGAGCCTTCGGGATCTCATAAGAACCATAGAACTCTCGCCAACAAGAGACCCTAGAACTCTTCGAGAAAAACCGCAGTACAATTATTCAAGAATGCATGATATAGCTCGTCATGCTATCCACGTATCGGAAACCCTGGATCTGGCTGTCAAGCTCTCCGAGGATCTCATTCAGGAGCACCAGAAGCTGATCATATCATCTTCAGATGGGAAGCCTAGACTTGAAACTGATAAAACACAATCTCTTAAGCAGGTCTATTCAAACACACATTCACGCCTCGTGTTTTTCAGCCATGCACTTTTCAGCCTCCGCTGTCGCTCGTCTTCCAATCACCAACGACTTGGTAATGAAATACAGCTGAGGTTTCATACCGATTCGCAATACGACTCGCAAGTATCTGTGGAGATCAGCCATTCCGCCAAGTCAGATGGTGCCTCTATGAGATGGATCGCCATCGTCAGCCTCATATTCCTCCCAGCGAACCTGGTGTCTTCAGTCTTTAGTACGACGTTTTTCGAAACAACAAATGGAATGATCTCGGTTACAAATGACTTTTGGATATACTGGGTTGCCCTGGTTGCCGTTACCGTGATGACCTTGGCGCTTTGGTTTTGTTTATCGCGGTTTAGTATCCAAGTCGGGGGTATGCCGTTTAGAAGGTTTACTGTGTGGCAGAAAACAGAGAGGCCGCTGGAATATTCTACTCATTGCGCTGTATAGAAGGCGCATCCGGAGTGGGCAACCAAGAAGTAAATCGTGGCTATGCCTAGTTACAGCGGGTGTGGTAACTCGAGGAACACTTGGCGAAACATCATGTACGGGGCGGTTACTTGGTAGGGACGGCGTTTAGTAGACTTTAGTAGGTTATCCTTATGTTCGGAATTGTTGCGTAGTCCTTAGATTTCATAGATTTATATTTCTTCTTTAAATTGCAATTATTACACATAGGACGTGGAAAACTATACCACATGCCAAGCTTTACCCCTATTCTAAGTTGCCCGCAGGCCGGATGAGTCATGTCTCTATTATTGTCGTCTTTTAATAGATAGAAGATGAGCTACTTGGCTATATGTTGGTCTTTTATTATATTTACTAAGTCTGGCGAGAATATGGCCAAGGATCTTATCTCTCTATACTCTTTGAGGTATAGGTTGAACTCCATCTTTACATCTCGCACATATTTTTACTCGCTACGCATAAGGTAGGCATTTCGTTGATAGCTATGGTGGCGCCATTCACGCTGTTTTCGAAGGCCTTTTTTCACCCAATAATATCCCTTGTATCTGTGGTTCTGGACAATCTGTTATAGCTGTATTGTTGGTGTTGGCCCAATGTCCCACATACGAACAGCGCAATATTTACCACACAAATTAATACATCAGCTATTGCACGATCTTTGACAGAATATCGGAGTCTAGAGGACCAGCTTCTAATCGACACTTTTCAAAGTTTGCTCGAAGGTAAATTGGAACCAGAGAGCGGGGCACATAGGGTCGCTGATATATTGGAGCCTCTAATCAAGAGAAGCCCGAGTGACTTACGCACTACTTCTGTCTGGGGTATTCTCTGCCATCTCCTGCGGTACTTAGGAGACAATCAAGCGGCAAGCCAGCGTCTCGTTGATTTTCTGGATTGTATCGTCAAAATCTGAGTGAAAGATGATTACGGAAATGACATCAGACACGAATGGGGCGGCCTATCCTGGACGGACTTGCCTACGTTCTCTTTAACATTTAGGGAGTATGGCATAAGTAAGTGCTCAATCAGATCTTACTTAGCTTGAATATGTCATGATCCAATTATCTATTTGGAAAAGGCATTGATCCAGACGAGGATATGGAGATCAGCGATTGGTTGGCACAAAAACACTCTTATGCTAACTCAACCTCATTTGCAGCAACGTGCCTAGCGAGGAGCCCTCGTCTGTCTGGTATGTCTTTTTACATTCAAGGTTGCATGAGTGAGATTGTGGATGATCCGCACTACACTCCTGAAATCCGTTTTCGCGCGGCTTTGTATGTGCCCGCAATTTCCATATGGATCTCAATTGCTGGGCGGAGAATCTACGAACTGTGTAGAGATGAGGCAAAGGGATTTAACTTAAGCCATTGGAAGTCGTGGGATAATGCACTTGACGGAGTCGCAAGAAATGAACAGCTTAACGACGATATACGAGAGATCGCTCATGGTGCCAGAGACGAGATGGGGCGTATTTCAAAGTACCTAGGCTTTAATTTAGAGTCGGTCTAGGTAAATAGTAACAGGTCCTAAATGGTCCTTTAATTAAATTAGGGGTTAAACATATTATTACGATCAATAAATTGTACTTATGTTTCAAGAAAATAAAGACAAGGTGTATCGCAGTTTCGCGAACTCAAAGGACCGAGTAAGTACAATAGTTATGTATAATGTGATTTACAACATCCCTTATTCCAACTTCTTTTATTGTGTTTCATAGCAAAATAATACCTTTTTCAGCAAATTTCTAGGCTGAACATATCGTGGCACTGAAAAATATATATAAGTAATATCCATCAACGACTCACTGATCATCCCTCTAACACAACACTTTCATTCATATACGATTGTGATTCCTTACTACGACAAATAATAATAATCCAAAGTTCTCAAATAAATAGCGTTATTACCTAGCACTAACAACATCCCCTAATTTACCGACCTCAAACCTCACAGAAAACAGCCGATAAAATGTCAGATAAATCTACCAGCTCCTCCAGTGTACCCAAGCGCTCGGACAGCCCCTCGATCCCAAAGCCAAACACGCCCGAGGAAAAACCACCAACGAAGATAGCTCCAATGCCATCTCTAGCCGAAAAGAAAACTAGGTTCTGGATCGAAGATGATAAAACTCTATATCTCAAGAAAGGAGAGCCATTCTCCTTGACAATCAAACGAGATACTGATTCAGAGATACCGCTCAATCATGTCAGACTCGACGCGTATCGAGTGCCTCCGCATGATGATAGTGTTGAAGCAATGAGACACGAAGGGAGTTGGACTCCCGAGCTCCAGAAATGCAAACGGTTTTTATTTTGGAAAGGAACGCGTTCCTTGACATTCAATAACCTTTCCATAGGGGTACGTGGAGATTTCCGCATCAAAGTATCTGTTCATGAGTTGCATCCAACGGAAGATCCCAATGTAGTACAGTATGAATGGGTTGACAGCTTTTATAGCGAAATCATCCATAACTACCAAAGGCTGTATGTAACATCTATAAAGTATCTTGAACAGGAAACTGATAGAACTTAACTCTAATTTCCTGCATTTTATTAAGAATGAAGGATTAGAGGTTAGTCGCTTTAGATTACTCCGTCGCTAAAGGGGCGTAATCAGCATCCCTCTCATATATGATAGCTTAGAATGAAATATAATGACTATCATTTTGTAAATATATTCTTTATAATTGCTAGTGCTAAAAAGGTTTTCTAAAAGGATAAGTTCGGTAAAAGGGTACGTAACGTAGTGGAATTATTTTTTCGCACATCGTTCAGTGAAGAAAATAAAGTGTTATTGGTCAAGTAAGAGAATATGTATAGCAAGTGATTAGCCATAGATCGTACGTTTCCTTATCCGACTAACATGGGAATGATAATGCGGATTGTTTTGCTATAGGCCGACTATTAATAATATTGCGGGAAACTAGGTATTACCTTTCACCTATCAAAGTTTGTTATGGAATTATATAAAACACATTTATAGGCATTTACGTTAAGCAGCATGATTTATCCATTATGATTTCGCGATGTATTAATAGTAGCCCCTAATACGACGTCCCAATTTGGCAACCAGTAACAAATCTAAAAAGCCCCATTCGCCAATAGATGAAAAATATGGAATTAATAATATTCCATTACCTTTAACATATCGTCTTTGCTTCACCGTGTAAGCAGGTTTAATAAGGTTATTAACCTTCTAAAGTTATAATGGTTAAGTAATCTACAGGGTAACATTATGTTAGGTACCTAAGGTAGGTTGATAATTTTCTGGTCTTGTCGAGACTAATATCAACTAGTCTATTGAGGAGTGTTAGGTATGGAAATACTCTTGCTCGAAGTCCATTACTCTTGTCAGGATTCTAGACGAGACATCTAGGACAAAGAACATGTATGTATATAGTATATACGAGCCATAGGCTCGCCAGATAGGTTAGAGTTCCTCGCGGAACAACGAAGTTGTTTCCATATTGCTTGGTTCCACCTCGTGACAACTCTTGTTTTTGTCTTACAGCAATATTAGCTTCATTTGAATAACTAGGTAACTTCCGCCATACTGCGCGTCAAGACTATCCACCGAATGATTACTTCGTTTGCTTAATGAAGGCTCATCGCCTATACTAGAAACTATGTCTCTTACAATATAGATTTTGGGATTGGAAAAAGTTCTCGAAGGTCAGCATAGTTTCATGTAAAGAAGCCTTCAACATATTAGTAATGTAACCCCAAACCTACCGCCATAGAATCAACCTTAGTACCCCAACGCATCTATGACCCCTAGAACCTGTTGAGTAATAAGTTAGATTCAGCCAATGAGGATCAGCTATTTAGAAATGCTAGTTCTGATACCCATAATTCTATACTTTAACGAAAATAAATATTATTAAAAGTTGAGTAAACCCATTCTTTTATTTCATTCTTCCGGGAGATCGATAAAATATACTCTTTCTGCCTTTCAGCAATCCTCTCTATTGACAGTTTAGCCCCAGATACAACCATACTTCAACCTCACTAGAGCGCATTAACGAGCGACGTTTAATAGGTAGTTCAAAGAGGAAGTATTGGGTCTCGATGGGAAACTAATATAGTGCTTATAAAGATATCACCATTAGAAACATTGATTTAAGAGGATGAGACGAAAAAAATTGACAACTTCTAAGCTTTTCAGCTAATCTTTACAATACTTCTTTTTATATAAGGTTACACAAAACAATGCCCTCTTAGTTAGGGGTGCCGTGATAACGTATTTCCCACGTGGCAAGTTAAACCTAGAGATGTCCGAATGGTATTGTTTTGGTTTCGAAACTTCTAGATGGAAGTCACCCATACGAGGGACATATGCCATATATATGCAACACACCACCCATCGCATATTATAGAAGAACACTCGAGTCTACATATAATTGAAATTTATTCGACCGTGCTTACAGTAGCTATTGCGACGCGTGGGTACGATTTGTCGTGGCACGAATCGCAGTCTCTACCAACAGAAACCAAGAAAAAAACCAACGTGGCTATCCAGACGCACAACTTATGTTTTTTATGCTTGCTCTGTGACAGAAAAAACTTTGTGTTGTCCATGTTTGTGTATGGGAATCAAGAAAATGTATTCTACGTTGCCGCTTGCTGGCCCATCAAAAGAAGAACATGTAACTGTCTCCTGAGAATTCGTCGATTGAAGGGATCTCAGGCCGTTCCTCGAAAAGGGATAAATATGTAGTTCGCCGTCCCCTATGTTGACCTTTTTTCCCCAGCAGCATCAAAGTCTTCAAACAAATTCAAACTAGCAACAACAGCCCTTACCTAACTATCATTACTTCTCGACTCAGTTTTTACCAGCAATATTCTAGCACCAAAAGCCAAAACGCCGGCTGCACATGCATACAAACTCTCACAGAGGAGCGAGGAAGAGGAACTCTACCATGCCTTCTCTAGGAAAAGCTTCAGGGGTCACTTTCAGCCTTTCACCGCCTGCGCGGGTACGAGTGGGCGCAGGATTCCGCATAAGGATTCGGGCGCCCTCCAATGACGACAATGGTTCGATGGCAATTGTGAGGCTCGTGCGCGTGTCTTCCTGCCGAGACAATTCGTCAGCGGGCTTACTCGCCTCCTCGGACTTGTTCCAAGGAAACGTGGTTGGAAACTGGCAGGCTGAAACAAACCAGCCCGCGAGCAATGGCCAGCAGTACGATATTATGGAGTTCAAGTCCCTCGCGGTAAACCAACCCGGATCCTACTATCTCAGAATCCAACTCTACGGCGCACCAGCCGCCGGTGGGGAAAGATCTGGTTTCCATGTGGAGCACATCAGAAATCTGGATAGCGAGAGGTTCTATGTGGGGACGTGATGGGCGTGGTCACACTCTCTTGGGTGCTGTCGACCATGCAAGAATTTTGTGTTAATACGATATGAACATAGTTTAAAAAGTAGGTTTTTTTTTTATGATTTGAAACGACTGTTCCTTTTTAAAGCTGAGGCGGCTAATGTTATGAAATTCCAGCTAACACGATTCTATAGATTTTGGGTTTGGCCTAATATAGAGGCTGTGGATCAGGTCGGAAGATCGATGTGGAACACTTTGTAATATGCTCGGGTCTTCTTTGGTGGCTTTTTTTTCTTAATTATTCGGGTTCCTGCATTAGAAGGTGGTATAATCTTGCATCTTATCCTCGTGGGACGTTCTGCTTAATACGCCAAATATTGTTCTCTTTTAATACTGGGAAGGGGAAATGTAACATATACATTAGTCATGACGATCCGAAAGATTTACGAAATATGAATAAAAATATAGATTCATTATATCTTGTGGCAAAAGGAAGTCTTTGTCTAAGCGACTAACTAATGGTTCCAAATGTTTCCAACTGCCCCCTCCCCTATTTCCAAACAACATCATAGTAGAGAGCCGCCTGTATATAGATGGGTCTTCGGCCAAGGAAAATAGTAAGTGATTTGTGGGGGAGGACTAAGCGGTGGTGGTGAATGGCGGGAGGTGTCCATTGGAACTCCGAGTGTTCCGTGGGACGAGGATTGATGCGGTTCAAGATTGCCTGTTGGTGGCCTTGCGGGATACACCTCATCGAATGCACGTAGCATCGCACCCCAGTCAGCAAATACGGCTTCATAGATGCTTTTGATGTACACTGGACTATTGGCCGCTTCAGAATGCCGAGCCACAGTGTTATGTGTGCCGTTCGACATTCTTGATCTGGTATTAACTGTTTGCGCGAAGTGTCGGGCGTGTCGGACGAAATATGCGACGCGTCGAATCAATGGTTCCACTTGATAATTGCTTTTATCCCTCGATACCCTCGACTTCAGGTTCTGTATGTCGAGCTGTTTTGATCTAAGCCCGGCAATGACGTGTCCTAGGGGTGCTTGATCAGGACCCGGGGTATTTACCCATAAATATTCCCATGCTTTAGATATATTTCCTATCACATTTTCAAGCTGGTCCAGCTTTTTGATAAGTATATCAGTTGTGCGCTGCTGTTGCTGAATGTTGGACATTTTGCTGGTTTCCGTTTTCAAGGGCTTGAAATCGAATCAATAGCGAAAATAAATCGTGACGGCTCAGTATTCTATGATAAGAGAATAAAATTATGAGCCTCTTGATCCTTTTTTGACAGATGGGAACTCCTTTAAATTAAGTTGAATAATCCAAGTTCTGCGTTTCTGGACATCTGAAGGCTACTATATATACCTACCTATTTATCATGTTTACCGCTTAGACTACTATTAAACTTACCTATGTATTCAGCGTTGCGCATTAAACTTAGATTTTTGTGGCCGCGGCTCTACTAATAAACTTTAAGTATCAGACTCTCGACCATTGACGATTACGCGTAGTGTCTTCGTAAGCTTTATTGTAGATGAACAATAGTATCTAGTGAAGACAAGAAAATCCCACCAGTCTACGCGTATCTTTCATTCTCAGTTCAGGGCAGATAAGTTGGATTGCTAAAGGAGAAAAATAACCTTGTCAATATTACTATGCCAGAAATGATTATCTATAGTATATAACTAAGGCTATGATGCTGAGACTAGTAGTGAGCACCGCCATAATATTGTTATACCAATAGGTATTGCAAGTATGAAATAAGGCTGAGAGGAGTTTGCTACGGATCTGCCGTTAGCTGTAGGGGCTTTCGCGAATAAGCTAGCATTCCAATAAGAAGTAGGAAGACACGTCAAACATTGTGTCCTGAAATAGAAGCATCGGACCCGAGAAAAAAACAAAGGGTCTAATCATCCATACTTAGTAAGCCGCTATTAGTCGTGCAGACATTGTTGAGATATGTTCGTAAACGTATGGTTATAATAATACGGTACCATAGAAATGTTTGATGGACGGTTACCCAATGTTAGCCATACGGATGTATACACTTGTCGGATTGGGCGTCAAGACTTTGCTCTTTACGTCTAGGCCTTCGTATTCAAATATCACAAGGCAACAGGCGTCCCATTTCTAAATTAAACTTAGGTTAGACTAATACTAAATAGTTCTTCAAGTCTGAGTTGTAGTTCGAAAAAGTGTTCGTTGGCGCGTGATGTTATGTGTGATGTTATGTGCGATGTTATGTGCAGTGTAACACCGGCTAGTTCCAGACCACGGTTGAGGCTACAAATTGGAGCCTCCTTTATAGCAGCCTTATTAATCGGTAAACTCACTGTAAGGCATAATTTTAGGGAGTGGTGTAAGTTTATCGGCATAGATTTAGTTAGGACCAGCCAACCGTATTCATGCAATTAATTTCTATTATGGCGTGGAAATATTCCCAACTTGAAATAGATATGTTGTAGTACTTACTCCATTTGCAAATAGAGGGGAGTACCCTAAAGAATCTACCGGGGTCAAAAATCAGGTAGAGAGGCCTCCCTATATTTCGTATCTATCTCATCTTTCGGTACATTGGTTTTGTAGAGATCGGTCCACCCTCCGTTAGGCACTTTAGCTTGTACATAGGTTAGGTAGGTATGGCTTCAACAACTACTGGTTCGCTTAGGATCCCAACAATGCTATGATTCGTCATGATGATCCGCGAGCATTTGCTTATATATGACAATTAGGTACCTGCCTGACGTTAGGTACTTATACGCCCAACTTGGGATCGTATCAAGGGTATAGCAACTGCCTCATCTCAGGATGGGAAGACACTAATCAAAGGGAACACAGCGTTTCCTATATGTAACATTGAAACGGAAGAATACATGCGAGGACAATATGCCTTGCATAGCCTTTGGCATCTAAGTATTTTACCCTAGTTCAAGACATCAAAGCCGTGCAGAGTTTTAGTGATAGGGTTTATAAGGATATCAACTCGCCACAGAATTTTCGTTGGGAAATTTCCATCGGCTCACCATGGACCAAACACGAACCAATCAGTATTATTTCGAACTCTACACTAACGTTAATGTTAATTGCAAAAGCATCATTGAGTCGAATTGGCTGTTGAATAGGGGGGTGGATTTGGCGCCACATTTCCTTTATCTTATCTTATCGTTCTGTGGCTTAATCTAAGTATCAGAGGTATCCACTAAAATTTTTATCAATCGCAACTATCGCAGCAACAATCGTCAATCGTCAATCCGAACTCATCACGGGAATCCACGGGAATCTCTACGCCCCGCCACTAATACACTATTACTACTACCTACTACTATCACCCTCTACGACAGAGCAGAATACTTTTATCTCCTACTTGTTCCATTCCTATATGTAAAAATGTCTTCTATAAGAAATGCCGTACAACGGCGCGTTCACCGAGAACGTGCGCAACCACAAGAGCGTCAACGCCTCGGCCTACTCGAGAAGCACAAGGTAATAATAGCGTTTACCTATTTCTCATGCTGTTCCGCTTCGCATTGCCTCACAAAGCTAATAATACCACCTCGAAACTTAGGACTACTCCCTACGTGCCAAGGACTTCAACAAGAAGAAAGCCCAATTGCGCGCTCTGCGGCAGAAGGCTGCCGACCGCAACGAAGATGAATTCTACTTCGGGATGATGTCGCGAAAGGGCCCTGGTGATGCATTGTCGCTAGGGAAGCGGTGGACTGGAACCGTCAATGGCGACCGTGGCAATAAGGTCATGGATATCGACACCGTGCGCCTGCTTAAAACCCAGGATATCGGGTATGTGCGCACCGTGCGCAATACCGCGCTCAAGGAGACCAAAGCGCTTGAGGAGAGAGTTGTGGGATTAGGCGGTAGCTTGGACCCCCAAGTTGAAGAGGACTCGGACGACGAAGATGGGTTTGGAGCACCGAAGCAGACGAAGCCGAAGAAGATCGTATTCACAGAGGGCGTGGAGGAGCGTGATGAGAAGTTACGGCGGGAAGTGGAGAAGAATACGGACGATGAAGAGGATCTGGATGTAGAAGACGATGCTGAGAAGGACAACCCGGAAGCATTACGTGCCGAACAGCAGCAGAAGCTTCTCGAGAAACTACAGCGGAGACTACAAAATGCACGAAAGAAGCTACGAATTCTCGCGCGAACCGAGCACGAGCTCGAGCTCCAAAGGTCCAAGATGGCGAAGACAGCAACATCGGGAAATATTGTCACGAAATCCGGCAAGAAGATCAAGATTCGGGAGCGTAAGAGGTAGAGTAGAGCGTTTGCATATCACGGGCAAGAGACGGAAAAATGGAATTAGGAATTCGGACAAGCAGCCGAAATCCTTGGTTTTGATCATATTATTACAGGCGGCGTTCAGGCACCGGGCTTCAGATCGTCTAGAGCTATGCGATACCCAGGAAGAAATAAACCCATCCCATCACATCACATCCCATATTTACATTTCCCGAGCAGCCTCTCGCCTCGCTCGTGACTCTACCTGTACCTGTACCTGTACCTGTAATCCGCCAGCTCTCATTATATCCTGCAGCCCACCCGTAGAAGAGGAAATGACCGGCCTGCTTCATTAATATGTACTGCCCATGTGGGACTTATGTGGTAATAGTAATGGTATCGTATCCGCCAGTAGGTATCCCGCTTTTAAAGCTCCTTCTCGTAGTCCCTTCTTATCTCTATTGACACCCTTGGCCCCAAGTCCTCATTTCGTATTCATCATGACATGCTTAAAGCTTTTCGCTCGTTAGACACTTACTCAGGCCTACTATGAGAGCCATAAGCGCCTTAAACGCCAACGTAAGGGCCCAAATAACGCATTTGAACCCAAAGCTGAGCAGCTTGACAATCGTTCGCGCAGTCCCCGGGAGTTGCTCCTTGTCCTTGTCTTTGATATTCAGCTTGCCGCCTAGACTACTAGCCTGGCTTTCGAGATCTAGCTCTAGCTCTTCGAGACGCCCGCGCTTCTTGCTCCCCTTCTTCCCGAGTATCTTGGCGCTAAGCCCGCTGCTGCTCCTGCGGAAATCGGGGTTAGAGCTCGAGCTCCGCAGATGCGCTGGTGGGGGCGGTTCGAAGTGCTCGACGAGGACGTTCTTTTCGTCGATATTGGCGACGAGGAGGAGCGCGCATACAGCCACGTCCAGGATGTAAAAGCTATCGATACGTCCTGCTATAAGCGTGTCGAGCTCCATCCAGCCCTCGCCTGTTCCGTCCCGCGTAAGCTTCGCGATGTGATGCGGCGACTCGATGTGTTCAACCGTGTACTCGGTGCGGCTCCATGCCGGGTTCCGGTCTATAGTAATGCAGAAGGGCGTCGCCAGGGCCGGATGCACCAAGAAGTAGTTTTGGCTATCTTCGTCCCAGACCAGCCTTGCACACTCTCGTTCGGCAGCCATCACAGCCTGCATATCGTCCGGTCTCTCGAGTGCTACTTTTGTTGCACCGCTGGGATACAACAGGGAGACTAAACCGTCATTAGGTGGTAGACGGCGTGACGGTTCTTCCAGTGTGGTAACTAGAGCTTCTTGCCATGCTTTCGATTCAGGTTCCCGAAGCGCTCCTAGGATGCCACCGGACGACCTCGGACTTGCGTTCGGTTCCTTTCCCTTATAAGGCTTACTTGGGTCATGCCGGCTTAATGTTACATATGCGCTTGCCGACGTTGGGTCTATTCGCATATGGTAGAATGGTTGCGTGGAAGATGAAGTGAGGTTGTAAATCGGGGTATCTTTTTCGGGTATCAACTTCAAACAAAACGTTCGCCCTTCCGCCGCAGAGGCCTTCCATCCATTTGCTACTTTCCAAAAGTCGCGGAGCTCGTCTGTCGTGTTAACGGGGGGTATAACAGGGGGTTCCTGTGGCCGTCTAGGCCATCTTTGTGTAGAGCCGGCGCTAAGAGGACTTCTCACGGGACTCCGCACTGGTGGGCTCTGAGCATTAGGTACGTGAGATTGTCTGCTAATGACGGTCCTCGGTATGTGAGTTGGGCTCGTCTGGGTAGGATAATACTCCTGACGGTCCAAGGGTAGAGAATGGTCGTACTGTGGAAATATCGAACGGATAGCCGGTTCCTGTACATAGGGTACTGATTGTTCTTCGAGGGGACGTTTGGCAATTGAACTTCGTGATCGTCCACTGTCGCTTCTCACCAGCGTGCTTGTCCCAGAGAACGCGGTGCCGGCCCGAGGCGGCACTTCTGACAAAGGTACTGGTCGCGATACTGACGGACCCGCCTCGTTCTGATAATAGGGATTATTAGACAACATTTGCGGACCGTTAGTCACCGCTGGTGTTCCGTCGATCACGAACTCCGAGAGGTCCTCCGGTGTACGTCGACCATTTCTCGGTGGAGTCATTTCAAAAGAGGAGCCCTGCTCTCGAGATGCCGATTGAGGAGTGGCAGCGCGTGCTCGAGGTGTCGGCTTCCGGGACGGCGACCTTGTTGTATTGGGGAAGAGAGAAAGCCCTCCAGAGGGCCCATTCGACGCCATTTTGCCAAACAATATTCCTTGTCTTTTCCGCCCCGATGAATTAGTTGTCATTAGTCGTCAGTAACGTCGAGTACTAAATGTCGGACAAGCACAGAAGCCGGGTTGGCCAAGCTAAGTCTAGATAGATAATTCGCCTGTTACCGGGACATGGTCTCTCGATCCATATCAAGACGAAGTTATCACTCGACAAGGCAGGTCACACAACCTTACATACACGTTCGCATACTAGGGATCCGAGTACAGAGATTCGGAACCCAATCACCAACAACAGATGGTATAAAGATTCGAGATAACAGAACAGTAAAATCTTCAACTATTTTTTTTTCCTATGAAGCAAGGGAGATACCAAAAGGATGTATATACTACCTAACCATGCAGCAAGCGCTCTGGACCATGTTTGCCGGCGGTCACGATGTGCAGACCACGGAGTTACCAGGTAGGTAGCAGATCACCAAGGTTATTTTGCTAAGCGCCTGTGGACGCCTTTGGAGGTGGGGTGAAGCATCTCAACCAGCCACTTGGGAAGGGTGGTTGTAGATTTATGCAGACCGACGAGGTACCCGTCCCCTGTCATGACATGACTGGCACCCTCTCTAACCAAGACGAGTTGTGTCCATGGGGAAAAGTTGGAAGTGAAGAAGTCGGCACTCCGACCTGATTTGCGCGTCCCGAAATAGAATAATTGCTTGCAGGTTCAAGTAGGCAGACGAACCAATCAGAGCGAGGATCACACTACATCTTAGCCGCCCAACTCGCTAGCTGACTGGCGAAAACGGTACTTGAAAAATGCCAAGAGGCGTGGAGCGCTTATCTCTTAGATCCCGTCAGATAGGTAGGTAGTCAGCCTTGTCAAGTAACTCTGAAATGACCTGAGTGACTTGAGTTTACGAAGGGTACCCGAATTTACGAGGGATAAGGTTGTCTTTGGCTACCTTTTTCTAAGTATAGTAGGAAGTTTGTGGGCCTGGCTTGGCGATCGGTAGCAGATGCCCTCAACTGTACCCCGCCATAATTATGTATATAATCAGCTGACCTAACACCGCGCAAGCCATTTTCTCTTCTCTAACAAAGCCCTGCGTACCGTATAGGAATTTAATAGTGTGCAGTTGAATGCCAGTCAAGGGGTTAAGGCAATTAAAGAAGGTTTAACCGTCTGAGTCGGGCTCGAATATTACGAAGTTTACGGGAAGGCTACGGGAGTCGACAGGAAGGTATATATTAGGTACGTATATCGTGCAAACAGGCACACCTACGGGGGCAGTCAGTTAGTCAGTTGGTTAGATTACGATAGCTACGAATACAATTACTAATTGAGAGATTGATTATATAAGACTATTTAAGAGACTAGGTATCTGGGAAGGCTATCTATGAGACTGGCTAGGAGACTGGCTATATATCCGATTAGCTAGAAGACTAGAAGGCCAGGGGACTAACTTACTGGTTAACTGACTACCTGACTGATCGTTTGAAAAGTTAGACTTAGAAGAAAAAAATGATGAATAGGAAGGGAAGGAGGATGTACAACGTCGATGATCTATTAGATCCCGTTGCAAGGCCTCTTTCAAGGTCTTTAGATCCACGGGAACGACGGGAAGAGGTACAAACGCTTAAAACGTTTGATATTATTTGATATGAAAATAGTGGTAAATGCTAAGAACTACTAACATTTTTTATGTTAAATATTTTGACTACCCAAACGGCATTGATATAGATTAAAATTATTAAACGGTTTACTCGCACCTGCATACTTTTTCTATGTTGTTGCCGACCGCCCGCCTGGCAGTAGTAGCGATAAACTCGAATATTAATTTTTATTGTATGTTGAGTCCAGATAATAAAACCCTCTTCAACTTCGAATACCTTACATCGTATTCGCTCCAAAGTCAAAATGTAAGATGTTGGACTTTTCATTCCTTACCCGAGGTTTATCACCGGGGCTACGAACAGTCTTTTCGAGCCCTGCGAGGTTCAAGATGACCCCCGGTCCTAAGAATCTCATGTCGACTATAAAAGATAAAAACCGATTCTTTTTCGCCATTCGCCGTCCAGGATCGCGTCCAACGCTAAAGATGAACGATATTTCCAGTGATGTCGAGGGTACTGATAGCGAGTGCGAGACTTCAAACAACAAGTACAACAGTGGCTACAGAAATCGTTACGGAGAACAGACTATATTGGGTCTCAGCGATCCACCTCCGGGATATGTGTTCGTGCCTGCCGGCAACCAGTTCATCACTTGGAAATGCCGTCAATATCCGCAGAAACGATATGCTGTCTTGTGCCGTAGGAGTAGGAAAAGGCCTGCTACGCATACAGGTCTCTACGTTTCGAGAGATGTTTTCGAGAAAGTTCGGTCTGAATTTGAGGCCAAAAGAGCAAGTGCCGATGAGAAATTGAAGCGGGCACTTGATAAAGAATACCCCAACATGCCCACTAGCGATAAAAACCAACTCTGCGATTTTATCTTCTCAGATCCTGACGTAATTGGAAAATCCACACCGAAATCAAGACGTCTCGCGATCTTTAATTATGTTCAAGCTAATTATGCTCCGTTAAATTCTCATAACCTGTCTCGCGAAAATCAAAATACCGAAGCCATCGCTCGGGCGAATCAAAAAGTTCAAAAGATCTTGACATCTTGGCGTTACGGAGAGAGGGTGCTGTGCCAAAATGAAAAAGATAACCCTCCTAAAAGTCGGGCATTCTACGAACTTAACCTAAAAAAGTAGATAAGCGCAATTAGCTCCCAAGGTGCATCTGAGAGATTCGTCGAATTTGAGTATCATTCCAGTTAGCTAACCTCAGTGTAGGTCAATTCACCAAGATAATATACCTAGGTACCTAGGTAATCTACATGTCCACCTATTGCCCAACCCAAGTATATACGATCAAAACGCCGTCCCACCCTCTTGATATCCCAACCGACCGGCTTCGATTAGCGCGATTAGGCTGCGGGAGCTGCAGAAGCAGTCGCCGCTGGTACGGTAATAGTGGTTGTGGTTGTCCCAGGGGCAGAAGTGGCAGCAGATGATTGTGCAGGTGCAGCAGAAACTGCGGGAGCAGCAGCGGCTGGGGGTGCTGCTGCCTGCGCAGCGGCGGGAACGAAAGCAGCGTTAGCAAGGGGAATGGAAGCGACTGTCCCGCCTGTTACCGTGGTACCGTCGACACTAGCTGTTGTCGATTGCGACCCCTTAGCATAGTCGACGATCTGCTGGTCATCAGCACTATAGATAGTTAGTATAGTAATGCCTCAAAGTGAGGATCGTCACTTACGGATTGACAACCATGACCTGTCCTTCTTGACAATGGGGTCCCGTAGCACAGTATAGGAATAAAGCGTCGGTGTTTGTCACAGGCATATTGAACGTGCCAACGGTGGTTTGACCATCTTGGAATGGAATATGTCCGCTGTGGATGCCGCCTTGAAGAGGTGTACACGGAGCATTCTGGGCACTCTGGGTTACGGTGTGGTTGCCGTTGCTGAACTGGAACTGTATGACATCGCCAACGGATGCCTTCACAGTATTAGGCACGAAGGTATCTTGTGGTCCACCAACGACAACAGGAATAATCTTGCTAGTTGCTAGAACTGTTTATTATTAGCCATTTATCCACGACGATACCGTTATAGGGTAACTCGTCACTTACTCTTGAACCCCCCAACGTCAACCGGCGCGTTCCTATACAATATCCGAGATGGTCGCGCACTAGCAACTGCAGCGAGGAGGATGGAACTAGTGAAGAATAACATAGTTATTACTGAAGAACCGGTGAGGACGTTACGAGATAATGACCGACAAGAAAACGAAACTCGTGTATTATAGATTAAACCGTATGATAAAGAACCGCTCAACGGCTGTCTGCTCACTAGGAGGTTCGAAAGAGAGTGGAAGGGAAATAAAAATTCGACTAGAAAGTAAGAGATACCTAGGACTCGGTCCCCGAGCCGGTGGGCTTACCGTGAGGATATATAGCGGGCTACCCATGAACGCATATCACGCAGTAATACTAGCTAGGGCTGTGTCGATAACTGCGACGCAATCTCAGCGTAGCAGAATCTTCAAAGCGTCTTAGGGGTAGAGTTGTGATGCCCCTTCACCCTGTTCCCAAAGGGAGTTCCGAACCGTCCCTAAACCCAAGAAGGAATAGGTTCGGCAGTTGAATGTCAAGACTCCTAATCGGATAAAAGGCATTCTTATGCAGAATCCGCATTTTGTCCCTGTTCTAAAGTCATTGGCCAAAACGAGCGAAGGTATGGTTCGATAAGTCCCACCCTTTTCGTATTGTGAGGCTCCTTGGTAACTTGGTTACAGTCTATTGATGTTCGATTTCTAAGATATACCCTCCGCGAGCCAGGATTACCAAGACCCACTCCAGAATGGAGATCCTATGGGAGATCAACCTTTCCCTAGGCGCACATCATAAAGATTTTCGATCACGGTAAAGGGGATCCACATGCTGTCGTAATCTTCAAGTATTCCACGGTTTCCGAAGTTTTGTCGGTGCGTCTTGGCAAGCTTGGCGGCCTTGGCTGAAGATGGGTGCTGTTTCATATCAACTTCAGATATTCCATCTGAAGCATTCTATCCTCATAAATCTATCAACTTGGACGGTATCCATGTATTTCGGCGTATTTAATCGGCAGTTATTAGCGGATATATCTGCCTTAAGCCGGCGCTTAGAAGATTATCTTCACAAGGTACCAGATAACTGCTCAACGGACGTCGTTGAAACTTGGTACATACCTCCTTATATAACTTTATGATAAGATGTATATTACGATGCGCCGGCAATATCTCCGAAATTTCCTCGGCCGTAGCTCCCGTGATCTGCCCCTTCCATTCCTACCACTTTCGGCTCCCATGGCGGATGGTCGGCATGAGTGATCGGCCCCACCCGGCCCCGCTCCCACATCCGATGTTCGGCCGCCATCGCTAAAGCTAGTAATTTCAGCTATTTCTTAGTATTAGTTCGTTCTCTCTCGATTTAGGCTTTTCATAAATATAGGTAATCGAAACCTTTATCAACTCTTACGCTATCGGAATAGGTTTGTTAACATCATACCCCGTATGTATAAATACCTAGGTAGGTACTTATATAAACTTACTACTCATATTCTCTTTTAATGCCGCCTTAGTTTCAGCAAGCTAAATAATAAGGAAACAGCCTTATTATTACGCTCAGACTGTTCCATAGAAGAAACACACTTACCTCTATTAGGCTGCCAAGACGCATCTTTCTTCCGAATACGATGCCGCATATAGTCGTACTGGGGTACATTCTCCTATATTCGTAGCCCCTTATTACGGCGCAGACGTCTGGCTAACACCTCAACCCACAGAGCCGGTGTCATCGGGTTAAGCTCTGCTCTACGGATCCAGGCTGAAGGACACGCCGTGACTATCGTAGCGCGGGACTTTCCCTCCGGATCTGAGACTATTGATGCACAAACCCAGATTAACTACACTTCGCCATGGGGAGGGGCGCACAACAGGCTCGTACCACCCACCAACCCCGCCGAAGAGCGGGAGCATGCCATGAGCCTCCAGACTTTCGACCACATGCGTGCCGTACAAGCACGCCACCCGGAGGCCGGCATCACTTTCATGAAAGGGATTGAGTATCTCGAAGCGCCTAATGAGGCGTACCGTGCGCTTACGGAAGAGAGAGCGCGTACACAGCTAGGTATGAAGGGATTTAGGCTGCTAAAGAAAGGGGAGCTTCCAGAAGGTGTCGAATGGGGATGCGAGTACGATACGTGGTGTGTCAATCCTATGGTCTACTGCAGCTTCTTACTGCGTAGGTTCGCGATTCTTGGAGGTAAGGTCCTACGTAGAGAAGTAAGAGACCCTAGGGAGATATTCTCCTGGAATCTTGAAGCGGGACCGATTGATGTGCTTGTAAACGCTTCTGGGATTGGGTTTGGCGACGAGAACATGTTTATCACGAGGGGTGAGTTGTTCCTATTTCTTTCTCCCGATAACCACCTACCTATCATAAGTGCCTAATCTTAGGAGGTATATGCGTCTCAATACCTACTGAATACCTGCACAGGCCAAACATGTCTCGTCGCCAACCCGTGCCCCGTGACCGTCACGCGGCAGAATGCAGACGGCTCGTGGACATTCTGCGTCCCGCGTAACTTCGATGGCGGCACCATCATCGGCGGTACGAAAGAGCCCAATAACTGGGATCCCAATCCATCACTAGAGGTCCGCGACGCCCTATTGCAGAAATTTGCCGCTACTTACCCGCAGATCTTGGGCGGTGAAGGCAAGTTTACGGTTATCAAAGATATCGTGGGTCGAAGGCCGACCCGTAGAGGCGGTATACGGCTGGAGAAGGAGGAGGTAGGTGACAGGCAAACTATCATTCACGCATATGGTTTGGGTGGGCGAGGCTATGAGCTGAGCTGGGGTGTTGCCGATGGGGTAGCACGGCTACTAGCAGAACACCTGGGCTCTGGCACGCCAGGCAGAGCGGAAGCTAAACTTTGATGATATCTTAGTTAGTTAGAATATACTAGAAACAAGTGTTAGGTACCTAGTGAGCATACGTAATATCGTGCGTTAAAGTTGTGTAGCGGTGAAAGAGTAAATTTCGCGAGTCAATCTATTCTTCGTATCCCATTGACAACCGAACATGAGTCAAAAATTCAATCCACTCAACTAAACCAAATAAGTTTACTAGCAACCAAGATAAGATTTGAAAATAAACTTAAATTGCATAAAATACTCTCTTTTAAAGGTTTAGCCAGTGGAAACATTTTCTAACCCATGTTCGGCAGTCGATGGGATAAGGGTGCTTGCAGCTTGTTCCTGTAACGCAACTGCAATCTTTGAAAAAAAGGTCAGTGCAAACGGTATTAATATATGTATTCCGTAGATGACTCACGATTAATATAGGTAGGTACGTATTACTTAAATTTAAGGAAGGAACGATATGTAAGGAGAGGCTATTTACAAGTGCGCTACCCTCGCTACTTTTATTCCTTACCGGCAGCACTTTCCCTTGAAGTTTCTCACCTACCTAAGTTAAAGAAACTTACACACCTTCAACCTAAATACTTCATCCTTCCTAATTCACCCCAACCAAACCCCAAATCATCATCCGCCAATATGCCTCCTCGAGTGATCCCTCCAACATACAATCATCCACCACCCGATCCCAGCGACCCCGGATTCAACCTAAATGCATGGATGGACGCGACCTTCGAAGGCGTCGACAATTCCAACGCCGCCTGCGCCGCCCAGAGAGCAGGCCGGTTCGAAGAGTCCATCAGGCTGCACCAGAAAGCCCTCGAGTACAAGCTGCGCTTCCACCCGCCGGACTCCATCCAGGCAGCCATCACCTACAACGGCATGGGCGAAGCCATGCTGCGCGCGGGAAGGCTGGACGAAGCAGACGAAGCTTTTCACAAAGCGCTCCCGATTCGGGAGGGAGGAGGCCCGGTCCTAGATGCGGCAGTGACCCGTGACAACATCGGCCAGCTGCGGGAGGCCCAGGGAAGATTCGCCGAGGCTAGGGAGATACGTATTAGAGGCACGGGAGAGCAGATGGTGTGCGGACACTACGACGTAAGTATATGTATACCTAGGTACTTAACCTATATATTCCCATCACCCCGAGTCCATGATGAACACACGAGGTAAACGGTATCCCCAACGAGGATTTAACTAATTATACCCTACAGTGCCCCCAAGGCCGAACCTTCACTCAGAGAGAACTGAAAGCCTGCGGCGCATGCCAGTCGGTTTTCTACTGCTCTAAGGAATGCCAGAAGCAGGACTGGACTCAGCGACATAAGCCGCTGTGCCAAGCGCGTCAGGCTGAGGGACAGTCTAGCAACCAGGGAGCTGGACAGTGAGTAGGCAGGTTCCTTAGGGATTTAAGAGAGAGAAAGAATTTCGGGGCAGAGAAATGTACCTAAGGAGCGATAGATACGGTTTAGATAGTACAATGCCGTGCTAGTAGTGTTGGTTGCACCGGCGTCTCTATCTATCTACCTACTAATATGAGTCTCGTTGCCTTTTATTTACACCGTTGTACAAAACCTCCAGTCTACCTTGAGTGTAGTCTATTTAAAATGATGCAGCATGAATACTCTCTTCAGCCACAGAGAAGAGAGTCGTAAATTTACACCAGTTAACGCTTCTAGACCAAAAATGTCCAGAAACTAGGGTACACAAACTCTTCCTCGAATATCCGCCTGACCTGTTCGAGAACGAATTTCTCAACCTTCCCAACGTTCTTGAGGCTCTGCTTCGTACCCTCTCTCTGACCAATTTCGCTCTCGACCCTAACCTCCTGCAGCAAACTTCCAAGCCTGCCTTTCCGCGCGCCGCTAGCAGTCCCCGTACCCTGCTCGTCTCCGTCACCACCATTATCGTCATCCTGTCCTACGGCAGCAAGCGCATCCTCGGGACTCAAGAAGCAGAAATGTACGCGTTTCCTAATATACGCGACGACGCCCACCCCGTCGAACGTAAGCCCCGTGATGTTCAGCTTTACCGGAATCCCCACGAAGCTCGGCATCGGGTAGTCGAGCAGGATCTCGGCCGTCAGCATCAGCTTCACGTCGCCCGCGTATTTGATGCGGAACACGGCTTGCAGATCGTCGATCCTGGGCTCCCGGAACTTCTTCGGCGCCTCTTCCTCCTCTTCCGAGGATCCTTCGCGCGCCCCCCCTTTGCCGTTGGGACTGCGATTATTAGACCGAGGCAAGCCTGTCATGTGTGTCGCGCTCGTCATCCTGTCTCTGGTAGGCGGTCGTGACGGGCCGGCCGACGTCGGTGCGAGAGTTGACACACTATGTTTCTCCCGGAGCGGGTGTGGCATCGGCGAGAGCGAGGCTGGGGGTAGAGTAGGGGATGGAGCTGGAGGGTGATCTGGTATAGAAGCGGAGCCCTGTGAAGGCTGTCTGCTGTGATCGCGACTTCGCGAGTATCTCTCTGATGGAGGTGTGTGTAGGCCACCACCCATCTCCAACCAGCCGTTCAAGTGTTGCGCTCCGGCGACGGCCGCTAACGGCGTCTGCGTGCCGGACCAGGTAGTCGCGAGCTTTGACTGGAAGTAGTGCATATTTGCCGTACCGCCAGGCACGCCGGGCGTCGGAACGCCGAGTCCCAAGAAGGGGTTGCCTATATCGGGAGTGCCGGGGGCGCTCCGTAAACCAGCGACGTGGATATGAGGCGGATATAGACCTTCCGGATGATAGGCGGCCGTCCCACTTTCGCCCTCACCACCCCTGCGCCCGCTCCCACTCCTTCCCTCTAATCTCCGAATCTGGTCCTCTCTCCTCTTCCGCTCGGCGGCTCTAATCGCTTCGGATATATCCTCCGAATGCCCATGTCTTCCTCTCTCATCCTGGACAAGCGTCTCTTCCTCATCTTCCCCCTCCTCTTCGTCCGACACGTCTGAATTTTCCTCATAGAAGTCTGGTAGCGGATCGCATATGTCCTTCAGTACAATATTTGGCGGTATAGAACCAAAAGCGAAGTCGTGGACTTTGACGGACTTGATGAAACGCGGTAGGGGAACGGCCTGAAATTTGGTGTGAATGAAATCGCGGATGTGTTCCGCGAGCGCGGCACCGTCCGGCCCTCCCGTCAATGTCTCCCAATTCAAGTCTATCGACATAATGGCGGTGACGTATGATAGTTTTTTATTATCGCTAAATTTCCCATCATCTTATTTTACTTCTAATCTAGTGAAAAGTAGCAGTAGGTTTCTTTCCTACCATACTTGTGGTATGAAAAATGAAAAGTTAAAAGCGAAAAGTGAAGACTGCCTTACATAAGGTAGCCGTGATGAGTACAATGAGTACAATTCGTATCAGTCAAAACGTTGGTTTTTGGGTTGAGATAACTAAACCGTAGATAGCGGGCCGCCACCAAATAACCTTAAGTCAGCAGATGTTAGCGCCTGTGGGGCTCTTCCGCCTTAGGTAGGTACCTAACATATTGTACCTAACACACCTAACCCAGCTACCTCTCAGCTATATGTATAGCAGTCTATCTACCTACATGTACCTAAGGTAGGTAATTCTTAAATGCTATTATACTTTTCTGTTGCTCGTTTATATTAAATTCCATAGCGAAGCAGTAGTGGTCTTATAGATAATCATTATTTCATTGATGCCTGGATAAACCACTAAACTCACTTTGACCTGGATAATTGTATTTCAAGTAACGTTATTATAATTATAGGTACGACATGGACTGTTATGCCTATTACTACCTAAAATGGGTATTCGCTATCAAAAGATGAAGGGAGACCTTCCGCGCTCTTATCTCGAACTGCTTTCGCTTATCCGCGTCTCGCTATTCCCGTAGTGAGGAGGTCAGGTTGCCCCATGCTCATCCGTATACCATATCTCTTGCAAAACGCCTCGTGAACTCGTTTCATGGTTAACGTCATATATACCATTCATACAAAATACCGCTCATCATCCTATAGTAAGCCTACGAAGACGCAATACCTATGTTGCACCTACATCCGTTGCTTCTTCGTCCCTTCTTGCAGCATTCGCTTCCTCTCGGTGGGGTCTCGATACTAGGAGCGGCACACTGGGCTGGTGCCAGCAATCCGGTGCTTCGAGAATGTATCTACGCCGTTCTGAGTCAGTACGATATATTTCTTTAACGCGTTAGAATAGTAGCGTACCTGGCCATAGCCTCTCTAAATCTCGACTTGTATTCCTTCGGGCTGGTTACGGTTGGTTTATTACGACCGCCGCCCGCGAAGCCGCGGTCCTTGATCCAGCTTTCAAGTTTCTTGTCCCATGTGTACGTTCGAATGCAGTCAATGATACCTACCACCAACTCTTTCTGTATCTCGTCCACGGCGATCATCAGAGAGTAATCCATGACGTTCTGTCGGGCTAAAAATAGCGTATCGTTCCAGACTGAGTCACGCAAAGTTTTCTTCGAGTGTTCCCTCGCGAAAAGCGGCGATTCGTAAATATATTCCACCATATTCTCATCGAGAAGAACTTCGTTACGCTCTCCAGTCACCTGGATCTTTCGGTTTCTCATCGAACCCTTCAAGTCGAAGATCCTCGAAGGAGCCCGATCGTAGAATAAGTTTTCCATAAGAAGCAAGTCCAGTTTGATCTCCGTGTTGGTTACCGGGTTTTTGATAGTGATTTGAAAGAACCCTAGCATCTTGGCAATTACTGACGGGAGATCATGGAAAAGCGCCTCCGCCATCAAACCGAAATACGCTGGTGCAAACTTCAAAAAAGCAGCCGTCTCCACTGGCGACAAAGACTAGTAATATAATCAGCACACCCGCCTACGTAAGGATGGAGCTTACACCCTTGCTTACCTTCATTACCAACCGGTCGTCTAGAGTCTTCAAGAAAACTGATTTCGTCTTGCCACCTTTGGAATCCCATTTTAAACACCGGGACAGAGACTCGATGATGCGGTCGGCGACACCGCATTTCCGTCGTAAAGCGTCGAACTGTTCGGCATAGAAGATTTTAACCAGCATTTTCGCCGTTCCTTCGGTAAATTGATACTTGTAATGGGAACTCGTAGTATGGACGAGTTTAGTTTCCAGTTGACTTTCGGTGATATCTTCCTCTATGTTTGAATATACCTCAGAATGTGCGTCGTCCTCTGTATCTGTCCCCGCCGAGGCTGCAACGCTCTCACTACCCTTCTTGCGATAAAATGTGCGAAGTTTCTCTTTATAATCCTCGGAGCTCAAGGCGAACGCAATGAGCGAGCTTGGCTCATCTTCCCGGACAATGATGTCAGAATCAATGAAAATATGGTCAGCTGCATTTAGGGGGTAATCTAGCCCAGGCCACAGGCTAGCTGAGCGCTCATTCCAAAAATTAGTGAGTACCTTCATGAAGTTATTCTTGTCCTGCTTGGGAAGTTCTGTGGGAATCTCCGCGCTGGAGTCAAACGACTCGGCAATTTGTTCAAGCGTTGTACCATCGATCAACGAATGCTCTGTGTCGCTTTCCCCTTGCTCATCATCTGTGGGTCCTGGACTATTGTTGTGCGCCTGGTCGTCAGTTTCACCTTCAGTCGCAATTTCATCTCGATGTTGATGGTCATCCTTTGGAGATTGTCTGTCCTCTGCTGGCGCTTCGACAGCCTCATTTCCTTGCGGATGGTCTTGCATTCCTAATTGATTCTTTGATCTAGGATCAACTGATCCCGATGCGGTTGCATGCTCATCCTCAGCAGGACCTGGTTCCAGTACGGCCTCATCCACGTCTTCGTAAACCTCAACTATAGCTTTAGTCGTGGAATGCTGGAGGAAAGGCCTCGAATGAGACATTCTTAGTTTTCGTTTTTCACGATCTTTTTCACGCTCTTTCTCGAACTCACGACTGAGCTGTTCGAAATGCTTACGAATGGTAGACACCCTAGAGTCTTTCTTTCCAATAAAACGGGGGATAGACGACTGGTTACCCTTGCGGTGCGGCCGGAGACTACTAAAAAGCTTCTTCTCGCTTTTAGCGGATTCGCTAGCAGCCTTCCTGATTTCGCTTCCGCTTGTCACCTCCGGAAAAGATCCCTTGTCTTTATCTTTGTCCTTGTTGGTACTAAACATCTTTTTACCTACTGCAGAATGTAGGCGGGGCAAGGTCGGAACGCTATTCACAGGGTGTGATATGGCGCGTACCATAGGTGGCGAAACGTTTGATCCTATCCTACGGGATGAGCTGCGCTCCGGCGTCGTCCCCTGAGGCCCTCCAGCGGTCCCAAACCGCTCGTTCTTCGTACTTTCAGGAACCAACGACTGCTGTTGTCGACGAAGTTGTTCAACTTGCTCAGCTAGTGACATAGGCGGTACCGTGCTTGTTACCAACCGTGGCGCAACCTCGGGGGATGATGCTGAGACTGTATCTGTGATATTTGGTACTGATACTTCCTGACTATCGACGTTATTATCCTGTTTGCTTGGGGAGGAACTGCTGGGTACGGGTGATTTCGGTGTCGCAAGATCCAGTGGCTCAATCCTCTCCAGAGTTTCTTCCTGAGGCGGTACATCTAGCGGGGTTTTTTCTTGGATTGTATCGAGCTGGGAAGCATCAGTAGTAGCTTCTGATTGTTGAGTATCCTGCTTGGGGTCGCTTTCCGGCGTACTCGTCTGGGTATTTTCTTCTGTGTTATCGGTGGCTTCGTTTTGGACTTCATTGCTATTAAGAGATTCCTTTGATTCGTCCGTGAACATTTTACGAAGGTGAATCATAGTTAGCTTTCGAATATCCTTGTCAGAAGGAAGAAAATCGGCTTCGAACTTGGAAAAAGCGGCATCCCATTCGGCCACCTTCACGAGCATCTCTCGTAAAACTATATTAAATGGAATTACCTCGTAATATTTAGATTCCATATATTTATCCTGAAGCTTCCGAATAAGCGAGGTGTGATCATCGTGTATTTTTTTCCACAACCGGTCCATTTCTGCCTTGCATTGTTCGGCCTTTTCAGGGATAATACTCTCGGTATTAATGGCTTTTAGTCGTAATTTGACAGATGTCGTGAACCGCGTCCAACGCTCTTGAGCATTTAGAAATATTTCGTTTTTCATGTTGAGATCATGCCCAACATTCCAAGTAATCCTAGCTCGAGGTACAATGATTTCTAAGAGGTCAATTGGCTCGTAATGGACGCGTACAACCTTGCCGTTCAACCCAAAGTGTCGTATATGATCGCGATGGTGGTCGTGAGGACAGTCCCAGCCCCCTAGATTCTCGTCTTTGACTAGAGTGGTACCCCTACTCCAAAATGATAGTTCTAAATATTTTCCAAATGAATACTTCCATGCCCCTCTTGACATTTCCGTTTCGCTGGTTTCTCGTTTGCAATGCTTACAGTAGCTCCACATCATGATACTGTCTTCGTGGCGTCGGTCTCTGGTATCTTGCTCAATGAATATAGTAATTCGTGCTTCGCCATGAACGTACGTTCGGTGATGCTCATACAATTTGCGATCGCATCCATTCGATTCGCAGGTTGAGTCGGCGCCATAGCAGATATCTTCAATGTATTGTCCCAAAGTACAATCAGGATCCATACCACTGCTTCTATCGACATGCTCATCGTAAAAGCCAAGTGCGATCAGATTCGGCTCTAAACACGGGATCTTAGTTTCAGTACAGATGACAGAATGTAGGACAACTATGTTCTGGTGGGCATAAGGTTCGAAAAGCCCAATATTGCCCTTGATGTAGTTTTCCCATTGTCTTGCTTGCGTTTGATAGTTGTAGAGAGCCCTGTCGTATTCAGCATCGTGGACAGCATGAAGAATTTCCCTAATCTGTCTAGGGGCGTTATGGCTCGTCTCGAGAACCATTTCCGGTTTAATGAGCTGGAACTTTGATGGATTAGACTTTTCGTTGTCTGCGCGGCGCTCCTCAATTACATCTTGATCCCGCAACCGCTTTAAGTGAGCTAGCTTTCTTTCCTGCTCCCGAGCTTTCATAAGTAGATATGGTGGTGCGAATTTAACGAACGGCGACACAGAGAGGATTCTTGTTTGATACTTGGCCACCATATCACTGTAAAAGGTTGGCATAGGAACATCTTCCGGAACAGAACTGTCGTGAGGTGCCCGAGAGTGTGTTTCATGGATCGGAATTAACTCGCTGGCTGGTTGGGTTGATAGAAGTTGATCTTGTGGTATATTGCTGTCCGGCGATGCTTCAACTGCCTTCCCGGAAGAATGATCTTCTTGGCTTAATGGCATCTCATCTTGAGTCATATTTTTCTGTGCATCATCATCTATTGTGGCCTTAGTACCTACTGAGGGTTGACTGCCATCAGTAGTTTGAGTGGAACCTCTCGATATATCTTCTTCGGTAGGAAGCTGAATTAATAAATCCCGCAATAGACACGACTCGAGTTTGAGGTTATACACTACATATACCATGAACTCAGTTATGTGTTTGAGCTTCGCAAGAATAGGCGTAGATGCACCTCTGAGAGCAATGGTACAACCGAGATCTTCTAGGAAGCTAGACAAGAAGATGTACGTCTTCTTTCGACCTGGAATATCCTCATTGACGAACGTTTTCACCTCGTAACCCGAACTCTTTCCTGTCTGGAACTGATGCGGAGGAAGCGCCAACATATCTACAGAAGAGATAATCTCTGTCTCTAGGCATCTTGAAACAGCTGAGAGTACAGAAGGTTTCACGTTGTAAGCAACAGAGATCTTCGCGTCCCAAAGAAATTGTAACGCAAGACCTGAGACGCTCTTCTCGGCTAATAACAACTGAGGGCGGAGGGCTATAATCCTATTCACTAACTGTTTTAGAAACTCTCTCTCCTGTTCGATAACAGGTTGGAGGCTCATGAATTGTTGTTGATGTCGTTGGTATTCGATCGGAAAAGACACAATAACAACACGAGGGCAAGGCATGCGGCGTGGCATGCTCTTCAAGGCCAGTTTCTTTGTAAATATCACGCCTGAGACATAGCAAGTATCACTTGGCCTACCTCCCGGAATCTTCTTGAGTTTGACGTAGTGCCGAATATCGATGTCGTCTCCTCTATCGATATCAGGATCAACGGATGAAGCACATTTTAAAAGGATTGGTATTAATGCCTTCTCCCAGGCGCTTACGTTTGGCACCTTGGAATCTTCAAGCAATTGTCGCAGGAGCTTCCGGACGTGTAACAAGCTCGCCGGGTTAAGTTCCAATCGAGGTTCTTTATCTCCTTTCATAGAAGAACTCCGAGTGGGGCGTGGTAGCGGTGACCCTCCTGGACTATCAAATAATGGAAGTGTCTCATTTGATCCAGTCGGGCCCCTTATCACGGCCGATTTAGGTCGAGGAGAGCGAACGTGCTGCCCACTAGCAATACTCATGTTTCGTCGTCTGGAGGATCTTGGATGAAAATCGTCCAGGCCACGGCTAGTAAAACTTACGCCACTGATGCTTTTGTCCGTTTGCGCTCGGTTTCTAAGTTTCCTCCCGGCATTAAGGTACGCTAAACTTGACCTCTCAGAATCCGTTGCGGGTGACGCGTGAAATTCGGATCCAGCCATAGCCCCCGCAATACTCATCTGTTCATCGTCACTAGATTCGTCCGACATGAAAGGCGCTAAATCTGGATCGATAACATTGTCGTCATGGAAAGCATGCAGTCCGGGTTTTTTACTTGCTTCTTCCGTTGCGGATTTTCGGAACGGTGCTCTTTGCTCTGGAGATGGTTTAAGGCGATTCCATAGAGTATGCTTCGAATGGTGGCGTCTATGGCTAGAAGACTGTGGTCTGCCTGAGGTATTAGACTTCAAAGACCTAGACGAACTTGGTAATGATCTCTTGTCATCGTCAAGGTCGTCTGTTCTCTCAGAGATACTAGCATCATCTCGATCGGCTTTTGAGAATGGCGAATACCCTCGCTTAGATTGACTACCACGGAATATTGCTGGGAGAAATGAATCGTCGGCCGAATCGTCAGACGCAGCGCCATCTTGTCTTTGGAGGATGATACCCAGACAAGGCGTACATACACGGAGTGTCCCCTGAACCCCAAACCGCTGGCCAGATATTATAGACGTACATCCGCTATCAAAAATGCAGCCGCACGTTCGACAATGATGTTTGCGGCGAAAAGCGGTAAACAGAGCACCACATAGAAAGCATTCCTTGCAAGTCTCATCTGCCATCCAGAAGTCTTTACTTAAGACTTGTTTTCGCATGGAAGCTAATTGCGCGTTGACCATTTCCGGAGCGCCCTCATCAGTAGTCGTGCCCGGAATCCTGTACTCACCGGATCGTATCCGTTGAGTTGAGGGGATTTGTCCAAATGACCCATGATGAACACTGTTATGAGCAGATGTGTTAACGGGGCTATGTTCCGTCGTACCTCTAGATAAGGAAGAGGACCTAGAAAGATCGCCAGAAGTTCTAGAATGGGTGATCCGGTCAATTAGAGCGGGTCTTCTGATAGCATCTCTAGGGGAAAGCAAATCAGGCTGGGGTTGTATGGAAGAGTCCGATGAAGTCGGATTAGGAGCCGTAGAAATAGGCGACACAACATTAGATCTCTTTATAGGACTAGTAGCAGAATCGGTATGCCCATCTACAATTAATCCATCCTCTCGCCTCGAATGACTAGGGATTGCAATCTTGTCCGGGTTAGAGGCACGCTTATTTTCGGATGCATCATATATCGACGATAACTCCGGGACCGGATTATGTTGCCCATCGTTTGACCTGCTAATACTCCTTCTTCCGCCTCCTTTACTTGCGCCATCTTCAGTCTTGGCCGACGCACCCCGGGTACCGTCCTTGAAAGCGCTGACATGTACGGGCGCTACGGAGGCTGTCGCTTTTGTCGTATTTGGTATGTTTTGACGACTTAATGAGGCGGATTTTGAAATCGTAACCCCACTGAGATTAGTAACAGATGAAGTCATCGTCGACTGGGGTTGCTGGGATTGACTTTCGCTAGTCGGAGCTGCACTTGAAGAAGCAATATTAGAGTTCATCGGCTCAGACTGGGATGAATTGAAAGTTAAACTCGTAGCGCCCGTATCAACTCTCGGCAAAGAGGTAGAAGGCTTCGGGCCTGTGGTGCTAGTACTCGAGCTCTTCTTCGATGCGGTATCCCCATCGATCGATTCGGAGTTCTCTTTGGTACCTGTATTCACCACTGATTTGTCCTTCCCACTAACCCCAACAGCCTCTTTAAATCGAGAATAGAGCCCGCTCAAGCCATTTTGCACAAGGTCGCTCCCAATTCCTTTGTTTTCCGTGGGAGCTATAGATTCTGGCGGTGGCGCAAAGTCGTTAAAGGTAGTTAGGACATCTTTTTCCTTAGCGGAGGTATGTATTTTATCAAGAGCCTGGGCAAGTTGGTCCTTGTCGATTTGAGGAGAGGTAAGGGATGCCGAGTCGATCGATTCCTCGCAAGATTTAGGAGCAGATGAGGATACTATCGAGGGAGAGATTGGAGTTGGGGATGGTTTTTTATCAGACATGGTGGCGATCGATTTGAGACATGAGCGATGTAGTCAAGCTGACCAAAATGCTAAAGCCAACACTAATCAGTACCGAGGAAGATAGCTCATACACTCTTGATTTACCTCGACAGCCTCGAGAGTTCCTGTCAATATGCGCTTCTATTTACAGCTTCTGTGGATGTAGAAGAAGAAGAAGAAAGGTTCCCTCGCGAGTTGGTTCGGGGTGTCTCGATAGCCCACGCACGTCGGTATCTGAGAAGCATAAGTAGTACGAACGGAAGAGGCCTGAGCGAATGGAAGCTAGGTAGGTACCTAACCTATACGGATTAATATTAATAAATGATCTATTAACAATGCATGGCGACGGCTGCCATAAAAAGAAAAGGCACTTGAAAGCTACTTCTTACAGCGAAGTAAGGATCTTATATAGTAACTGCAAAGGACCGAGATTGGTAGATAACGAAAGAGTGATGCAAGAGGCGGGCATGGGAAGCTTTATCCAGCTGTGGTTCCACTCTTTAGCGTTTGATGCAGCGAGCGACAAGCTGCTTGACGTATAACCATGGTTTGTTTTATATACCTATGAGGTACATGTTAGGATGTATTTGACTACTTCCGAGGTACTAACTTCATGCATGGCCACACATTCATTGGGATGGAAAGTAAGTTTGTACAACCCGAGCTCGAAGGGACTAAAAGACCCCGCAACGCCAACTGAATCATTGGCACGTGAGTTCGTATCTCTTTCATAGTTCCGTCTCCACTATCTAATTCTCTCACGCGTCAAACGCGTTAATGGATTCAATTCATCTTCCAACTTATCACCAATCAATACGTGAACCCCGTCCATTCAGCCATGAAGCGGGCGCTAAACCAACATAAGAGATACACTAATACCTTGTCGAATATATTACGATCTGAATTCATTAGTATTATGAGTACTATTGAAGCCACCAGTTCAAGATGGCAAAGCAGTCTAACCCAGTCCCCGGGCTTAGATCTCCGTCAGATCTCTTTGGGGAAACGAAGATTCATCGGTGTCTTGTCAAAATTGGGAGCGACCAACAGAAACTTTTAGCGCTCCCTAATTCATGGGCTCAATTTCTCAGTAGAAGTTCTAAGCCTTTTCTAAACGTACCTCCTGAAGTACTACAGGACCTGAAGGAGTATTACTCTCGGCAATTACAGCCAACGCAGTCAGACGAAGCCATTTCATCAGCTGATGCACAGGCCGATATCAATGGACAGGATGAACAGCAATCTCAAATTGCTCAATCTGAACACGACGCTGAAAGTGATAATGAGGAGGAGGAGGTTCAAATCACATCATCATGGCCATCAAGCCCTGAGCATCACAGATTTATACCCGAAAGAACAAGTGATGAAAATCCTCAGCAGCCATTTATTACGCAAGTCCCACCTATATCTCCCCCTCAGCCTACGAAACCTACTCTATCTAAACAACAAGCTCTTCCTCCCTTCCCACACAGCAGCCAAGAGCAAGAAGAACCTCTTGAGGTCGAGGTACCGACTGGCATTAACGACAATATTCCCCCTTTCGGAAAATTAGATGCGCATATGGGCACGACGCCCCCTTCCGCTCAAGTGGTACCGTGTACCTATGAGCAGTCGGAGCAGTCGTCTTTGTCATCGAAAACAAAGCCGAAGCAACCAATCTACAAAGAAGTCCCTGAATTCTATCGCCCGCAAAAAATTAGGCCAGTATCAGCTCATCCCAGCCTAGGCGTGGCAAGATTAGAGCATACTGTTGCGCCATTTCCCAACGCACAGGGTGCCGAATTAACGGGCAATCCACCATCTTCGATTATACCATCTACTGTCCCGGATGCGATTCCACGGAGGAATCCGCCTACTTGGCAAGTTAACCGGCCTAACTCTCCATCTGGGAATCCTCGTATTGGTCACGACAGTATCGAAGCCCCGGATTCTCCACAAACTCAACCACCTTCACCCGAATACAGCCCTCCAACGCCGCAGCTCAGATCTTCGCCACCTGTTCCACATATTCCTCGAATTTCATCACCGGTCATGAGTCAACCGTATTCGGTATCGCAAACACCATTTATCCGTTACACTTTAACGTACCCAAGCTACAATGGAAGCATCAATGACTTCGTGACTGCTTGCATGTATATTCAGCTCCAACAGCGAAGGATACGAACGTCATTGTACGATGATTTTATTCGAGCGTGGCATGAAGGTTATCTGCCATATGTCCAGGAATGCGACGAGGCAGAGCCTCCCGTGAAGGCGTTAAATGCCATTGACTGGTATAACCAGATTGATGATGACCCAGTATTTACGTCGCGAATTATTATAAAACAAAATCTTGAGTCAACTCTTAATTCTTATCCAGATGAGCTCAGTGCATGTCGGGGCCTCCTAGGCCTATCATCAGGACAGTCTCGAGGCCCAACGAGCACTCCGGATGCTACTCTTCTGGCGAAAGGTCACATCTCTTCGCCAAAACTTACTGTCACGGGAGACGCCATGCCTAGCGGAAAAGGTCAAGATATTCCAGCAGTAGAGACGACTAAAAGTGCATCTAATGACATCCCTTCGGCGGCTTCACCCATACCCCCGAAGCCAAACCACAAAAAAATCATTCCAGTTACCCAATCGATGGGAGAGATCGGGTCAAGGCCAACTAAACCTAAGGGGCTTACGCGATCCTTCTCCGAAACATCTCGTCACAAGAGGAAATCAAGCGAAGAACTCAATTTTTCCCCGCCTAAGAGGGTATCAGTCAACTCCCTAGCTGGACCCGACTCCGGAAGCGATACAACCACCGTGAAGCCCGAAGTCCCTAAAATTCCAGCTCGAGGTTCTCCCACGCCTAGTTCTATAGCGGAGAGAAAGAGGAAATACGCCAACGACCCGAAAAAGAGAATCGAATTGTTTAAAAAGTTCGCCACGAAGAAGCGGTATAAGCGGGAAAGGGACAGTATCACGAGCTCGGCGCCTGTGAGCAATACTCCGACGTCTGCCCAGAGAGGATAGACATCGGCGTACAAAAGTTGTACGATATCTGTAAACCGTGCAAACCGGGAAAAGCTGACATGTTCTACGGTTTGTTAACTTACGGAGTTTCAGGGTGGTACTTGTGCGTATATCGCGAGCTTGAGATACCCCGATTTGCGATCATTTACGTGTCTGGGAGACATGTATTACATATCGTTTAGAGAATTTTACGTGAGACAGCCAATGTGTAGATACTACCTCGCCATAATATTACTACTACCAAGCACGCATTAGACAACAGTCGACTCCAATTCCTGACTACGGAATATAGTAAGGTATATTCGTCACGAGGTAAACTAGAATGATAGGTACCATGAGATAGGCCTTAATAGTAAATCTACGTCTACCTAGATACTCACATGTGAATCTTAACACTGCGACTTCCGCGATTATTTTCATATAGACCTTGTTTTCCATGCAATGTTAAGAAATGCTAAGAAGTAAAATAGGAGGATCAGGTGTAAAGCATATGTGGATTATGAAGTTGTAATAGAACTTATGAGCTAGGTTAACTATGTCTCGTGTTTATTACCTCGGTTATCAAAACACATTTGCTTCGCGAAATGATGAATCGTCATGTATTGGGTAGCTTAACATACTGCGACTGGTGAGTAAAGCTAGAGAAACCCTCTTGTATGTACACTAGTATCGTACATACATATCAATCATCTCCACGCCTCAAGTTCTAGCTGAAGCTAGGTAGACTCAGCAATACTAGTAGCGCCCTACTACTGCTGCTGTTTCTCTTGCCACTTCTGTTCCTCCTCGGGGGTCATAGTGCGCAGCTGCAGCGCGTGGATGCCGCCTTCCCGAGCCATCTCGTCGTCTAGAAGCTGGTAAATAAGGCGATGGCGGGCGGGCTGCATCTTGGACTTGAAGGCATCGGAGGTGATGACTAGCCTGAAATGTGTCTCCTTGGAAGTGTTACCCACCATAGCCTTGTGGTGAGAATGGTTGGCGGAGTCGTTGAAGATCTCCAGTCTAGAAGGTTTGAGGGCTTCGGTGATCTAAGTGCGAAGGGGGCCAGCGCAAGTTCGGATTAGTACGACGGCTTACTATATTATACTACTCATTCGGGGCCCCGAAGCTGAGTGTGCATTTACCTTTGCCCGAATGGTGTCCTCCACCGGCGTATTCGACGCCCCGGATGATGCCATAGTGGAAAGCTGTTTGGTTACCCTGCCGGTCCAGGCTCGCACGTGTCGCTGCAACATATATGTATGTATGTAATATGTAAGATGTAGGGTTGAGATGGTATGTAAGGTTACCCCCTTCTTATCCTCTGGCCTGGTTTTCTCCCTTCGAAGCCCAAGGATCGAACCTTTTAAATTCCCGATCAGATATGGTGTTGACTAAAACGGATAGGTAGGGTGTTAGTGAGGGTTGTGAACTGACGAATGAGAAAAGACGGAAGATATCTGCATTAAGCAGGTACGTACCTGGTTTAACTCATCGAGGTCCATTCATGCATATATTCCGTATGTACCTGAGTACCCTGAGCTTAAACGGTGGGGTGGAACTACCTAGGATTGATGGATATTTTCGGCCGGCCGATGCGGACCGGCAAGAACTAAAAGTCGCTGGAATTAATTGGCCAATGAGAAACATTTACGGTAAAAAAAGCGATCCCGAGATTCTCAACAAACAATTCCCATGTTCCACTTTCTGTAAGCTTTTGTTCTTGAACTGCTATTATGCTAGACGTGCTTAGTTTTATCACTGGGGTTTTCGGGCATATTCAAGCCTATCGTGTCCGAAGAGTCTAGAAGGGTTATTATGCACACACAGTATTGTTGGACTGGTACAATACGAATACACCAAAATTCCATGCCACTATCTGACGACTTCAAGTACCTATCACGGATTTGACTGAGCCGACTTACAGGATCTATCCTCTATCTATCCCATCTATTCCCCCCCTGCTCGCGAGTTCTTGGTATTTCAAATACCCATACACACTGCCGTATTCCCCCAATCCATCCTCCGGCTCGTCCTCCTGCCTATTCAGAGGGGTTTGCATGGGGGTGGTATTATGTCCGAGAGGAGAGAGAGGCGGCTGTGAAAGTACTTATTCCTTATAACTCCCCTCCTTACACCCCCCGTGATGCGATTGAGTTGTACTGGGCTTCGTTTGGTTGTTAATGCTCCATCGTCATCTCAGCTGTTTAGGTCTATTTCAGCCACGCATTCTTTGAGTCCTTGTTTTATTACATCTGGTACTACGTCTATATATACCCCTAGTTTCGTCCCACGTCCCTCGTGTCCCTTGTCAAATCGCTCATCTCCCCTCTTCGGCAAATACACCACCCACGTCAGGATGGCTTCCACTCTAACCCTCCCTAAGATCCCTATCTTCGAAGCCATCGCTAGCCACAATCCGCAGTCCACCGCCGTCGTCCACTGCCTGTCCCGTCGGACGTTCAAGTATGGCGAATTACTCCCGGACGTGAGTCGCGTGCGCGATCGAATCCTCGAAGCCGCCGGCAAGTCGGACATCCGGGGCGAGCGGGTTGCCTTTCTTATAGAGAATAGCTACGACTATGTTGGTATGAGCTATTCAACCGCCATAATTGCCGGAACTTCATATACGACTGGTTACTGACTCGTGTTATTTAGTCACATACCTGGCTATTCTAGCAGCGCATGCCATTGCCTTACCACTGTCCCCACCATTCCCGGCACCCGAATTGCAATATATCCTGTCCCAGTCGCAGGCTATCCTTTTGCTACACTCGCCGAAGTACGCCGCCAAGGTCGATGAAGTCCTCACCACGCCAAGTAAGGAACTCGATGTCGCACCATCACCAACTCCCGTCGAGTTACCGAAGCACCTTGGCGCAATCTCGGAAACGTTCGAGTCGGTTACGCTCACGGACGATGACGATGTAGAGGGCGCTGGAATGATGCTATACACATCCGGCACGACTAATCGACCTAAAGGAGTACTGCTGCCTCAGACCGCGCTTACGGCTCAGGCCCGCGCCCTGATTGAGGCGTGGAAATATACACCGTCGGACCGACTGCTACATGTGCTCCCTCTCCACCACATCCACGGCACCGTCAACGCATTGCTTACGCCACTTTTCGCCGGTAGCAGCATCGAGTTCCTCTTCCCTTTCAACGCAGACACAGTTTGGCGACGCTTCGCAACGCCGTTCGTGAATTCGCCACAAGTTGCTGCTGCTATTGCTAAGCCGAACGGCGTGGCTCACGCAGTTAAGGAAGCTGCGAAAGAAGTTGTAAAGGAAAACGGTATTACGAATAGCGTCCCCCAGTTCGTTAAGGCAAACGGATTTGTCAAACCCAGTAGCCTCCCTAATGGCATCCCCCAACCGGTAAAGACAAATGGATTTCACCCAGCAGTTGGTGAGGCGAATGGAAATATTACCCCCATTACGGAAACAAATGGCACCACCACTCCAGCCCTAGAACTGAACGGATTCGGCAATCCCGTTTCTTCGGAAATCAGCCGTCTAGCAGCGGTCATTAACCATCTAGCAGCTGAGGTTAGCAACCTCGCCGCGAAGATCAGTCAGCCTAACCAACCAGCTGCACTGACAAACGGCCTTAATCATGTCATATCGCAGCAGACAAATGGTGTCGCTCCCTCGCCAGCTCTATCCGCCAACGGTTTCGACACACCCATCACGTCGACAAGTGGCCGTAATACTCCGGTCGTAGAAGCGACCACCTTTGTCAAGCAACCCGAGCCGCAGAAGCCTGCTGCCCCTGCCGCTGTCACTGAACCCGTCAACGAAGAGAAGTACAAGAACTTATCTCGCGTTAAGATTACATTCTTCACCGTCGTGCCTACGGTGTATACGCGCCTGCTCTCGACTCACAAGACACTCCCTCCGGCCATCGCTGAAGCCGGTCGTATCGCTATCAGCCCAGAACACATGCGCGTATCGATCTCCGGATCGGCAGCTCTTCCGACACCTGTCAAGCGTGCCTGGAAAGATCTCAGTCGCGGAAACGTGCTGCTCGAGCGGTACGGTATGACAGAGGTAGGCATGGCGCTGTCCTGCGGTCTCGACTATGGCGACCGTGTCGATGGCAGCGTCGGGTGGCCTCTCCCTGGCGTAGAAGCTCGACTCGTGGACAACGAGACAGGTACCATCATCGAGGACCTCGACCCCTCCGAGCCCGTTCCTGAAAAAGAGCGGTCAGGCGAAATCCAACTCCGCGGCGCCAATGTGTTCCAAGAATACTGGGCCAATCCCGCTGCCACATCCAAAGAATTCATCCCGTCGGATGACGGCAAGGGCCCATGGTTCAAGACCGGAGACGTAGCGGTTCGGCGCCATGTGCCTGAGGCCGGTCACGGCACGAGCGGCGAATGGGCCCGCGGGCCTATGTACTTCATTCTCGGCCGGCAAAGCGCCGACATCATCAAGTCCGGCGGCGAGAAAGTATCCGCGCTCGAAGTCGAGCGCGAGTTGCTCTCCCTACCCGAAATTGCCGAAGCAGCAGTAGTCGCAGTGCCTTCAGGAAAGTGGGGACAGAAAGTCGGCGCCGTCATCATCCACTCTCCCGAACACCTGCGCGAGCGACCCGCCTGGCGACCCCTCGACATGCGGCGCGCGCTAAAGGGACGACTGGCGAATTACAAGATCCCGCAAGTACTCAGGGTGGTCGAGCATATTCCGCGCAACGCCATGGGCAAGATTAACAAGAAGAATCTGCTGCGGGAGGTATTCTTAGATGACTTTAGCGGAGACGAGCTATAAGGACGCGGGGATACATGGATGGAGATAAGATGGGGAAACTGGATTCACCTAACCTAGGATTTTGGATCTAATATCACGATTGCACGTTGTATGTATGCATGCATGCTCTACCTTGGGGGGTTCACGTAGTGTCAATATCCCAGGGAGAACCAAAACGAAAGAAAGAAAGAAAGAAAGCAAGGAAGAGGGTGGGCCCATGCGATCCCACTATTAAAAGGACGATATGAAGCCCGATTCAACATGCAAAGGGAGATGAATCAACCAACGAAGCAGCTGAAACGGGAAACTGGAATGGGACGAAGCGAAGATGGAAATGAAACGCGACTGCGTGCTGCTGCACATGTGATTGGACGGGGTATTGGGTTTTTCGAGTCATGCGGGAATTTTCATGTCTATATGTTGTGTCCTCTCCGACGACCTATTTGTATATAGGGAATTCTTTCCTTTTCCCCTTAGTCGTTTTCGAGACGGCTGGTCTCTCTATCTGTAGAGTTAGAATCAATGCGGCTCGCTCGCCACCCTAGGACAGAAGCCTACCAATATTGACTATCCCTTGATTACCATTCAACAATATACGTTGCTAGATCAGTCGTGAATGTCAGCCTGTCAGCCGGGCAGTTTAACGTCAAATCATATGGTTAGCTATTACAGCGGTTACTATTCTTAATTTATTCGTGATATTGCATTCTATCTGCGGGAAAGAGAATGGCAATAATGCTACATGGATAGAAAAACATGATGGGTCATGAGCAACCCCTACTCGATTCCTTCATCGCTCACTGCCTAGTACTAGTTAGCCGAAGAGCATGCTACATGGTATCGATGAACGATAGACTGCAGCTGTCCGTAGCCTAGACCTCCTTTAATTCACTAATAATAGCCCACCCCGTACCAGTAGCCAGTAACAGACGACCGGCGAACGTACTCGACCCCTCCCACTAGTATCACTTCTGCCAAGGCGTTTTCGATTCCCAGTATCAAAATTGTAGACCATGTCAACAGCACCCAGTATTAGAATATCTGTCGAGATGGCATATAACAGTTTAGACGGTAAACTTGGCCTTAGCTCGAGTACTGCCACTGTGAGCTGAATCGGTGTGACCGGAAAATTCGACAACCTCGTTAGGGGGCAGCTTCAGGATCTCCTTGAACTGCTTGCCAATGGCCAATAGGATCTTCTGGCCCTTTTCGACGGTTCGTCCCTTACCGCCAGATACATCACCGTCGCCACGGCCCGGAATGCTCTTACCGATAGTCCGGGTCCAAACACCGATACGGTAAAAGGCCTTACGAACGTTGACGACAACACCCATAACCTCACCATCATCCTCTTCCTCGAGGGTCTCTCCGATTGCGGCTAGCATCGTATGTAGCCATAGGTCATTGATGTCGACGTTACGCTTGTCCTTAAATTGATAAGACCATTTGCCGCCGTGCTTGTTCTGGGGGTCTTCCCACTCCGGTCGGACGCCTTCTTTGAATAAATGGTAATCGGATTTCAAGGCTAGGTCAGAAACCGGCGCGATGTTGTTCTACAATACGGTCAGGCATGAACCAGATTAGGCCACTATAGAGACAACTTACATAAATACCCCAGAACTCCTCGACCGAGTTGAATGTGATTACCTCCTTGAGCAGGTCGTTCCAGTTATCTCCCTATTTGAAATTAGTACTCGGTTTACGATGCGTATATAATAAAGCAGACTAACCTTGCCGCTAGAGGGTTTAGTGAACCACAATGTCCACTTGTTCTGAAGAGGGTGCTTGACGTTGAAGTTGTCCTTGTCGTGGAAGACAGTGACCAACTTGCCGCTATCAGGCTCTTCTGCCTTTGGGCTCTCGCCTTCGGGGGAGATAGGGATGGTGGTGAGATCGACCTGTTCCGACATCTTGAATGGCGAGAACGGTACTAGAAGGAATAAATTTGGCGTAGACAGAGGGTCAAGTTTCGGATTTTGGATGTGTACGGTTGACCGATTTGCGATTTGGAATTTATGGTTTTAATATTCCAGGTAGGAGAGTAGAATTTCGGTATCTGAGGAAGGAATAGCAGCAAGCCTTGAGTCAGGCAACCTTAGGTATTGCGCAAGTTCCCTTTTCGTGGGATAGCAGATAGCAGTTGGGAAGGTGAGCGTGGGTGGTGAGGATATTACGGAATAGGCGAACGGATAGTGGAGGGGCAGTCGCAGCCGATCGCTAGTCGCAGAGGTAATGATTGACGACGATATGTAGAATGACAAAGGACGGTAGGTAGATAATCGGAATAGACTAACTATCACAAGCGTCGTTCGTCTTCGGTAAGGAATTTAATTATGACTTTGCGCCAGGCAGAAGTCGGAATTCTTTAGGGGGTCGGCGTTTGTGTCAAAGGAAAGCCTTTTTTTTTGCACAAGCGTTTGTGATGAAGCAAAAGTTATTGGCGTCGCAGTGGTGGGGCTGGCTTTTGGGACCTTCTCTTAAAAATCACTACTCCGGTTTCAGCATAATATGCACATTTCGAACAATACAATTGTGGTAGGTTACATAAGGTACTTGGGTACTTATCCACGTACTGATAAGAAAAATTAAACGTGAAACAGGGGTGTGTTTATAGTGTAAATAAGCACCGCCACAATATATCACACATTGAACAGTGTGCGGATTACTCTTCTTATGTACATACAACCACTAATAGCAATTAAATGGTTCATGCATTTATCGTGACTCATTCTTCTCATCCCATCCCATATCCATGTTGCCATATCCATATGCCTGTACTGACTTGTATATAAATCATCCTCATCTAATCGAGTGGCCTAACATAATATTACCAACTCAAACTCTTAACATCTTGTAACCATGCTTAACTAATACTTTATCATCACTAATCATCGTCATGAACTCTTCATCATCTTAAATAACCATAAAGACCTATTTATATCATTTACTATGGCGTCTTACGCATCCCAAGGCGGGGGCCTCTCCTTAGGCCCCAGGGACCCGATGGTCCTCCAGTGACGGCAACGCGCATTGACTTTTCTCAATCCCCTCTTGCAGACCACTATAATCCTTACTTCGCCATGATTATAAACAATCTTCTTACACCAGATAAATGTACTGCAGTCTTCTTATCAGTAGGTTCTGATTAGAAGACCTTAAATAAAGGCAAGTTGTGGCGTAAGTGCGAACAGATTCTATCTATCTTTCCCGACTAGGCCAATGCTCTGTCTCGGAGGCTTGCTTAGTACCTACCTACTTGAGGAAGTTAAGTCCTTGAGGAAGGGTGATGTACTATTTAAGCACATTGCCGGTATGCAGAACTTAAAAGCGAGCCAGGGAGCTAGCAAACCGGTTTGGAAACTAAGAGGAGCTAACGAGAGACTTAGTTTCTTACGGTACCGGCCCGGTAATTACTTTAAGCCGCATTGCGATGTCTTGTATTTATTTGGCGGTGGGGAAAAAGGCTTTTTAACCTGTTAGATATACTTGAGCGATATGCCTAAAGGAGATAATGATGGGAATGGCTCGGGAGGGGAAATAAGATTTTGGCCAAATCGTGTAAGCATGGGAAGGAAAAACAAATCTAAAGATAAGGATAAAACTAAACAACAGGTAAAAGAAAAGTCGTTTCTCGATGTTAAACCTAAGAAGGGCAAAGCGTTAATTTTCTAATAGCGGTTGCTATGGCATTTTGGACAAGAGGTTAAATACGGGGAAAATTTAACCGTTCGGCTGAACTTAATATACGAGCATTACTTCGAGAAGCCTTCGAGGCAGGTTTAAGTCTTGGTTCTTTAGTTGCGTCGCAAATCCAATTTCAACTACTCTTTCTCGTCTTGTGACTTTCACTGGGTACCTAGGTAGTTATAATAGTCAAAGACACAAATACTAAGAGTTGTGCTATTTACAGATTACCTTGCCAGCCCTTCTAGACAGATTACTTTTCAGAAGACTGGCATGCCACCTGCCACCAATTTTACCAGTAAAATAATATAGCTTAATTCGATTGGCAAAACTAATCTGTAAATAAGACTTTATTTATAGATTGGTTATTTTAAGCAATGCCGTTTATTCGATAACAGTAACCGTGGCAACTGTAATTCGTTGTTTATAATTTTAAAGTTTGTAAACAAGGCGTAAAGCTTAATAATAGCGTTACGGGGAAGTATATTAAGTTATATAAAAAAGAATTCTTTTAATTTATTGTTTTTAACTAAGAAATTATAAGGCTTTTTAAAAGGATATAGGGCAGAACTAAGAAATGCCTATGGTTTACCTTAGGATGTTGTGTTGAATACGAGTAAAAATTTCCAATTTGAGGTACATGCCTTGCTACCTTACAGTGTTGAAGTAAGTGGTCAAGGGACTACTTTCAGGTTCAGTACATGGTATCTTGGCATGGAATGTATATATAAGAAGGACCTCCCTCCTCACTCATACAGTTGGCAGATTAAGTCAATATACAACTACAGCTCATATACCGTATCTTTCAACATACAGAAAGTTTTCCTGCCTTATAAAAAGCAATGAATATAAAAGGAATATGTTTATGTATATGTTTAAGGCTTCTTCACTACTTAGGTTTCGAAGGTATTAAGAGTATTGTCTAGCTGTTGGTAGACAAGGTTTAATCCATTATACGCACGTATGGTCTGGGGGGGGGGGGGCAAATGAAAAAACACGATGCAGTACTAAGATAAACTTCTGTATTATATGATGCATAATCGTAAGATCGAGATAGTAATAAATAGTATAGAAACATGGTGCGGTGTAAACCTTAGGCTTTTGTGTTGCCCGGGGGACAACCTCTAGTGTCACTTTATTGGTAAAATTGGTGGCAGGTAGTATACCGGTCTTCTAAAAAGTAATCTGTCTGGAAGGGCTGGCAAGGTAATCTGCAAATAGCACAACTCAATACTAAGTGCCTAATTTTTTCAATCCAACTCACATATACGTAGCTAGATGATATGTCAAAAGAGTAACGGTTACATCAGGTATATGACACGCTCAAATATATTAAGGTGCTAAAATCCAATTCTAACTAAGTACGTGACGGTACGTGTAACAGTGCGTTGTAAGTTCGAAATATAGTACGAACCTAGGTACCCTACCTAGTTCCTAAGGTATCTCGAGAGATGATTTTATATAGACGCTTGGCCTATTAACTAATACAGGAGCCTATCTAGTAAAGTTGAATCTATGGCAAACTATAACGTAACTCGTTGAGGCCAGAATTCAGCCGACTTTGCTCGTAAACCATAGATCCGAGGAAGACTTTAAAATATTCGTCAGGATAGTGAAGGTTTCGTGACTCAGGATCTGCGGTGGCTGTTTCTAGTGAATAAGATAAGAAGTACATTAGGTGTACCTTAAGGATCTAAGATAGAGCAGGTCAGTGACTAACGATGACTATGGGGGACAGCTGTTTGACGGTCGATACTTTAACTTGAAGTTAGGCCATCAACGAAGTAGCAGATGAACTGTAAAACATCATGCGTTATACGTATTTTGATTACGAGGGTAAATTGTAATATATAAAGGAAGCTGCTGCTAGCCTTTGACATCCCCTTTCTGTCTTGCCATTTTAAACCTGGACAACACGGACATATCAGATATATCCACCAAACCACAATCTCTCCATCAACTAATTTCTACCACGATGGCTCCGGAAAAAGAACGCCTCGCCTTGGACGGGTTACCTACCGAGCTGATCATCTCAATATTCTCGCATCTACCCGATGTAAGATCCATCCAAAAACTTGGTCTGGCATCCAAGAAATTTCAAAACATCCTGTTGGCGCACGAGGGTGTGATAGCTCGTCGCTTTGTGGCCAGACATACCAACGATAACGACCCTGGCGTTACGAAACTAGCTTTTATAGCATGTAAAGCCCTGGACTTCCTCCCCAATTATGACAATTCAGAGGACCCTTCCGACGACGGTATCAAATTCCTCGAAAAATACGTCAAACGGGGGGACTGGCCGATTCAGTCTTATCGGTTGCCTGTCCTTGAATGGTTACCTGAACTGAGCAAAGGTATCGAATCCGTCTTGGACTGGATTGTCGCGGAAATGGCGCCCTTACCGCTTAAGTTGGAGGGCGAGGGTTTCACCTCTACCGAGATGTCGCGCCAGAGGCGACTGTTATATATGCTTGACTTTATTTCCACGTTACTCAGGGAAATCCATGCGTCAAAATTAACGAACCAAAAAAAGGACAAGCTATTCAAAGCGCTTTGCGACTCATTTTCGCCTGCTGAGATGTTTTTGGTGTACCAGCTAATGGAGAGGTTATACCATTTTAACGCAATTAGTACGTTTCTCTCAATCCTATCTTGCCATTTAGTTATCACTACCTAACTAGCCTAAAGCAATCGACCTGTGCGCAGTATCGGTTGAAGTCGAACTTTTCATGAAGTCTGTCCACAATCTGCGGCATTATAGAAATTGGTTTGATATCTTCTTGGATGAGAAACGGGCCGAACTTTCGAATAGCGAAGATCCTCCTTCTTGGGAACCATTCGTCGATGACCCCAACGCCTTCATCAGGAAGTGGATACCATCGGATGATGAATATAACGATACCTTAGAGGAGTATTACTATTACAGCCCTTTGGATTACGAATGGCTTATGGTAAAGCACCTATTTGGGCGGCGTCACTGGTTCCTTCTGATAGGAGACGAGGATCGATGTAAATCGGTTATAAATCATGGGCGTATTTGGTCTTGGGACAATGATACTTTCCCATCGTCGCCATCCGTGGATAATTCCTTGATAAAATGGCACCAAGATCCAGCACGCTTCGGGTTTCCAGGCGCTGTGGACACGATGATACCGCTCCGCGAGCTGTTTGGCTCCAACCAAAAACGTAGGAGATGGTATTTATAAGGAGAGCCACGACTGGATTATTACTCTTAAGATTCACATTAGAATCGATTATTTTATAAAGAATGTATATTCGGAGATGGAGGATTAAGAATGTCAGGGTATAGTAGGTTAGGGTGGTTATAAGGGTTTATACGAGTATGTAAAAGGCGCGAAGCGCCTTCGTTAAAGGTTAAAAGGCCAGGCGTTATTAAGTTTAATATAATTACTATTTGGTTTATTATTTTATATATTTATTTTATGTATAATTTATTTTACTTAGGTAATTGATCTTATTAAAATAACGTTTTTACTTATTAATATTAACCGTTTGTTAAGGTGGTAAATCGTAAGGCCGTAAAGTAATACGGGAAATACCTCGATAGCGAAAGTTGCTACGATTTAAAAAAAAAAAAAAAAAAAAAAAAAAAAAATATTACGAGACGAGAAAAAAGATTTACCGTTACGGGGTAAAAGGTTAATTACGACGAGGAGTTACGAGGAAAAGGAAAAAAAAACCATGAAAAAAAAAAAGCGAAAAACTTTTAAAGTTAAATATTATTAATATATAATTATAAAGTTATTAAAAATAAAGATTTTTTTAAAGAATTTTTAAAGCGAAATAATAATTGTTATAAATAAAGTTTATAATAAAAATTAAAGTTAAAAATAAAGTTTTATAATTAACATAAAATTAAATAAAGTTAAATAAAAAATAATTATAATAATTAAATAAGTTTTAAATTTAATTTTATACGACCGAAATAAAGTTTAAATTATAACGATAAAATTATAAAATTTTAAAGTTTTATTAATTATTTTAATTATATATTTATAAAATTTTATTAATTATTTTAATTACGTTTTAAAGTTTTATTAATTATTTCGATTATAAAGTTTTATAACTATTAAGTTTTATATATTTAATTAATATTATTATAATTTTTTCAATTAATTAAATGCTTAAAATCGCTTTATAATTTACGACTTTTTTTTTTACCATTTTATCGCATAACGTTTATAAAAAATATAAATGGTATAAAAAAATCATATAAAACGAGCTTTATTTAACAATACCAATTATTAAAACTTTTATACGCTTTTAAAGTAAGTTAATTAATTTTATAAAAAATTCATCGGACGTGCACTAAGGTGTGGCTAGCCAATCAGAGGCCAGACTTTAACTGTGGCGTCAGTTTTACGCATCAGGTGATCTCCCCCTTCTCCCCCGTCCGCGGTTGCGCGGACGGGCAACGCCGCTAGTGAGGCTATAGGACCTTATTAGTTATTTCGATTACGTACGTTTAGGAGGTTGTAGGATTTCCCTAGTTGTCCTTAGAGAGCTGTGGTTGCCGCAGGGAATAACGAGGCCTGAAAGGGCGTACTGCCAAAGGTCCTTGACGCGGTTCGAGGATAGCTAGGAGATACCTCAGTACGGTAGCAATTGACCCTGTGGTAGATAAGTAACGAGGAGATTAGGCCTGAAAGGGAGTGCTGCCGAGGTCTTTGTAGATCCAGAGATAGCCAGGAGACACCCTAGTACGGTAGCAGTGTTGCTAGAGGCGACGGCGAGAGACGAGATAAGATAGGGCGTATCCCTTGCTACAGGATAGTGGCGAGGATAGCGACGATAACGAGACTAGCAACAAGGTTAAAAAAGACGAGCATATCTTTTATTATAAGGTAAAAACGAAACTAACACCGAGGCTAAAAGTAACGAGTAAGGTTAGCAACGAGGCTAAAAAAAATAAGTATATACCCTATTATAGGATATAGGCGAGGTTAATAGTAAGGTAAGAAGATACGAGACGAAATAGCGCATATACCTTGCTACAAAGTGGTAGCAACAAAAAGGCCAATAATAAAGCCAAATAAAACGTATGCCTTACTACAGGATAGCAGGAAAACTAACCACTAGGCCGTAAGATAACAACAAGGTAGCGGCAACAACGAGGCTAGCGATAAGGCTTTAATACGACAAAATAGCTATAAGCGTACTTTTTTATTATTAATGGTATAATATAAGGCTACAGCAAAGAAACTACGACGAAGTTAGCAATAGTAACGAGGTTGATAATAAGGCTATAAGTAAATATACCTTATTATTATCGGTGTTATAAAATAAAATAAGAGGCTACGGCGAGGTTAACGATGAGGCTATAAGAAAACATACCTTATTATTATTAATATCATTATAAAATAAGGCTATAACAAAAAAGGTAACGAGGTAGCAGCATACACCCTAAAACTACCTAAGGCAGTAAAGCCAAAGGCGACGACGAGGTTTACGACGTTTTTTTTTTTACGCGCGATGTTTTTTTTTTTTTTTACCTTCTTCTCACGCGGCTTTTCGTTGCATGGTTCCGAGGACGGGACCACTAAAAAAAGGGGTGACTCTGTTAGGGTATAGTGGGTTAAGGTGGCTACAGGAGTTTATACGAGTATATAAGAGGCGCGAAGCGCCCTCGTTAAAGGTTGGAAGGCTAGGCGTTACTAAGTTTAATATAATCACTACTTAGTTTACTATTCTATACATTTATTCTATGCATAATTCACTTCACTAAGGCAATCAATCCTAACAAATAAGAAGTGGTTCTATAAAGCGGTACTTTAATTGGATAAATTAAATCCGGAATCTGCGTCACCGCCTGTAGTATGTCAATTTAGGCACGAAGACATGAGAGGTTCATAACGAATAAGTAGACTCGGGTGACCATTGTGACCTACAACCCCCCTAAACACCTCAAATGGGGGTCCTTCATTACTGGATTTCGCCGTCCTTGACTAATCGACGTACGGTGTCGATGGTACCATGAACAGCCATCCTCGCCGTCTGCAAGCCGGAACCGTATTAGAAATAGACTATAACATGGCCATATAAGAAATACTCACCTTCCAGCTTCTCTCCTCTAACTTCTTCGCCTCCTCGCTTCCCTGCTTGACACCAGGGTATCTCCACTCAAACGCATACGTCATAAGCAACTCTCCGCCAGGTCCTTCGCTAACAATGTTCGAGATATTGCTTCCGTCCGGCTGTCCGAAGTCGACACGGCATGGGGGATAGTGCGTGCATATCTCCTTGACCAGTCTGCCTCCACTACCGCTATCCGGCTCCTGGCCCGCCGCGAACCGGACCTCGCGTACGACAGTTAAGTTATCCGTCTCCTGCGATGTTTCCTCGGACAGCACGTTGCACTCCTCAATAATGGGCACGAAGTCCTGTGCGCGTCGGACTTTGCGCTCCAAACCCGCCCAGATCTGGGGAATCGTGAGGGCAGGCGACGCGCCGGAGGGGTTGATAGGGGCTGTATATGCGAGGTTGAAGGTGACCATTTTTTTTCTTTAGAGACTCGATGTCGAAGATGTTCTAAATCGAATTAATGAGAAAGTACAGGAGGGAATAATTGATAATGATATCGTTGACGTCAGATCATGTAATTCGGAAACGGCAGTCAGATATTTATATCCGTACCTACGTCCCGGATTCTTGGCAACAATACCATTCGTTCGGACTCGTTGGGGAAGTTTGCTTCGTGACACAACTTGGTCTTACATTGCAAATTAGCTTAGCGAATCATTTCTTTTACTCCATCTTCGGTGTCTTCGGTCACTGGCGCAGTCCCGAGACCCATAATAAACATCCCGCAACGTCGGCGTCAATCTACAACCCGTTTCCGGGCCGGAGACTTATGCCGTAGATACCTCTTACCTTGCTTCCATATATATATGGGCATATCCCTTCCAATATGACAACTATCATATTGAATATTGCATCATCACGGTGCAGCACAAAATTATTCCAAAATGTGCCCACTAATGAATAGCACTGTGCTGTGCTGAAAGTAAAGCTATCCCTCCCTGATTATAGCCCGATTTCACCAGCCCCTAAGGAGAATACCTTCACGCGGTATGGGCTGTAAGTAGGGTGGACCTACAACCTTTTATCGGTCTTCGGATCGGTCGGGTTCCACTTGAAACCAAACTTCTCCAGGGGGGACAACCCCTATGATTAATAATTAAACGAAAAAATCATGAAATAACTCAAGGAAAAGAGTCAAAAACCCGAATAACTATGGGAATTGAAAGATAAAAACCATCCGAATCCCCGTACTAACGCAACTTGTACCTCGAGTACAAGCTCTGGACTTAGTATGGGAGAGGACACCCATGGCCAAAACTTGAAGCGGACTCTTCGGAGGTAGCCGTGTGTAAAGCTTTTGGTGGTTAGTTGGCAATCTAGGGGCGCAGAGACACAGCGCCATCGAGCCGGGTTGTGATCATGGCTAATCCATGCACCCGAATACCTAGACCAGCGAGACAGAGATCCTGCCCTCACCTAAACTTCGAAACTGACATCCTGAGTGGGAGATAGATGACTGAGCGGGAAAGTTAACCCGGCGGTCTATCGATCATGAACGGATGGTAGCAGTGCGTAGAAGCAAGGAAAGGTAGGAATCCGGAAGGGGTAAATGCCCTGAGCGGTGGCACCTCGGTTAGAAATGACCGTGAGTGGCTTGAGAGGATACATCCTCTGTCGGTCATATTCGTCGTTATGAATATGATTTAAGTTATAAACCATATCAAAACGCGTGTGAGGTGGAAACATCTCATGCGTTAAAGGAACGGACTCAGTAAACAAGGAAAAAATGACTTGTTGAAAGGAAAATCGGACAAGTTGGCATCATAGGGGCACTCTCCTATGGCCGAGATATGTGGTTCGCCACACGGAGGAAGGTCATTGGCAAGGCGTTGCTAGTGGCCGCTAGCACCGATCTCAACCAACGATAACCTCCGATTTTCCGCGACGTTCCGTATTAATGGGAGTGGAGTCACGCCCGTTACGCGACTCTTGTTAATACACGGGATTAGTTTTTTACGTTTTTAGGGGGGGAAATAAAGAATAGCGAAAACTTGGGGTCCAGCTAGACTGGTTAACAGACTCCCAATTAGTAAGTGAAATTTATTTCCCACCTTGGTACATATGATGGGTTCAATGAGTGTAAAGGAATATTGGTTTCACGACCAAGGCGTCCTGCGCACATGATCATTACTCATCCATATCGCCACGTAAAGGCTACTCCTATGATATGGTTCATACCTCTCAACTTAATTATTAATCACTTAAATATACAACAACAACAACCCCGATTTCACCACTCCCCAAATTGACGAGACCTCAGCCACTAGAGTCAAAAGGAAATTTTATGCCGAGTACGAGATTCAGGGAGCTTGGAACACTTATACGACGTTCTTCTGATCTTCTCGTTTTCTAGTTGAAAGGAGTTCATGTGAGTATCCCTTAGCAATAGTCAAGTAGATTACATGTATATAGTTTTCCCCATTGCTAGATAACTGAGTCTTCTAAAGGCGCCGCAAATAATATACCGAGCCCCTGTAGTATTAATATCATCAATGCCCAAAAGTATATTCCGAATTAGTGATTTTAAAGAGGCTATAATACTGATTCAAGAGCGTGACAATGGCTTTTTTCTTCTATTGTTTTCCTTCGAGGTACTAAATAATAGCTAGTGTCTATGCGACAATAGCTGGCTGTAAAAAGAGGACATAGAGACATGCAATACACTTACTATGTGATACGCATATAAATTAAAGTTGAATGAAGCAGATCAAACGAACATACGTTCATATTTTCATGCATTTGTAATATCGGATACTTTTAGCTCCAAAAAGTGTCCGCTCCGAACACCGTCCCCGAATTTATAATCCGGCCCTCTGGCGAGTATAAAAGAAGCCATCAACAGCATCACTCAGATGCTTCTTAAGCTTTCTTATATCACTATTACACTTCCCCAAATTACTATTTCGATAAAATGGCACGTCTCGCCCCCTATCTTGAACAACATAAGACTCTCCAGGGCCCAGGAGATGCCCGCCCGACAGCCATTCAGGTTGTAGAAGATCAAGGTCTTGTCTCGAACCCCTCATGGACTGGTAGAGTTGTCCTCGTCACAGGCTGTTCGCCTGGCGGACTTGGACCCGAGACGGCAAAGGCCATTCACCTAACGGGGGCTGACGTCTATATAACTGTTCGGGATGTGACCAAGGGCAAGCAGATTGCTGAAGAGATTTTGGCCGATGGCAAGCCTGGAAAGGTTGACGTCATTGAAATGGACTTGGCTTCATTGAAAAGTGTTCGAGCCGGAGCAGAAGAATTCCTTCGTAAGAGCGGTAATAAACTCAATATCTTGATTAACAATGCTGGTAAGTATTCACGAGTTGAGGGATGATTTTCGGAATTCCTGAATTCAGCTTACTCTCTTTAGGAATCATGGCATGTCCCCAGGGTAAGACCAAAGATGGATTCGAGTTACAGTTTGGCACGAACCACCTTGGTAAGTACTGCGTATAATCATCACGCATATTGTGAGTTATTAATCCTGATTTAGGTCACTTCTATCTCTTTCACCTGGTTAAGGATGCTCTTCTGGCCTCCGCAAGCCCTTCGTTCAATTCTCGGGTCATATCGGTATCCTCCGCCGCTCACCGCTACGGCGAAATCCACTTCGACGACCTGAACCTCGAAAAGACCGGGTATGATCCGTATAAGGCTTACGGTCAATCCAAGCTTGCCAATGTCTACTTCGCGAATGAATTAGACCGGAGGTACAAGTCCCAAAACCTGCGAGCTCTGAGTCTACACCCGGGAGGCATTCTCACGCCTCTGGCGAGATATCTGCCTTCCACCCAAGACATCCTCGATGATCCAGACCTCGCAAAGATGCTAAAGAATCCCGCCCAAGGAGCGGCGACTACCGTCTGGGCTGCTGTGGCGAAGGAGTTGGAGGGCAAAGGGGGGATTTACCTCGATGAGGTTGCTGAAGCTGAGGAGGCTACGCCAGAGACGCCTTACTACGCGGGTGGCTACAAGGCACAGGCTTTCAATCCTGCTGCCGAGGAAAAACTTTGGGCTGTCAGCTTGAAGCTAACGGGTTTGAGCGAGTAACGTTGTACTTGGCATAGCAGTTCTAAGGCCTTGAGCGAGCCTCGACTATGTAGCTATTGCCGGAGGAAAAATTGACCAGATTGAGGTGTAGCGTGGGGAAAATAACATTGTTCGTGGTATATGAGATAATATGGATCAGTAACGAGTGATATGTATACCAAGCTCGAATTATTAAGCCGTGAATCAATCTTTACCAAAAGGAAATTTACAGATGACGTTGGTTGGTGTTTACTACCTAAGGACGATCGCTGCTGAGATTGGATAACAGGTATGTGTACATCCACTTGCATTATCGGCATAATGGTGGCGCTTGAATCGCGCCAGGGTGTGATAGGGAAACTCAGCCCGCAGACACATGTCCGTTATCAATAAAGCCCCTATTATCAGACTTAGGTGAGGCAACCAAAGAGAGTGGCAAACTAGCAAGACAGGTTGTTAAGCGCTATAAGCACTCAAAGTTAATATTTCTCTTATAAGTGCGTCCGAAAAGACATAATCCCATCGTCATCACGTTACCATGCTACGCAAGCAAACTAGGTCGTTTATCTCGAGAATTCTCTCCTAGGACGCGCCGACCTGTTTAAATATAGTATATTAAACCTAATATTTTTGATAGAATTATAAGTATCGTTCGAAAAAGCTATCATATTTCATAGTAGGAACTATTATATGTTGATCTATGAGCTGATCACAGAGCCTTGCTGGCTGTCAACCTTGCTGCCTTGCAAGTCTGCCTACTAACTAAGCGAACCTGCCGTGGGGGCCAACCATGCTTGGAACGGCGGATGCGCTGCAGGAGAATTCGCATTTGCGAATTCAGTGCCCGCGCAGAATGTATTGATTGTTATTTATCTTATGAGCCTACCCCAGGTTTAAATTGCCGAACAGTTTAAGTGCGAGCTAGGACTTTTTGAATAGATTTGCTCCGTCTCGCGATCATCTCTGAATTGGTTCTCTTTACTAGGTCAGTTTCATCCAGCCTTATCTTTTTTTCAATGGCACGATACCAATACCAGCATCTTCAGGATGGTCGTAGTTTTAGACTGCTGAGTCTATTGCCTGGCAACGATCCAGCTGATCCTATTCGATGTCAACTTCAGGTTCATTCTCTGACGGAAGACGGTCAGATTCCACAGTATACTGCGCTCTCCTACGTCTGGGGCGACCCAAGTTTCGACATTCATGTCGAGTGTGACGGTGGTATATTGCCTGTTAATAGGGGTTGCTTCCACGCTTTGCGTTCCCTTCGAGACTCATTGCGTGACCTCCGTCAATGTCCGGCCTTCACACCATATTTCTGGGTTGATGCAATCTGCATTAATCAATCAGACAAGCGTGAAAAGAGTGCTCAGGTTAAGCTGATGGGCGATATTTACCGTTCTGCTGAGACGGTTCTATGCTTCATCGGGGATTCCTACTCTCAGGAAGATCTGTACGTGTCTAATCATTTGGGGTCGAAAGCTGGATTGAGGCAACATTTACTTCGCCGGAATCTTGGCGCTTCAGGAGGATGGAAGGCTGACAGGGATATCTTAGGGGTTAACAACTTACGAGAGTCTGCGGTACGCAAACTCTTCGAATCACAGTATTGGACGAGATTGTGGACGTTCCAGGAAGCGCTACTTTCTCACCGGAAGATCGTATTCTCAGGTACGGATATAATAGAATGGGAATCTGTCGGCACTTTACTTCAACAAGCTGCTGTGGTGAAGCGCGAAGGGATCGACCACTTGCTACCGAAAGCAATTCATTTTCACTCTCTTACGACAACTAGTCCTATGCTCCGCCTGCTTCTTGACGGAAACAACGCGAATATTACCAGAAGTCTCAACAAAACTTATACGCAAAGCCTGTCGTTAGAGATATCCCGGATATTGTCCTTCTCTTCTGAACTCAAGACTTCCGACCCCCGAGACAAAATCTACGCTTTAGCAGGAGTTATGGCAGCATTGGAGGTCGACCTAGAGATTGATTACTATAGGCCCATGGCATTAATATATAAGGACAGTATCAACGCCTTTTCTATGAAGACGTGGTCGTTCGAAAAATGGACAACCGAATCCGAGGATGTTCCGTTCACGCTTTTGGACCTGAGGATTAGCAACACTTTTCATCAGCTACACTCACTACCGGTCAGAAGCAAGGAGAGTACACTTATGAGCCATTTTATCAAGCCAAAACCCATACGAACCGCGCAGTATTTACGTTGCGATGAAGGCGTAATAGGAGCACCTATAAATAAAGCGTTAGAAAATACGGTTCAAAGCAGAGTAGTTCACTCATTCAGGGAAGAAGAAGTCAGTTTCTCCGAGAACGACAATGAAGCCGATTCAGAAACTTCACCTTCATCTCCCGAACCTGTTGAATTGAGTTACCTTTCACTTGCCCATTCACTCGCCCGTTCATTCTCTATGCGCAAGAGGGATTGGCTCATCTCAAGAGTTACTATCCAGTTAGGGCCTATACTGACCCAATGTACTGGAAACGGCGGAAGTGGTAGATACCAAGAAGTTGCATCTCGCTCAAGCAGCCATGTTAATCACCAGGATATCTCCCCTGCAGCTCTGCGTCACAAGAATCGAAGAAGACGGAGAGATCGGGATGAGCATAGCGATGATGAAGGTAATCAGGAGCACCCAAGGAAGAAGAGTAAGGGAAATGACGTGGATGATATCAAGAAGCTTCTGGCATGCCCATTCCACCAAAGGGATCCTCATAAGCTTTCAATTAACCGCTCATGTAATGGCCCGGGTTGGGCTTCAATCGCTAGATTAAAGTAAGTTTCCTGACTCTAGTGCTCCTAAATACTTCTAACCTCAAAAGGGAACATCTGTACCGAGTTCATTTTGTACATCGTTGTCGGAGATGCAAGTCAAGATTCGACACGGCCGCTAGGCTGGATAGTCATTATGAAGATTTAGCCCCATGCACCGTATCATCAACCCCCCCTGATCCAATGGAAGGCTTCAACGAACATCAACGGGAAAGCCTCAAGTGTAGACGCGTACAGGATTGGAAGAAGATTTACCAGATTTTATTCCCGGACGATGATGAAAGGACCATACCATCACAACGTGAGTTATTTATACTACATCTTCTGGCGCCTCTAACCTAATAGTCTTAGACTACGCAAGTGTCATCACCATCGCTGATATCCTTGATCAATTTGATCGCGCCTACCAGCAAGAAGTCGAGCGACAACTCCCGGGACGTGTAAGATCCGTTCTGGATGGTCTGTCGTCTAGGCCAAATTCGTCTGCTCAAGATGAAATCTTACTTATGGTCAATGACATAAATAACACAGTAATAAACTCGTTCAGGCAGCGTATGGTAGGCGTCGTGTTAGATAACTCTAACCTGGCTCCCCAAGAGCAGACAGAGGTAACGACATCAAGAGTCGAGCCTAGTTTAGACAACCCAGCAAGTTTCTTCCTTGAGTACTTGAACAATATTGACTACGGAGACAACATGCCCCACCACCTGGACAATGAGGCAGAGTTCGACATTAATAGTCTTCAGAATTCTACAGCTTATGTGTATCCTGATGAACAAGACTACGGAGTTAACTTACTACAAACTGGAGATTTTCATGAGGCCTACGACGAGAGACCAAATAACCCCGCCATCATCCGAAATGGAAATTCGAATAATACAAGAGTATACCGATCGTCAAATCAGGCCGGCAATCATGATGGCGATTCGACTGATGAATGGACGGTGATTGAAACCCCTCCGGAGGGAAGTCCGTAAAGAAACATGTTTGTGAAGATAGGGGCACGGCGGAGGGCACAGTACCCACAGGCGGAATCTAGACTCATCTCGTATGTACATGTGGGATGAATACCTAACTAATTATACACCAGCCTTGTTGAATTGTTTTATCAAAGATAATAATAGTAGCGATAGTATAGGTAGCAGTCAATCTACCATTTAAACCACCGTTTGGTTCCCAACTATTTATATGGGAGCCTCCGGTCGTTGGGTACAAACGCCTACTCAAACAAAGCGGTCCCGGAACGCTGTGGCGGCTCAATTAAGTGGAACAATCAGGTACGCAGCCGATAAATTTACGCGAATGAAAAAGAAGTTGGTGGATTTGATAGCGAGTTAATGATGATGGATGGAATGATCTGAGCTGCCCGGCCGCTGGTACCTTGCATATGAAAGATTCGATACTACTCTCAAAGAATTTGTCTCGTCGATAATTCGCTTCATAACAATGATCGCTTTCTCCATGATATATTCGTTATTAAGACCAATGTGGGAGCACATAGTGTTTGCTACAATGTAGATCAAAGAGGCATGGTGGATAGGCACAGATAGGTAAAAGATAGACAGACAGGCATGTTGAATGATAAAGACTTATTACCGAGCTTTTTGCCGAATCCTGGTCTTTTTGCCGCGGTAAAATAGTACAAGTCATGTACGTCTTCGCAACCACCCCTACCCTCTGCAAGGTATATGAGATAGACCTGACCTAATACAACTACATCTGACCTAGGACAATCGACGCTTCGAATCAGTCAATCAATCAATCAATCAATGAAATAGCCTGCCTTGTCAGCTCGCCTATTCCGGGAATTCCCTTGGTTGACGTATCGGAGAACGCTTATTAGTCTACCCCGTAAAAGGGGACTAAAACCTCCTTTCACGAGACTTATAAGACGTGAGGATTGATGGCCGATTCTCTTTGACTACACCGCAAAATGCTACTATTGGTCCATTTTAGCTCCGGGAACTCCGCAAAGGGGACCACATGGCCGCTTCGATCTGAGCAGCTACGAAGATCACATATGAGTGGTATCGACTCCGGCCGCAACTCGGGCGAGACCCTGCATCACCCTAGCTAAGCGTCTTATGTATTATTAATTAACAAAGCCGCCGTCTAAGCCCAACATAGACAGAGGCCGGGGCTCCCAACAATAGAGATCGCCAAGGATAACTAGATCCCCATGTTCCTCTACTACCTCTACCTGTCAAGTATGTAGTTGCCCAGTCGGGGACTATGGAGTATACCCCACAACCCCACGAGCTTCTCCAATTCCCGGGGGCTAATTATTATCCCTCTCCTTCTCAACTCACTTCCCAACGTTGCGTAGAAGGTTGCCGGCGGTAATCATGGAATATGCACCAGTCGCCATGTCTTCTACGGCCGTCGAGACAGTTGAGCCCAAACCGAAGGCGGCGGCAAAGATGCGAAAGCGAGCACCTAAAGCCTGTTTATCATGTAGGAGTCGTAAAGTGAGATGTGACGTTTCACAGCGCGGGCGTCCGTGCATGAACTGTTATCTCGACAACGAAACTTGCGTCGTGACCGGGCGAGCGTCGAGATTGTAAGTTTCTCGTTTCCGTCTTTACGTACCTCTACTTATGTTATTTAGTAGAAGAGGCCAGAAAGGTGAAAATGACAATTCCCAATCGTCATATCCCCCTTACCCGGCGGAGGAGTGTGCGCATGGTCGGACCTCAGAGGATGTGGTGAATTCGCGAGCCAATGGACAATTACCTTCACTCGGAGTAGATGGAGAGAACATTGCTGCGCAACAAGATGCACCCAATTCGATAAACCGTACTGAAAACCAGGCGACGCCGGACGTCGAAGCAGAAGGATGGATTAGCTCGGAAGCACCGCAACAAGCGACGCAGAGTGGATTAAATGAGCAACATAGCAACAAAATCCCAAGCCCTGTTCCTCTAATCCAAGGTAAGTTATATCTTATATCAACTTGCTTAGCTACTTTTTAACCAGGAGCCTAGAATCCACGGTTTTACCGTTGAATACCTTCAACTCTTTTATGACTCCGGATATACCCCTTTGGGTTGGAGATCAGCGCATCGCAGTCAACGCTGATATCACGTATTCTTACTATCCGTTCATAAGCATAGGGAACCTTCATAATATCATGCCTCAAGATGTCAACTACCTAGAGTCGCAAGGTTGTCTTCGAGTTCCCACAAGAGCGATTCTCGACGAGTTTGTTCAACAGTACTTCTTACACATCCATCCTATAATGCCGATCCTCAACGAGGGGGACTTTTGGGACATGTATTGTAATCAAACTTCCTCGGAGTCGGGCGACAAGATAACACTCGTCTTTTTCCAAGCGCTCTTATTCGCATCTTGTAATGTAAGTCTACGCTCACGCGACACCGATACTCTGATGAGGGCTGACCAAAAAATAGTTCGTTTCAAAAAGTAGTATCAAAGCTCTTGGATTTCCCAGCATTCGCACCGCAAGAGCTACTTTCTATAGGCGTACCAAGGTGAGTGTCATCTCTCTCAACACTTTAATTAAAGGTACTCATGCGGAATCAGCTCTTATTCGACTTTGACACCGAAACATCGTTGGTTGATCTGGCACAAACGGCCCTGCTTCTCTCCTTCTGGGCTACGAATTGGTCCCTCGCTTCCAAGAAGCTGAACAGCACGTGGCTTGGCATCGCCATACAGAACGCGAAGAGTTCCGACGCCCACTTATACGCAGTGAAGCCAAATGTCTCTGCTTTAACCGACCCAGTGCAGCACAAGAAGCAGAACATATTGAAACGCCTATGGTGGTGTTGCATCATCCGCGATCGCATATTAGCCCTCGGTGTACGGAGGAGTCTACAAATATCCCGGGCGCATTTCGATATCGATGGCAACACCGGTCTCGGATACATCGACTTTGCCGACGAGGTTGACCGGTCTAAGGTCTACAATCCGGAAACCAAGAGGTGCCTCGTCGAGATATTCGTCCAGCTTGGAGAGCTCTGTTCGGTCTTGACCGATCTCGTAACTTTGGTGTTCCCTCTTGACGACGTACCTGGATGGGATAGAGAATTAGGCGCAGAAGGGGCAGTCAAATTGAAAGAGTGCAAAGCTGCGTTAAGACGATGGTATAAGAGCGCAACCCTCCGGTTCCCAATGTTTGGTGGCGGGACTACACCAAGGATGACGACTGCGAATAACAAGCATTACCAACATGACTCTGTGATCCTGTATACAAATTTGATGTACATGCATTACCAGTAAGTAATACCCTAGACCATCCTCTGGTGGCGCTGAGATTATTTACGCCTTAGTGAAGTTCCGCCAGAGCAGCTCTCTGCCACCACGAAGTCTTGCAGTTAGCTGTAGCTTGCACTTCGCCCAACCTTAGCAATAACCTCCGGGAGTTTTCGAATATTTACGAGAATAGACACGAACTCCAAGATGCAGCGTGTAGTGTGACGGAATGTCTAAAGGAGCTTATCCAATTGCGCCTTGCCCGTTGGTTGCCAATCAGCGCGTAAGTTACCAACTTCATCGTCCAGTCAGGGGTCATCTAACTTGTCTCAGCGTCGCGTGTACCGCATTACCTCTGGTCCTTCATATTATCGACGTCAAACTATCTTCACAAAATAGGAATAAGACCGGCATAGCAGATTCAGATCCGCAGATGGCTGCGAAGCAACATCGTCTTAACATTCTCATCGAAGCAATGAAGACATATCAACCTCAATACGACGGCGTGGACTATATCAGCGAAACCATCCGACATATTATCAACTTAGCTCAATTAGATGCCCCTGCTAGTACCGGATGGTGTTTCTCGGGCCTCTCTACAGATGGCAAGCAACCAGCGCCAGCGGACTGGACTGATATACTGGCCTCCCAACCAGGCTACTATCTACGATTAGCCATGACAATGGATTTATGTTTTAGCAAGGGCCGGCTAGCAGAAGAATCGGACTTCCCAGAAAACCTACGAGGGCTATTTTCAGCAGATTTTAGCTCGATCAGGGCTCTCGTCGCAAGTGGGAGGTCAGTCTCTGGGGCGACGTCAGCGGCGCAGAACCAAGGGACGAACTATTTCGCGCCGAACCCGGCTGTAAACTTAACGCCGGGCACGGTACACTCACTCTCGTCGGACGAGGAATCTAATTCGCCCAATTCCCTCGATGGCAATGGTAACAACGCCTCCGACTCACATCTCGACGGGCACCATGCCGCACTAAACCCCGCTGACATCGATATGTCCGGGGTGTTCGGCAATACGCTAAACATAGACCATCTCGCTAGCGAAGTCCTTGCCGCGTACGGGCTAAACGCGGAGACAGGCGGTGGTCTAGGGGAAGACGATTGGATCGAGAGGGCGTGGAGCGATGAGGAGATGAAAGACGCAGGCACTGCGGCGCAAGGCCAAGATCATGGCGGTGCGGATAAGGAAACGGCTCGAGTTCTGCTTGATGCTCTACGGGATGATAGCATAACCTGCGCTGTATGAAAATATTCTTTCGGTTGGGTTTTATGTCGGTTGCATGCGTAGGCGTTACGGTCTGGAAATCAGTTAGGACAAGACAAATACTACTGGGCGTCGGAATATGGTATATAAAAGGTCTTACTTGGTGGCGTCCAGCCATCCCGAGTGTATTGCCCGGGTTCATACGTTACTTACATAGGTATTTAGGTACATTATTTCTAGGTTTCAATACCACGATATATCTCATTCGTGAATTTGCTAATGGAGCTAGCATTCCTAATATCCGTTTCTGTTTATTAGTAAATTACTGGATAATTGGTTATGTCTTCGGTGTAACTGACGGAGTATTATATGATTTGCTTAACATTGCCAACTTATACCATTTTATAAGACTTCGGGGTTCAAAAAACTCCGTTCGTGATACGAATTTCTGAACCATATCTCATACCCCTCACGACAAAAAAGAAAACGTAAACGAGTAACTGATAAGGTGGAACTGCTATCTATCTATATAGGTAGGTATATATAACTGTCATATGTTTTTAATCTATCGTGCATGGTTCCCAATTCGTACCACAGTTAAATTATTCACTTTAAATCATTGTTAAAAATCCGGAGTTAAATCGTCTATAACTTCATGATGTATTTCTGGTATTGCATACTCGCATTAAGCGGCACTGGCCTCGGGGCATGGCAATTCCCCCAACAGCCTATGTCCGTGCCTGGCTATAAGCCATATACGGGCGTGGACGACGACGTGGACATTGTCAACGGAAGTCAATTTAATGGCTTGACGACATATGGGAACCTACCTTATCTTAACTGCGTATCGGACGATGAAGTGGGTGATAAAAAATACGATATTGCAATATTAGGCGCACCGTTTGATACTGTTGGTATTCTCGCCTCCTTTGGATTGATAGGCTGCTAATGTTGAATAGGGGGTTACGGCTAGACCTGGGGCTCGCTACGGTCCGAGGGGTATCAGGGCCGGAAGCATAAGGATAGAGAAAGAGACCGCATGGAGCGTGTATACCGGTAATCATGATTCTAGTTGTAATTTATCTCAGACTGTCGCATCTAACGAGTATTCTAGATAAAAACCCTTTAAAATCATGGGCGACAATTGTCGATTGCGGTGATGCGCCGCTACCATGGCTGGATAACAACGTCGCCCTGGCAAAATTAGACAAAACACACAAGGTTATCTCCGGAAGGAAAGCCTCTAATGAAAGTAATTCTGCACATCCGAGGATAATCACACTAGGCGGCGACCATACCACGACATTATCGGCGTTGAGATCGACGTATCAGCGATGGGGAGAAGTATCTGTAATCCACTTCGATGCTCACATAGGTCAGTAGGTTCTTATATCGTTGATATCAACAAGCTAACTCGAAGATAGATACATGGGATCCTAGTGTCCTTGGTGAGTTGAAAATGAGCATTGTCTGTCAATCTAGAAGGGGGATTAACACTTTGATACTATAGGAGGTGATATTTCATACTATGCGTAAGTCCCAAACGCCTACTCACATACCTCCTAACCTACCTATATAATATCACTTCAATATCAGTGTAATAACTAACAAATCCACCCCAAGCGGTTTAAACCACGGAACATTTCTTCATATCGCACACGAAGAGGTAACCAACCACCCATATTATCTGACAATGTCCCCTTGGCATGGCAGCTAACAGGATCTCCAGGGTCTTATCCGCAACACCTCCATACACGCCGGAATACGGGCCCCTGTCATGCGCAAAACAGAAGACATGGAAAACGACGTCCGCTGCGGATTCGCCACCATCAAGGCCCGCGACTTAGACAGGATCGGCACCGCGGGTGTGATTTCGCAGATCAAAGAGCGTGTTGGAGACTCCAAGGTCTATATTAGCGTCGACATCGATGTTCTGGACCCAGCATTTGCGCCGGGTAAGTTATAATGATTACCTCCTAGGGAGCGCAGCCCTAAGATTAAGTTACTGGTGCTAACTGGCATGCATCAAAGCGACGGGAACGCCCGAGCTAGGAGGCTGGTCGTCGAGGGAGCTTCTCACGATTCTCGACGGGCTAGACGGCCTTGCCATTATCGGTGGGGACGTCGTGGAGGTGGCGCCAATCTACGATACTGCCGGACAAACAACAACGCTCGCGGCTTCTGAGGTAGTTTTCTCCCTAATCTCGCTAATGGTTGAGAATCCGGTGAAATCGTAGTCATATATCTTATCACCATCTCTAAAGTCTAACAACGTTTTGAGCTTCATGTTGGATTGGAAATCGTCATAGTACATCTACAGGAATACCCCTAGAAAATCAAATAATGTATGCTACCATCTAGTTTAGAGGAAACCCTAGAAGAAAGGGACCAGAAAGATCCGACCTATACACCACATTATGACAAGCCATTTGACGCACCGTGGTAAAATGTGTTATCTTGTAGGCGGCTAGGGCTTGCTCTTTTGTACAGAGGGGCTAGCATTCGCCTTAGACACGATCCAATTTCCGTCGAATGTTTCGTGTCCGCTTCATCAGCTTCTTGTACTTCTTCTTCTTCATCTTCAGCTTCCTTTGCCTGCGAACACTGATGGCGTGCATATCGGGACTCTGGCCGCGGACTTCCTCACGCCACCGAATCTGGCGAAGAGCCATGCGCTCGAGGAACGTTTTCGGTGCGGATGGTTCCTCGACTACCTCAGGACTATGCGCTACGATTCGTATCTGGCCGTTCTCGTCTGTAGTTTCCTCGAGCGTGAACATGGCCTTATAGACACGATGCTGCGTTAGATCCTCCACTTCCTCGTGAGCGGTTTCTACCTCAGCGGTGGCCTCGTTTCGAGGCAGGGGAGGGGGTCTGAACGGCAGAAATTGGCCAGACATGGCATTGAGCTGGACGTAGACGCTCGATTCGGTGCCGTCCGGGTGTTTAAGATCGATCTTATGCGTTAGCTCGCCATTATGATCTGCAATAGTTTCGCCACTTTGTTGACCATCTAGATCCAGGTTTTGCATGGGCTGTTCGAGCTCATCGACGGTCCTAGATAGCGTAGACATGACATCGGTATACTTGTTGTTCTTTGTGCGGGGGGCGAAGATTTGCGCAAACGCATCGTCGGTGATGGTCTTAGGGAAGCTATGTGTTACGGACATGGGCCGATGCAGGGAGAAGAACGTCGACAGGGCGAGAGCTATTCAAGGGGTCAGCAAGTCCAGAAGGTATTTAAATAGAGTACGATATGATCTATACGAACCTTCTTGCGGCACATGTTGTGTACTAGGAACACTAGGGAGTTTTTGCTGAATATCTGTCCATTCTTTGGTCTTGCGCCTGCGCTTCTCTCCGCTTTGTTTTGAAGACTGAGACGGCGAAGCGGTAACCTGGCCATCTGAAATCCCCTTGGGAGAGTCGTTAGGGCTCGAAGGCTTCGAGGATGAGTAACGCCTTCGCTGACCACTCGTATTGCAGCAGAGGGTCAGGGCGGCTGGCGCTCGAGCGGTCGAAGAGGACAAGTTAGATAGTAGTGATGATTGAGGTGCGGCGGAAACCACACGCCGCACCGAAGAAGGCAACATCATGCCTTAATTATTCGGCGGGAGGAGATATAGGGAATAAAGGATATCCCACGGTGGGATGATGGCAGATGGCAAATGGCAAATGGCAAATGACAAATGGTGAAAGAAGGTTGAAGAGCCTCGCTTCGGAGGATTAGCATGCGATCGACAAGGTCACACTTGCAAAACCTAAACCTGGTCATGCTTTAATGCGGCTGCAAGGCTCCGAAAAATCCCCTAGGTTAGCGCTAAATGGTCTTAATCGATAAGGATCTTTTACGGTATTTGTATTGTACAACACTTACAGATATGCATAAGTGCATATAAGTGCATATTTCTCTTTAAGAGGTAGGTTTACGATTCGTACCTTACAAACGCATTTACATATCTCAACTGCGACTCCCCCTGAATGCATCTCTCTCCCTCTTGCTCTTACTTGAATTATTATACCTCATCTTTACTTTCCCGTTCATCATCTCCTCTATGAATTAGTTAAATCTACATAGTATATACTGATAATTGATGCTTGGTGCTTCTTCTACTACTACGCATCTACACAATTGCTTCTCTTAAAAAGTTATTAATAACTTACCATGTCGTCGTTTGCAGAATTACCCACTGAGATCATTCTCGAAATCATAGAACTGCTCTTCGACGTCTTAGACATTGTTGCGTTATCTTCAACAAACCGCCGCCTCCACGCTATTATAACAGAAACCAATGAAATAATTAGCAGGTTCGATAAGGCTTCTCTCGATGAGAATCTGTTTTTAGCTGTATTCTTAGGTCAAATTAATGTGGTCAGATTTCTCCTTGACCATGGCGTCGACCCAAACCAATATCGTATCGGCCGTATAGACAGGTCGGTCCGATGCCAATACTATATGCCTAGCGGCGTATACGTTCCAGGTCGAGTTGCCAATCTAGCCTACGATGCTCCCACCTTCTTAGATCATGCCCTCGAAAGCTACTAGATGTACTTCGAATTGAAGAGTCTTTGGTTATCAACTCCACTGCACCTGGCGGCGTATCGGGGGCACAATGATATTGTGACCCTCCTAGTTAAGAGAGGAGCGGGACTCGCTTTAAAGTCCATTGGTGTCTGCAGGTGTAAAGTCACTTCATATGACCCGGCCTATTGGGGGCTTAACATAAACCCAGACGCACATCCGCCCTGGACTCCGTTACATCTCGCGATTTGCGGCATGAATTTATCTACCGCGAAGCTAATACTCGGTTACGGTACCCTATTGTCTACGATCATAAGATTTCAGAGGAGACAACAGACCCATGCTGTCAGAATAGAATCCAAGTTGACTTGTGATAAATGGCTGGCCGTAAAACAACTGCGTATTAGCATGCCCAACTTCCGGGGTCCTTCGGTATATTGCCATCATATTTGCCTTTCTCGAGTAGGTTTTCACGGCTTAAGAGAGCCTCGTCTTCCAGCGTTTTTTTTTTTTCAACCCGTCTTAAACACTTCAATTCTAACTTCAGCTTTAACAGAATTGCGGGCTGCTGTCATATGCCATTGATATGCAGTTAGTCTGGATCAAAACTGGCACCAATAGATCGCTTATTCATGTCTGTCTTCAAGACCCGCGGGTAGACCTACCTCCATGGCGTGATCTTGGATGTACCATGAAAGTACCCGAAGTACGTCTTCCTAAGTATGCCCTACCTTGGTTCGAATATCTCCTCAACCGCGGGGCCGATGTTGAAGCTAAGGATGCTATGGATTGCAATGCCACGGCTATCATGGTTGCGGCGCTCCATAGTATCGAGCCGGCTATGGACTTGCTTATACAACATGGTGCAAATGTCCATGCGAAGGATGCGAAGGGCTTTACTGCCCTACATGCAGCCTGCATAAGTTCTAAGCCAGAGATTATCACAAAACTCATCGATGAGGGGGCACAAGTAGATGCTATTAATTTCATGGGCGATTCGCCTCTTTCTTTCATATGCCGCTCAATCACCGCCGAGCACCCAATCACCGCCGAGCGACACAATGAAATTCTAAAAATAATCCAACTTCTTCTGACGCGCGGAGCCAATCCAATGCCTAGAACCAGGAGGAATACTCGGGTTCAGTCTGCTCTGGAAGTAGCATTTTGCAATCAATACCTTGCTGCTGTGAGATTGATAATTTCAATATCCAGCCCGACGCCTAGTTCAGGCCAGATTTGGCGTCTATTTGTAGCTATGATGGAGGCGCCCGACCCTTCTCGAGTAAGGCTACTCCTAATGCTTGACAAGCGGAACTTCATTCTTCGAAGTGATTCTGCTCTCGTTAAACTCCTAACAAGCAACGAGCAAACAACTGAGGCAGCAATGATTCTACTGGAAAAGGGCGCCCCATGCGATGCACGATCAGTCTTCTGGATTGTTCATCTCCAGAAAGGCAATGACTTGCTACGAAAAGTCCTGGAACGCGGTATCACTCCTAACTTCGTCATGGAACCAATGAAGCGATGTCCACTTCTCGAAGCACTAGCGATCAGAGAAGTCGTGACGAGGAGAGCATATGTGAAGTCCCTGATGGAACACGGGGCTGATATCAACATGTATTGTAGTCTCACTAACGATAAGCCGATCTATGTGGATATTATTTCGCCCTCTTTGCTCCCGCATACCGAAACCGTTTTAGACGTTCTATTCCACCCCAATTCCTTCCAGCGGGTACCAGAATCCCAGCAAGTTGCCTTCATGGTCTCAGCTTGTCGCTTAACACATGTAAGGGTTTTACAAAAGTTACTTGAATCTACAACTGGGTCCGTGATTCAGAAATTCGTTCAACGGATTATAGGAGACCTCACAGCCACAACCTTTATCAGTCAACTATTTAACACGACCGCCTATTCCCTAACAGACCAAATGGGGTTCACGGTAGAGCACATGGATATTGCTATAGATATACTGGATATATTAGCCCGGTACGACACGTTCTGGAGTTTCCAACCTTCTCCTGGGTCAGCACGGGCTATAGACGCCTTGAAGAACCTCATGGCTGTGACGCGCAACTTTCCAACGAGGCAGATGGCCGCTAGCTTCTGCTTAGGGAAAAGAGTCCGAATCGTCGACTCTAGTGCTGAAAGTCCCCAAGTTTTGATACTTCCACGGGCAGATTCAAACGAGTATCCTCAAGGTCATATTACCCTTCATTACTTAGGAGCAACATTACATCCTACGTTGGATGGGCGATAGGGAAGCTTTGTCTCGTAGACCGTTTTACCAGTAGTAATAATTATCGAGGAAGCGCATACATATTTTAAGTAGTAATTTACATTAATACACTCGGGTTCCATAATCCCTTGATGAAGCGTTAACTATAAGACCAGTTTTATATAGTTGGGGTTATTCTATTGTAGTTGCGTCTTCTAAAGACTTATCCTCTCTCGATAGGCATTGATACGTTAAAAGCCATGATTGCCGCTCAGGTTTACCTGAATCCTTGGTCAATAGGAAGCTTCCATCACTTTTTTTTTTTTTCACCATGGAGGGCAAGACGCACTCAGGAGATCTGCCGGTCTGTCTGACAGTTAATTGAAGTAATAAACCAAGCTAAATGCGACTTGAGAAGTGTAAGGGACCAGACATGGCGCCCGATTCGCTGGGTGATTCCTCTATCCCCGCTCACCTCCTCTCCACATCGACGGATCGCCCCGCGATACAAGGACATCCGAGGTTATTATAATGTTCAGTCTACGGTAGTAGCTAGTAGTTATAGTCTATATTACACGAGCTTCATATAGAGTCATGTAGAACGTCGAGTTAGATTTAAGGGTTCGATGTTTAGGATAGTATTGCCTAGAAAGGAGCAAAATGGTTGCCCGATATATCAAGACAGCTGGCCTCGTGGCAAACACAGCAATTAACCAGAAGGTGTCAGATATCGTGAAAGGTGTAATAGACGACATCAAGGCTAGTGGCGATAAAGCTGTCAGGTTATATTCCGAAAAGTTCGATAAATGGTCACCGCCATCGTTTAAGTTGACAGAGAACCAAATACAAGAATGCATATCGAATGTATCAGCACAAACGATAGCGGATATCAAGGAGGCGCAGAATAATGTTCGGAGGTTTGCCGAAGCTCAAAGGGCAAGCATCAAAGACTTCGAGGTCGAGATCCAGCCAGGCGTGTTCCTCGGACAGAGGAATAACCCTATTAGCACGGCTGGCGCTTACATTCCAGGTGGACGTTATCCGTTGCTCGCATCTGCTCATATGACAATATTGACTGCGAAGGTTGCTGGCGTCAAGCATGTTATTGCTTGTACACCACCTATTTCAGGCCATATCCCTAATGCTACCGTCGCAGCAGCACATTTTGCTGGTGCAGACGAGATCTTTTTGCTCGGAGGGACGCAAGCCATTGCCGCCATGGCCTTAGGAACAGAATCGATTAAGAAGGTGGATTTCATCGCCGGCCCGGGGAATCCCTTCGTCGCCGAGGCCAAGCGGCAATTATTTGGGGAGATTGGTATTGACCTCTTAGCTGGACCGACCGAAGTTCTCATCGTCGCCGATGAGTACGCGGACCCTTTTACAATCGCCACGGACTTACTCTCTCAGGCTGAGCATGGACAGGATTCGCCGGCTGTACTAATCACCACTTCGGAGGAAATCGGTCAGGGGACGATAAAATACGTCGACCAGATCTTAAAAGATATGCCGACAGCAGAGCTCGCGGGAACTTCGTGGCGAGATTACGGCGAAGTGGTCGTGGTGGATAGCTTAGATGAGGCATACGAGCTCGCAGACGTGTATTCGAGCGAGCATGTGCAAATTCTAACGCGGAATCCTAGAGAGGCTTTAGAGAAGATGAAGAACTACGGCTCCTTGTTTCTTGGTGAGAAGACCTGCGTCTCGTACGGCGATAAGGTAAGTACCTACTCTTGTTTTTCACATTCATACGAGTGCGTAGTGGAATATAGCTAAGTGTTCCTATAGTGCATTGGAACAAACCACGTATTGCCTACGCGGAAAGCGGGGAGGTACACGGGTGGACTATGGGTTGGCAAGTATCTGAAAACACAGACGTATCAAGAGGTAGTAAATGAAAAAGCGAGTGGCGAGATTGGACGTCTTTGTGCACGATGCTCGAGAGCTGAGAATTTCGAAGGACATGCGAGGTCTGGAGACTTGAGAGCACATAAGTATCTCCACGATACGTATTCTTGGATCGATGAAGCTAGGAAATAGTACCTTTATGAAAGGTAGAGGGTATTACTCTTATTGTGTATACTAGTTGTAATAAGCGAACAATTATGCGCCAAGTGACGAAGAGTTCGGAATAGGAGTAAATTCTTTGAATTGCGCTTCTCAGCCTCCTCATAGTTCGTTACTACCTAGACAGTATTATTTTATAGCCAGCCTTATATTCTATTTATAATAACTCGCCGTACCCAGGAATAAATATCGTAGTTTCAATCAGACCCGAAGTGCATACCCAACGCCAATGCAATACCTATCATGCTAGATACCAATGAAAAATGCTGCAACGGCTGCAAACAACGCAGCTGATAACACCGACTGCGACGACGACAGGCCAACTGCCCCGCTACCGTCATCATCGCTGGAGCCATTGTTTATAGTAGCCAGAGAGGCTCTCGGGGGTCCCACGACTTTGATGCAGGACATAGAAGCTTCGGTATCAGTGACTAGACTTCCGCTACCAGCTGAGTAGAAGACGGTGATTATGGGCGTGATAGCCCAGGTGGCCTTTTCCAAATCGTTAAAGGTGGTATCCCCCTATTCGTTTGTTAGACAACACTTTACCAAGAATAAATCGGAAGACAGGGTGTAAGCACTACTTACTGTGTAGTTGTACTGGCTAATTAAGGTGAGATCGTCTTGCTTCGGGATGACAGGCCAGCAGGTTGACGATGAGTTTTGCTGCTGGCTGATGGGTTGTGGTGCATCCTCGCCAGTTAAAGCTATTACAACGTCAGTTATTGATTCGACATTGCGCAGATGCAAGAAAAGAAATAGCATCATTCTCTCAATATGTGAAGCTTTACTCGTCTTTAATTTCACAGGAGGTTTTATTCGAACTTACCGGCGCTGGTAAAATTACTCCAATGCCCCTCCGAGATCCGAGCACAGGCTTCGTCGTTACTATCTTCCAGATCCCTCTGCAGTCTCGAGCAGGCCTCCGAGACGGAGAGATTCTCGCTGCCACTATTATACCCATTTACCAAGGTCCTGGCCCGGGAGACCAGCGCGTCGACGCATGAAGAGCCCATGGCATCCGCGCACGTACCCTGCGCAGTCTCATGATTATCGCCGGGGAAAGCGAGATTCTTAGATGCGCCGTGCAGGAAAACAGCACATGCGCCCGTTGAATTATCCAGGTGTAAGTCCGGCGGTGTGCCCAGATAGAATGTATTCTGGAACTCCCTTTTGTTGTCAGACGAGCCGACGTTGAAGCCCTTGGACCATGACAACCCCGAGAGGGCATCGTTGCCAGTCGGTACGCGTGTTAGTCCGACGTAGATAAATGAGCCGGTATCTGCTACGGTGCAATTGTCGTCTACATTGCTCGTACTGCTGACTGGACACTCGACGTCGACACAGCCAACAATCGTCTGGTTGAGGTCTTGGGCCTGCACCTGCGCGGCTGCAGCAGCCAGCGCCGAGAGAGCAAAAGCCGTGCGCACGTTTCCCATTACGATCCGGGAGTCGAGAATTGATGATGTTGGATTTGTAGTGTAGTAGTTAGTTGTGAATGAAGAAAGGCAAACGGGAACAGGGGGAGAGATTGATAAGAGATATTAAAAGGTCTTTTGACAATAAAGAAAATTAATATTACGAGAAATTTACCATTTTTCTTAATTGGAAACTTCCAAGAATCCCGCAACTATCCGGCTACCTATATTTGGCGCGCCCTCGCGTCGTGGCGTCGATAGAGAAATGCAGCTACCTAGATATAATTCAGAAGACTGTTTGACAGGGTCACAAGCTGAATGCAGACCAAGGAAATAGGGCTGGTTCCTGCAGAGCCCCCTTGTGGATATGCGGTTATGGCTAATAAACATGGTGGCATTGTAAAAAAAAAAAGGTCACCTGCCTAAAAAGTAATGGACTTATTGGACCAGCGATCGTTTGTTGGTATTTATTAATAGACGCCAAGATGGGCTTTGCCTGTGTAACCAACCAGCGGTGCGCATAAAGACTTGAAAGAGTTGGATCAGTTAGATACTTAGACGGCTAACATAGATGATGGGGGTGGCAAAGCACATACCCGGATACGGGGACTGAAACGATACCCCATAACTTCACAATTTATATTAAACATCGTCGTCGCTAAAATCAAGATATATCGCATGGAACCGATCGAGCTGAAGCTGCACTTGTGCGATCCATTTCCCCTTTTGATAAGCTTACTCAACCCCCTTTTTGTCCTGACCTTCCATAATCGTTATTCGATAATCTCCAGCCATGCGATGGTGACGATCTCATCTTGAGTTTATTTTCTTGAAGGAATTCTCATGCACGAAATACCCGTCAGAGTTGGCGAAACGTTTCATTAGGTGTTCGTGCCGCACCATCGAGAGCCGCACTGCTTAATACAGCGCGACCGATAGCCCGATATGACAAAAGAATGCGATCATGGGTGGTGCTCTCGGCTGAAGAGCCGCTAGGTTTAGATATTGTGATTTGACATAACGTTTTGATCCTTCAGCCAAAACGAGGAGGCAGCTATGCATGTATGATATTAGGATGAACGCCACACCGTAGCAGAATATACGAGATGCCATAAATCATAGAATATATATCTCCTCTCGCTGCTCCTCTATAAACTCCATAATAAACCGTCAGTAAACTACAGACGAACCGGTAGGGGTTTTCGGAATCTAACTATTTACATTCTTTACGGCCTAGGTGCCTCACACTCTTTAAAATCCATTCCAAATATCACACTCGTTTTATTCTTATCGAATACACATACCTATCCTACGGCAGTACATAATGGCAGGCGTTATAGAAGCAATTGGCGTGCTTTCGGGCGTACTTGGAATACTACAGTTTGGTATCGACCATTTTCCGAAAGACGATGGGCCAAAGTCAACTGTTAGGGTCACAGTTGGATTAGACACCCCAGGTGGTCTTAACAATGCCGGTGGTGACCTTCCTGATGTTAGACTATTCAATGAGGCCGGCGAGTTCATCGGTATCAAGACAGACCCGGGCAAGGTCTCGGATGGTGGTTTCGGCGACATCGAGATTAGCCACAACGATGATGGAAACCAGCAACCTGCATATGCCCTTTTCTCGGCTAACAACGATGCTATCTGCATTGCACACGCCGTCGTCACTTTCCCAGGCAATGAAAGATATACCTGGGTCGGTGACTGGGGTCGCCAATGCGGCGGTAGTTGGTAATTCAACCCGACCCCTAATAACACTATGAGCAACAAATACTAATAATGGCAAACTAGGTACTACTCAAACATCTACGTAGACAGCAGCAACCGAAAGGTTGACTGTCTATGGATCGACGGCAACAACGACCAACCGCAAAGCGGATTCCAAGTCCACTGGCCCGAATTCGTAAACAAAGACGGCGACCAGCTTCCATCAGACGACACCGGGATGGCCGATAAAGTAGACTACCTGTGCAACAGAGGGCCTCCATTCAAGATGTACAACTACGAAGACGACAGCGACCCAACCGGCATTACCTACTGGGTCCTCAATAACAAGCGCTCCGAGGATGGAACCAACAACCGCAAAACCGCAACGTCGTACGCCCCGCCGAAATACCCTACCTCCGCCAAGTTCGGCCGCAACTCGCCCCGAGGAAACAGCACCGTCCCCTCCGGCTCCAGCCGCCAGGCCAACCGTCTAGTAGTCAGCAACAACGCCCAGCACACGGCAGCCGAGCTCTGCGAGAGCAAGACATCCTACGGTCCGGACTTCCTGGACCTGATGGACAAGAAGTTCTGCCGCATGTCGGACAAGACTCTCTGGCCGGTGTGCGACGGCGCCCAGACCGTAGACAACTGCTTTAATACGGATGTCCAGCAACTCATTGTCAACGGTGTTTCGGCTAGGGATAGTCCCTACAGCAATGTTGTGGATTGGACGTCAGGTAACTAGATGGGCATGTGTATTCTTAGATTCTCGGTTAGGATGGGCGGAAAATATGTACAAGTATTCTTAATTGTCGGCGTATAGGGGCAGGATATGTATTATTTATTAACCCATACAAGGCTTTGGTTGTGTGGCATGACTGTATTGTAGGATATCCAAGTATTTTAAAAAGATGAGTTAGCAAGAAAATTGTTGTAAGACTTGAATTTTTCGAAGGCAAACTGAGTTGATGTTGTTTGAAGGTGGGAGTTTGTAAGAAAAAGGTCTTATAGTCGTAATTTATAATTGTATTAGTAAGAGTTCTCAAGTGAAAGTCCGAGAAGATATTGGTAATATTCTTCAGTTTATAACCAACTAGAGCAGGTATTTATCCTGACAGAATTTTTGATTGGATAAACAGCATTTAGTTTACGAGATAAATCAACTTTCTCTCGTAGAGCCAACTCCGGGGGGTTGACAGCAAACCCTCGAAATCCTGTTAGTGAGACTCAAAGCATAATAAGCCAAGTTAGTGCGTATATGGAGATCTTTGCTCAAACATACAGTCAACTGAATAATTAACGAGTTGATAGATAACTTTGTATTAATTATGAGAGAGAGGGAATACTGAAAATTAGAGGTTCGTAGGTTAAACGCACAACCAAAAAGATACTGCCCATCCTGGGGTCGAACCAGGGATCTTCTGATGTATCTGCTATTTGTTATATTGAACAAGAATAACAGTCAGACGCCTTAACCACTGGGCCAATGGGCATGGAATCTTCGCGAGGTTTGCCAAATCGTGGTGAAATTTCTGCAAGTTAGTTTAACTTATTATCCACAAAGCGTTGCCCACCACGCTATCTAACATCTCGTGTGCGGGTCTCTCGAGGCTTGTGAAAAGAATCCCCATAAGATAAAACCAAAAATAATGAAGTACTTCACATGGTAGAAACAGAAAAAAAAATTTTTTTCGGATTGTTTTAAGATTAATTAGTTTAAAGTGGCTTTAGAGTGGGATCCTTCATATCCGGTGCGCGATAAGACGAAAACCGCCAAACCGTCAAAACACTAAAACACTTTGGAGGTTCAAACGTTAAAACACCAAAACAATAAAATAACTAAACGTCCCAAACATCAAAAATGTCTGGTATTTTGAATATATTTGAAAAATTCCAAGTAATCTTCGTTCAAGGCTTCGGTACAAGTCGCAGCTCCAATGATGTATGTCACCATTTCACGATCTTCACTGGGCCGTTCGGGCATTTGGCGAAGACGTTCCGTGAAAATAGATGTACTAGATCTTAATTTCGTGTGGCGGATTAGTAGTTCCTTGGTGTAATCGACAATGCCTCCGCAATTCTTTAGCAACTTAGACGTTACCAATTTGACACGTTTCGTTGTTAACGTTACCATAATGTCAAATGCTTTGCTATTAAGGGGTAGAAGGCTTGTGCCCTATACGGTCGGCGTGGCCGGGGCACTAGACTCCTCGCTCCTATCGTGCAAACAGCAAGAAAGATGGCATATTGCCGCAGGGGGTAAGATCTTGAAGGTTACCGTAGTATTGGATGCGTTGCTACTAAGGGGTAGAAGGCTTGCACCCGATACGGTCGGCGCGGCCGGGTCCCTACTGCCGTGTTGTGTCGAACAAACCGCTAACTATACCACTAAAAGGTTATTTGGTGATAGATTTTATTCTATTATGTTTTTTATATTTTTCTATCGGACAGATAGTCATATCTGCCATGTTGCGAGCGGCAGGAAATACGAAATGCGGCTGCAGGAAGTAAGCTATTTTATCTGCCCGCGTAGTACGCCCCGTACTGCCCTTTTATTATTTCTTTTGTTTTTACTGTTTTATTATTTTATTGTTTTAGTGTTTTGGTGTATTGACGGTTTGGCGGTTTTCGCCTTATCGCCCGCCGTCGTATCTTACACCTTATCACGGTCGTTACAACAACTTTAATATATTCTGTATTACCTCGGTAGTTACAGTTAACCGGCTCAACTACTTTATAATACATTAAACAGCCTTGCCAATGTTCGAAAGTATTTGAAGCTTGACGAATAGTATTCAAGAGATTTTATACGTCCTAATAATGACTCGTAATTTATACATGTTCATGTTATTGTAGCCTCCTTCTAAGAGAAAGAGTGTTTTCATGTGAATTTACCCACATCGCTTTCTCATTACCCCCATGCTTTCAAGATCGTGCGACTTGTTGTGTAACGTATAGTATTCAAACGTCTCTTCTATCTCACCGCTAATTTACTAGGTACATCTACTAACATCATGGGATGCACCGAACTTCGGTTGCAAGACAACACTCTTCGGCCTTGTATATCCATGCTGACGCGGCGCCTTTCCTGGCAAGCCTTGGCTATAGCCGGTATGTTGTCATCTTGTTAGAGCCTAATATTACATTCTTGGTTTTGAAGCCTTGGTACGACATGTCTTTTGGATATGGGAGAGCCAAACACAATACAATGTTTCTTAGTCTGTTTCTTATGTTTCAGCTATGGCGTAACCGTGCCTCTACAAGGAGATAGATAGTTATCAATAATGGTTCGGAGTTTACGGAGGCTATGTCCTTTTTGTAGTTATCTACAATATTCCAAATAGATGCACTTCCAGACCGGGGAAAAACACCAAATCGGGAACTACTAAGCATGTCCATCCACTAGTCGTTTCTATTTTATCATATGATTTCTCCAATCGCAGTTGTTAAGGTAACATACGCCTCAGAAGCTTATATAATTATCAAGTCTTATATAACCTTATAGCCCACTCTGTCAGATGCCCAGACAGATGTTCACTTGGCGTTAGATGTCCAACTCGTATGTACGGCCGTTCGGTGATAATGCCCATCTAATTATGATAATAATTTGGTTGTAATGCTCTATAAAGATCACGACTTATAATCACCAACACTTAGGTTGCGCTAGGATAGTCTCTAGGGCTAGAAGCACCTATATTGTATGGTGGCACAGACAATCAATTGTATAAAGAGAACCTTGAGTGCTTCGACAATCGTTTCGGGCCTTCTCTACGCACAGAATGACAACTCATTTTGGGGTTTTAATAGGAAAAAGCAAAAAGTATCATGCTATCAATCACCACCAAGCCTATAGAACGCCACAATCTATTTCAAGCAAAATAAATCAAATGGTTATGCCCACCACATACCCAAAAGGAGATCTCCGAGGTTGATTTTGAACTCTTGTCTCCAACCTTGGTTATGCCAATCAACCAGTTATCCAGATAGGTCATCAAGTATGATATCGCTGTACTACAAGGGTCAATGATCAGATGGCATCTGCAATTTGCTTATGAGCTTTAAGCCGAATAGAATGATTCGGTGACCAAGTAATCAATATATTAAGATATATAAATCCTTCTTTACGACACTTACCAGACAGATTCAATACGCCAATAAGATAAACGACTACTACACTGAAGCCACTACCGTCTTTACACCAAATCTCAGAAGACAATACCAAAATTCTCATACGAACCTAAACAAAATGTCTATAGGCGAAGACTTTGATCTTTTGATCGCCCCTGGATCTCTCGTGGTCGTGACGGGCGCGAATGGGTATATCGGATCCCATATTGTGGACCAGTTTCTACAACGAGGTTACCGGGTCCGTGGTACTGTCCGTAAGGCTTCTAGGGATCGATGGCTAAAAGACCATTTTGACGGGAAATATCCGGGCAAATTCGAGTTGGTCGAAGTGCCCGATATGGTAGCGAGCGGTGCATATGACGAGGCCATCAAAGGGGCATCTGGCTTCGTACACGCCGCAGCTCCTGCGATGGATGCGATGGAAAGCGCCGATCCCTACGCTAGAGTCAGAATCGTAGTGGATAGCACGGTACGCGCCCTGGAATCAGCCGCAAAAGAGCCAGGGATAAAACGATTCGTCTTAACATCCTCTTCTGGGGCGGCGGTATTTCCTATCCCCGACAAGGCTCTGTCGATTGACTCAAACACCTGGAACGAATACTCGGTTAAGGAGGCATTCGCCCCACCACCGTACGAGGGCGAGAAACGCATTGTGGATGTCTATTATGCTAGCAAGACTAAGGGCGAGCAGGCGGCGTGGGAATGGATGCGTGAACATAAACCCCATTTTACATTCAATGCGATCCTGCCCGACTTTAATACGGGGGCGCCCATCAACGTAGCTCGACAGGCTTCTCGCAGCACGGCGGGCATGATCAGAGTCTTGATAGACAAAGGTGAAGCCTTGAAGCCGGAAGATGTAGTATTCCCACCACAGTGGTATATTGATGTCCGTGATGATGCCGCATTGCATGTGGCTGCATTAATATATCCTGACGTGGCGGGCAAACGCCTCTTCGGCTTCGCTTACCCCTTTACGGTCAACGATGTTATCCGAACGCTGAAAGCGCTATACCCAAACCACAAATTTGGGCAGGAGATCTCCGATGTAGGTAAAGATCTATGCAGTGTCGCAAACGAGAGAGCTGAGGAGCTGCTGAAGCGACTTACCGGTCACGGATGGTTGAGTTTGGCTGACGGTCTGAAGGATACTGCTGAAGCATTAGGGATTCATTAGGGATTCATGAGGAGTCTCTTCACTAATCGTAAAATGATGTCAATACCCGACATGTCGCATGGTAGGCGGTAGAAAGTGCGCCCGAGAGAGGCGATGTGGATTCACGATGGCGGAACCAGTAAATATAGAGTAGTGGTTTGATTAACAATACACTTTTGCACTAAGCGACGCTATATGTATTGTTTTTAAGCCGAATGCTACACAAGCTAATGCTGCAGTGCTGCCGACTTGATGGCACTAGAAGGTCCCAGCAAACGGAATTAATAAGATTTTAATGGGGACGTAGTGTAGGTAGCACTTGCATCAATACTTGCATAGTACATCTAGTATAGCAAGCACAGCCAATACAGCCAGTACAATACAGCGTAGCTCCTCCCACAAACAACACGAACTACTTCAAGAGTGGGGGAAAAAGTGGATGGTGCCATCAAGAAGCAAGATCACCCCGGATGGCGTAACAAATCATATTTCTAATTGGATTTCGAAGGTTGCCGCGCGACTTCCATCTGTTCTCCATCTGTACATAGAATGTCATGTGCGTAATGATTACCATAAGTTAAGTTCTCGGGGTTCATATAGAAAGGTAGAGATGTAGTTAATATAAACCCCAAAACCTTCTTTGTTTTTGCTATAAAGTTGGGAGAGAATAAGAAAGATTGCCGTGAATATCCAACCATCCAACCTTCAACCCCGCTTAGTGAACCACTTATTAAACAGCCACTTATTTAAGACATCACGACTGAACTTAGACTCACCAAAATGGCTCCCAAGATCTTTCTGTAAGTAAAAGGCTAAGGCTTAGTTAGGCGGAAATAGAATGACTTAAGAGTATAAACTAATACGTCTAATAGCACCGGTGCCACTGGTATGAACTTGACAGCCCATCTATAAACACTATTTCATCCAGCCAAGATAAATACTAAATATCCTGAAAATATAGGCTACATTGGTGGTGATGTCCTCTATCAACTAAACAAGGTTCACCCGGATTATGAGTATACACTACTTGTACGAAACGAGGAGCGAGGCAAGCCCGTCGCCGCTGCTTACCCCAAGGCCCGTATCGTCTACGGCACTCTGGATGATGCCGAGGTGATCGAGAAGGAGGCTGCCGCAGCAGATATCGTCGTTCGTACGTTACCCTCCCAGTTGAGTATTATTGGAAAGAGAAGAAGAGCAAATAGCTAACGCCATCCAGACACGGCCGACTCAGCCGACAATGTTCCTTCCGCAAAAGCCATTGCCAAGGGTCTCGCGGCGGGCCATACGGCCGAGAAACCAGGTTACTGGATCCATCTCTGCGGAACCGGCATCTTAACTTGGTACGACGCAGACAACAAGCGCTACGGCCAGCCGCCGCTGCCGGAGCAGACATACCACGACATCGACGATATTGACCGCATTCTCTCCATCCCCGACTCCGCGCTCCACAGGGACGTCGACAAGATCGTGCTGGCGGCAAACGACTCCCCCGCGGTCCAGACCCTAATCGTCGGACCCCCCACCATCTACGGCCAGGGCCGCGGTCCTGTCAACCAGCGCAGCATCCAAGTACCCCTGCTCATCGACTACACGCTGCAGAACGGCTACGCGCCCATCCACCCGCCCGGCTTGACCGAGTGGAACAACCTGCACATCTACGACGTGAGCGACTTCTTCGTGCAGGCCGTAGAAGCCGCACAGGATCCTTCCAAGACTAGCAACCCCGAAATCTTCGGCCCCAGGGGGTACTTCTTCCTCGAGAACGGCGTGCATAAGTGGAGCGATGTAGCTAGGTGGGTTGCCGACGAGGCCGCGAAACAGGGTCTTATTCCCGAGCCCGCTACCAAGGAGGTCGATTTCCCCTTCTTCGGAGCCAATTCCAAGGCTGTCGCCGCCAGGGCGAGGAAGTATTTAGGCTGGGCGCCGAAGGGTCCGACCCTGAAGGATGATATCCCGCATAGCGTGGCTCTTGAGGCGAAGAGGTTGGGCAAGGCTTGATTATGCTGATCTAGAAGAGATATTGCCCGACGCCGATTTTCTGTAACATCTATTAGTAGAGAATCCCGTGGTAATCTCATAGTAATAGCAGGCGACACTGATGTAACTTAATACAATGCTCCAATTTCTTAGCTAACGACTAAATAGGGTGATCCAACTCGTATCCGCCTTGTGCGTTTCATTCATTATCATAACGGTCATATACCCAAATATATCCAAGATAGACATTCTTGTGGGACGTCTCATATACCCACGAGTTTGGAATCAGGGATGTTCGATATCGAAGTAAACCTTGACTTCGACTTCATTGCTCCAACCAGCTGTTAGACCCATCTCATTCCACGCCGTTTCGATATCAATTTCCAACACATGGCTGTCGGTCTTATTAACAGTAACTGTATGAGGCGGAATTGGTTGACCTTGAACAGTAACCATGAAATCCCGTTCGATCGACATGTCAGGGAGACTTGAGATATACACCCCTTTTACTAGTTAGTTTAACAGCAGAGTCGCTAGCGGTAACAGGGACTTACCAAGAATTCCCAAGGCTTTGAGCCGTGTGTCCAAGAATACCCTGCCGGTATGTAGTAGCTCAGACTGGCTTGTGGTGATAGCGGCGGCACCCGTCATCTTCCCAACAAGGCCTAAATTTGCGAAGTGAATCCTACCGTTAGTCTCGCTGTCAAACTGTGTTATGGGGAAGGCGGTAAAAATGTCGTAGTCCCGGACGTCTAACGATACCGCAAGGATGGCGGCAGCAGAGCCGGGTTCTACAACGGATGTTACGAGACCACTGCGGTGAGCACGCACGATGTATGGATTTGACGAAGACACGCCCGGAAAACTCGTGAGAGGGATGAGCTCCCTTATTGCCCGCCGCGATATGTTGAAGACGCCTAGTAGCGGTGTCCCAGTCACAGCTCGGCCGTGGTAACTCCCAATTTTGAGGATTGCAGGCTCATCGTAACTAGTATACGCGTCGATGCTTCTACCCACTACGCTCGGTCTGAAAATGACGGTCTTACCTCGAGGCGTTGGTCCTGTCATCTCAGCAATGAGATCGATATTGTGTTTTCCAGGAGCATCGGTTATATAGATCGGCCCACCACTGAGACACCGCGCAGCAGCGTGGAAACCCGCAAACTCATGATCAGTCTGAAACATATCCCAATCTGGTAAGATGTTTAGATGCTGGGTAAGCAAGGCGTTATGGGCGTTCGCGAAGAGATGCCATGGATGTGAATCCGGGATGTCGGGATAGAAGTCGTCAGAGTTACGCGCGAGCATAGCTGGTCTGTTGTGCGGCAGTTGCTGAAGGAATAAGAGTTGCGGCGCTTGCGACATACACGATATGGCTTTAATGCTGAAATACCTCAAGGCCGATATTATCCAACTATCAAGGTATGTCTCGGTAAGCTCTCGACGCTGTTTAGCCGAGACCCAGGTATCTATCATATACTGCACGTCCGTTTTGACGCCATCGATCCCACAGTCTGATAAGAAGTGATAAAAGTCGTTATAAAATTTACCGACGTCTTCTTTTGCGATAACAGTCATGGGACTGTTGAGGTTGGAATCAGCACGATCAATTTGTACTGTCTTATAAGTCTGGGCGAGGTCACCAGTGCTTGAAATCCCTCCCCAGTAACCAAGTAAAGCATGCCAGACGGCGACGTGTTGGATACTTGGATGCTTGGAGCGGATGAGCGATACTGTGTCTTTGAGCCCGTTGGGGAACGCGTTTGGCTCAGCTTCGAATCCCTTCCAACCATGTTGGTATTGATCTTGGCCCTGGTAATCAATATCTTGCCAGTTATCGTCTATGATGAGGCTGCTGATATTGATACCGTCTTTTGCTAGTGCTCCGACGGCATGTATTATTTTCTCATCTGTCAGATGTTGACCCAGAGCATTCCAAGTACCTATTCATACAATAGGGCTAAGTTAGACTCGTTAAGAAAATTCAGGTAGTAAAATTGCTTACAGTATCCCAATCCATCATACCAATTTTCATACCATTCCGGCTTGATGTCACTCGTCAAGCTCTGGATCTCCTTAGTAAACTCATCTTTGTTATTTCCTGTGGCGACGATAACGGCTCGAGCGTGGTACATGACGGCTGCTACCGCACTCTCAAAATCATCGCCAACAGAAGCCAAAACCAGACCAGTTGATTGAGCTTCGTTGTCACTTCGTATCTACAAATTAAGCATGAGATGATTATCGTGGAACGAATTGGTTTCCGGATTTGAGCTCTTACTTACATGCAACCTTACGGAACCTGTATCTGAGCTGCGGAGGAGCGTGCTTACATCGCCAACTCCACTAACTGCTAGCAGGACAAGATGCTTTCCTTGATGACTTAGAAAGGAGCAAATCACAGCATCCTTGTCTAATTTAAATGACTTTCTACCGTGTCTAGGACCTAGCCAGGGCGACCCGTGCCGAACTAGAGCAAAATATCTACAACTCGGTCAGTTTCACATCATAATTAACGCCAATACCCGTTTAAAAAAAAATAATCATCATGGCTTACCGCAGAGCACCACCCCACGGAGTCCCGAGCTCCACATCGGCGTATGCAGAACGGTCATCACCGGCCGGATCCACGCTTGCGCTTACAGTCCAGATTTGGGTATTGGGGGTTTGACTCTCTGCAGCCGTGACCGTTAGCTCAGGATTAAGCCCGTGAATTATTTTAGAGAGATTCGTGTCCATTTCATTATTTGGGGATGTTGGGCTAATCAAGACGATCCCATCGTATATCCCTGAGACTTTGCGAGACCACCTCCAAGGTTGATTACGGCCATTGCGAAACTTCAAAGTGAATTTTAGGGATGATGATACAATAAACGGCGTTCCAAAGTACAGAAGAGTATGCGAATGTCTAACAGTTTGAAGTGCTGAGGGAGAATTGTTGACGGAAATGGGTGATAATAGCTTCTCCGTCCAGTCGGCACCGGAAGAAGAATACCAGACGGCAACCTCCCAAGGATCTTCCGCACAGCTACTGTCTACTTCTAATAGAGCAAGAAGTTGGAACGTATTGTCTTTGAACTGAGTGACCTGTCCAAGAGGTGGATAGCTTGATATGGTTGGTTCCATCCCGACAGCGGGAGCATCCGGTCCAGAGATACAGACGGCGTGGAACTCGGAATCGATATCACGTTCACGTTCAGACATGATTAGAAGTGAGTGAAATAACTATTTCATTTTATTAAACAATGTAGGGGACAGACCGGTACAGAATATTATAAGAGGTAGGATGAAGTAATAATTATTCAAATAAAACAGCGGTATTATGAATTATGTAGGTGCCTAAGGAATCGAATAATAAGACATTCTTATGGTTTAAGGACAACTCGGCCAAGTTGCAACATTGAATTGTGGAAACTCTTGGGTTAAGCTCTTGGGCTTTTGGGAAGTCTTGAAAGTTCAATTCAACAGATGAGCTAAGACCCCATAAACGACCCATAAAAACTATTTGGCCAATCAAAAGTTGATTATTTCTCGTCATAGCTGCTTAGCCACAAATCGATAACGCTAATCGGAATTTAGCGGGCAGAAGGCTAAAATTTGGAGGCTTACGTCTGTAAATCCCACACGCCGCAATGCACCTGAGCTTGACGCCTCAAGCCAAACCCAAAATTTGACTTTCGATTACCGAAACCGAACCGCTCGTCCAAGATTTACATCAAACCGCTCACTCCCGACTCCCGTAATTCCACCCTCCCGCACGCAACACCCTAATGGCGTCCAGGAGACTCGCTTTCAACCTCGCGCAGGGCATGCGCAGCCGTGCCGCAAATTCTGCCATACGACCATTACGAAGAGGTTTTGCAACTCCGGTGACGTCTCCCGTTGGCGCGAAGACCCAGACCACAACACTGAAAAATGGTCTGACGGTAAGCTACCCTTAGCGGCCAATTGGGCTAATCAATGCTTCTTAAACTTATATCTGACGATAAACCAAAAGATCGCGACCGAATATTCGCCTTGGGCGCAGACTTCGACTGTGGGAGTATGGATTGACGCCGGTTCGAGGGCCGAGACGGACGAGACAAATGGAACCGCACATTTCCTAGAACATCTCGCCTTCAAGGTATTTACGGACGTATACCTCGCCAAAAGTACGCATTACTTATAGCTTCCATAGGGCACCCAGAAGAGAACTCAGCAACAACTAGAGCTCGAGATTGAGAATATGGGTGGTCATCTCAACGCCTATACCTCGGTGCGTTAAATATAGCCGGCAACATTATAATACCTATAATACCCGACTAACATATATATAGCGTGAGAACACCGTCTACTTCTCCAGAGCATTCAACTCCGATGTTCCCCAGTGCGTCGACATCCTCGCCGATATCCTCCAGAATTCCAAACTTGAGCCCTCCGCCATCGAGCGAGAACGTGATGTCATTCTCCGTGAATCAGAGGAAGTTGAGAAGCAGCTTGACGAGGTTGTCTTCGATCACCTCCACGCCACCGCCTACGCCCACCAGCCTCTCGGCCGCACTATTCTTGGACCTCGAGAGAATATTCGTGACATCACCCGGACCGAGTTAACTAACTACATTAAGACCAACTACACTGCTGATCGTATGGTACTCGTCGGTGCTGGTGGTATTCCTCACGATAAGCTCGTCGAGCTAGCCGAGAAGAACTTCTCTAAGCTCCCTACTTCTTCTCCTCACAACGAAGCCTACCTCCTCTCCAAGAGAAAGCCTAGCTTCATTGGTTCTGAAGTTCGACTCCGAGACGATACCATCCCATCCGCCCACATCGCTCTTGCCGTTGAGGGTGTGAGCTGGAACGACGACGACTACTTCACTGCTCTAGTTACCCAGGCCATCATCGGCAACTATGACAAGGCCATGGGCAGCGCACCTCACCAAGGCAACAAGCTGAGCACCTTCGTTCACCACAATGACCTAGCCAATAGCTTCATGAGCTTCTCCACGAGCTATAGCGACACGGGGTAAGTTCTCCTGTATTCTAATTTCCCCGTACTTTGTACTAACCAGTTCCAGTCTATGGGGTATCTATCTAGTAAGCGACCAGCTCACCCGTCTTGACGACCTGGTTCATTTCACTCTTCGGGAATGGTCCCGCCTTTCTAGCGACGTCACTGAGTCCGAGGTCGAGCGAGCAAAGGCCCAATTAAAGGCCTCCATTCTCCTTTCCCTCGACAGCACATCCGCCGTTGCGGAAGACATTGGCCGACAACTCGTCACAACCGGCCGCCGCCAGAGCCCTGGTGAGATCGAGCGTGTCATCGACCACATCACGGAGAAAGATGTAATGGACTTCGCCCGAAGGAAACTATGGGATCAGGACGTGGCCATTAGCGCCGTCGGCAGTATCGAAGGCCTTCTTGACTACCAGAGAATCAGGAACGACATGAGCCGAAATTTTTAGACGGACAGTGATTGGGGACAGTAGCTTGAAGGGGGGGAACTCGGTCATAGAGTGTAACGGATAATCACGCACTTCATTGTACCATACCATAAAGATTTTTCATCTGTTAGATTCCCTTGACCGGCCCAAAAGATATTTTGTTTGTGTTATCTTTTCTGCATTAGTCCCTATAATGCATGGGATGCATGGGTACCCAGGATTGGTATCCCTGAGTTTAAATTTTGTGATATGTTAATAATCAAGTTAACTCGCTATTTATTAAATAGCAAATGCAAAGGTTCTTTGGAGTCGAATCACTGATTTCAAGCAGGGGAATAGGTGGAAATTCTACCAAGTTGATTCATCTAGCCGAGTACTAGATTATCATCAAATGCCTTTTCCACTTGAGTATAGGAGACAATCGTTATAGAATACGTAGTCCACCATTACAGCATCCCATGCCAGGAAACATCGAGCTGGGAATAATTACCTCGGTCAGTAGAGTCACTCGCGCCCATGATTGCCACATGTGAGTTAATACCCCTTAGTCCGTTGAGACCCCTTATTATGCCACCCATCGCTATGTGACAAAGAGAAACTCATATAGCACATTACTATCTTCGAAGGGCAATGTATCAATGATTGCCAATTCATCATACCTAAGCTGAACTAATAAAGCCCACATTAACCCTTTTCGACATAGATAGATGGGGTATTATGCTGATAAGTGACATTATTGAGGTGCCGAATGAGATATATCGACGTCTCTATAAATTATCTCGGGAGCCATTCCGTATGGGAGACGAAAGGCATAGGTATCAATGGTTAATCATTTGTCTAAGAACCCCTGATATTTCCAGGTGTAAGATAGCCTTCTTCAGGAACAGGTAATTCTCCCAAGTTTTCTAAGATATAATATCTCCTTGTCCATGAGTAAGATGATAGCTCAACTCCGGTCAGGGGCAATTATGCTTAAAATCTCCGCTTACTTATCTCAATGGAGGATAAGTCGTCACATAGTTTACCAACAACAAAACCCTCTATTATGTTCGTGCGAAGATCTGCCATCATTTAGCTTCGAGTTTGGCACTGAAACTTGAAGAACCTAGGTACCTATGTCACAACGAAGGACCTTATTTGATACTTTAAAATTCGCCTCCTAATCAACCTGTTGAGTACCTAGGTTAGGTAGCTATCAAGGTAAATATAATTTTACGTGAGATTTCTAAGTGTAGATTAATGAAGCAATAAATCCAGGTAGCTCAGATTTTATCAAGTAAAAACAAAAAATAAATAGTTCGATCATAATACTTAACTCACGACGCCAAGAAACAGTCTCTATTCCCGTTAAAATAAAAGATCACGTTTCCTGATAAACGGATATAACGGCAGCCATCGGTGGTAGTAGATTAATATAGTCAATGAGACGTTGCCAATACTGCTGGCCAAGGCTCACTTAAGAGGCAGAATACTCCAAGTAGATATTAATTCCACGAGTTCATGTAGTAATCCCGCCGCGTCGATCTATCATATCCCGGTGAAACAGCTCTTGGCTGGCTGCTCATAAAGGAGAGGAGGCTCAGCTTCTCCAACTTGGGCCCCCTTTCACTCACACCCTTTGATTCAGACTGTGACCACAACCCGCCCCGAATAAAAGCATTATGCTAAGACATTTAATAAGACATATTTAACTTCGTACACTTACACAGTAAAAGCTATTTAAGACAAGAGGTATGTGACAGAAGACTTATTCCGAAACTCGAGCCAGAATTTAACATGATGTAAGACCACATTGGTGTTTTATATTAGAATATGTCGCACAGTAATAGAAGCACTATTTGCATCATGGATTCGTCCCGATAACATCGCCAATAACAGCACACAGTGAATCCATATATACAAGTATGGGAGAAACGTCCTTAGGGCTTAAGCTGCCCCAGCTACCTAGGTAGGTATATAACTCTCGCTACCAACCGCAATCCGTAACTGCCGCAGTGTTAAGCTCTTAAGCCTTCGCGAACTGACGAGACAGGTAATAATATTCGGCGTCCATGTCCTCCTGTACCTGTCTCCAAAGCCCCCTCTGCAACGTACCGGAAAGCCAATAGTTGCCGGCGGCATCCTTCCCGACGATGGGAAACGAGTTGCGCGTAGGCATGCCGCTGATGAGACCATTGGGCTGGACGTACGACGGACGCCCGATCTTGTTGGCCCGCTTTTCCGGGTCCGCGCCGGGACGCACTACCGCGGCCGAGAAGTCCGTATCGAAGAACTTGGCCTTGCTCCAGTTGGAGATCATCATGGGCACCATCGCGGGGTCGCCGTACAAGGCCGACTTACCCCTCTTCCCAGCCGCAAGGTCCACGGCGGCGCGTGCTTCCACCTGCGCTCGTGTCCCCTGTTCGGCGATGGATCGGCGCACTGCAGCTGCGACGTAGCCCAAGGGCCTTGCGAACAGGTCTCGCATCGATACGAATGCCCAGACGCCAGCAACAGCGTTGCCGACGTAAGCATGCGTCCGCGGAAGAAAGTCCTTGGCGAGTACCGAGCGCATGCCGAAGGCGTTCATGATGGACACCGTCTGTTCTGTGTGCTGGAGGTGTCGGAGGGCAAGGCGCGTAACCCACGCCGAAAGCACATCGCCTTCGCTGACGAACGGTTTCACCTTCTCGTCCTCGTCGGTCTGCGAGGCGAGATAGTCGAGTGCTCCCTTATGCAGGGACTGTACGTGGGCAGCTGGTACACAAACCATCCGCGTGTCCTCGCCGCGCGACCAAAATAAGGTTGTCCAGATATAGGATATGGCAAAAATTAAGGCTTGGATCGGGGCCAAGCGGCGGTGAGCCAAAACGTACGGTTCTTGCGGATCGGTTCCCAGCGACTCGAGCGGGTCTTGCAACACGCCGTGGAGCGGCTTCACGTCGTCATCCCGACCCTCGAGCACGGCTATCCAAGCATCTAGAAGCTCCTTTCGTCCCATCGCATCGAGTAGCGTGTGTGGCCACGATAGCGAGACGATCGTCGCGTCGGTAAAGGATACAATGTGCAAGCTTAGCTGCGGTGCGTCGGTGTACAAGTAGTCGCTGAGCCGTCGAGGGGCACCCCATCGGCGCGACAAAGGCGCAAATTCCTCCGGGTCACTCAGGACGGCAGGTTTCGCGGTAGCCCTAGGCAGACGACAACCAGTTGGGTGCCTAGCAATCTCGACATTGTGTTCTATGTGTGAATATGCGAAAGCCGGTCTCTTCTCGCTGAAGGAATCCGGGATGTGGTATTCAAGTTTACCATCAGCCTACAAATACATTTTCAGTTATCGGATTCTACCTTAGGTACCTATTCTAAGAAGTAGAAGGCCCTGTTCTTGGACGATATAATAAGGATAGCGAGCATACGTTGAGTCTCAGCCTTGCGCCTAGCTTACGCCAGTCACGCCGGCTAAGGAGCTTCTCTAGCGACAGGCGTAGCTTATCGGCATCCAACACGTCATCAAATCGCATTGTGAACTCGACAATAACCTTTCTGTTGATCGGTGTATCGTCGAACCGGTGTAGCGGGACGACTGTATCTGACGATATCGTCAGCGGCGACTTGATGGCCGGTTTGCTGGAAAGCATGTTCCCCATATTGTGCGAGTATCGCTACAGCACCGGGCTGCACTGAACACCGAAGGTCTAGACAAGAAATATGTTATGCGCTTCTAAGTTACAATTCCTACAACCCGGGTCGTCCACGGAGTAATAAATGGCTGGAAAAATCTGGCCATTATAGATAGTCTGCCGTAGCTAACGGGCTACGCGACTCTTTGGGGAAGTTCCCATGCAAATCAACTGTTTAGCGACCAGCTCAGTTGATATCCGAGATACCTACAGGCTATTCCCTGACGATCTCTATCATGTTTGGGCGTTGGGTCCACAGGAGTATATAACATCGTCAATAGCAACGTAACATGTTTATATCTCGTGCTGCATGCACGGGAAGGCGTCGATAGGAGGATATCATTTTTGAGATGCTCATTGGCCCAACCGGTCACCTTCCCCTTTCTGTGCGTCGATATCTTGCGAACACTTCGCATAGACGAAATATCACGGGCAAGGGTAACGACACGGATTGCGTAAGTGTTGCTTGGCAGAGACGACCATGTTATGTACCTAATGTATGTACGCATTCCTCGCGTAGCTTGGTGCAACGCGGTGCCTAGGTCTCGGGTATGAAAAGTTAGGTATTATACCTGAGACATGGGAAGAAGTGGCTGGCTATGTGATAGCACTATATAAAATAATTTGGATGATTATTATCAGTTTGCTAACGGAACACCGGAGAAGGTCAGCTTTATGGCCAGAGGGAGAAGGCTAGCTCACAAAGTTCCTACATATAATCGGATGGTGAATCGTTGGCTCTAGGGTCTATTGGTCTCACATGCTTTTAATATACTTGACGGAAACATCCGTAAGCATTATTGGTCGTTTGGTATGATAATCGGAATAGTGTGGGGGGCTCCCTTTACATCGTACGAAGTACGAGGGTATAAATGCATGCAGAATGTATGTAACGCACAATCCCTTGATCTGGTAGGTGGGACAGGGATATTCCGGCACTTGAGTCGTGGTTTTAACGTTATCATGACGATCATTTTTATTAACTGAGGTGACATTTCATTATACAGGATCACTATTTACCGGGTAAGCAGATAAGCGAGACATTAATGCTTTCGTGCCTGGTAGATTTATCTTTGGCTGCCTCCTAGATTCTTCCTTGTACTCAGTCTGGGCGCTGGTGGATTTCTACTTCGTAGGGCTTCTTTTCTGACTTACAGGTTGATAACCCTAAAAGATCGGAGTGAAAAAATTCTCACGACGCCGAATAGCTACATCCGAAAAAAGGACTTCACGGAGCTACCCCCCGAAGTCCCCGGGGCTCATTAGCCGGAGCTGTAAAAGCGGGTTCCCGCGACTTTCGACATCGTCTAGCATGATTGCGTCAACCTCGTTAAGCATCTGACGGCGGTGGGCTTCTCTTACCATTTGACAATAACATACGTAGACCAAGAAAGCTTGTCTGCAGTTGGATATGACCCAAGCAAGTCGATGCCAAGCTTCATTAAAATAAAACGATGATGCAGCTCTTCGCGTGGTTTAGCCTCGTTTGAACCACCTAGCGATTCCCATGTGAAGTAAAAGATCGTTATTACGGAACTTGGCCTCCGGATAGTTGAGTACCTATTCTCTCTGTTGTCTTCGTTGAGTCATCGCTGACCATCTATGTAGGTAGCTAATCACGCTCGGTTGAGGTACATACAACGGGATTAAAGTAGGTCGACGGAAAAGTTGAAACGCCACAGATAGGCTTCGCACGGGCGGAATAGCTGCATTTTATGCACCCACCCGATGCCAAGCGCAGGTCATATTCCGTTTTTGAAGCTGAGAAGTTGCTCGAAACTGTTGTAAACGGGACGACGTGTCCGTGACCCCGGTCCAAGTAATGTTTTACCCAACAACTACTAAATGTTGGCTATTTCAAGTTTTGAACCATGTGAATGGTTAACTCACACGCATATATATATATGGCATGAGACAGAGGAGTTATATTTTATTTGAAATCATCTTTCCCTCTCTTTATCAGCCAGTACCATCTCCTACTCAACAAAGTCATCTCTGATTTCTCATAGTTAACAACTAAGTGCCAAGACAGGGGCCAGGGTTAGTTAGGCGGCGTAGTAGTAGTAAGAGTTTAGACCAACTACCGGCTAGCTACAGGATATGAATATATATGAGGCACTGAAGTGCCTTTTAATTTCTATAGAGGCAAGCGTAAAAATACTTTTAATACTATGTGTCCTCAGGTGACAGAAGGGCATAGGTATACCACTACTTATATCAACAGATCAAGGCTTCCAAAAGAGTTAAAACATACCATTCTCAGAATAGTACAGAGCATAACCAATTAGATTTAAATGAGCGATGTACTGTGTACTTCTGGCATTTGAGGATATATGCTCGGACTTTATACCCGCTGGCTACCTGTTATTGTGGATGGTATAACATACACACCAAAGATGATCTTTGACACTAAGATAAACAGCTTAGGTAGTATAAGTATGCTATGTCCATTTCGAAGCTTGCCATGATATGTGACGCCACTTTCAATATTACTGAGCGCAGATCTATTTCAAGTTTTAAAGTATTGGGCATTATGTCTAAGACAACCTAGGTTTATGCTATGCGCCACAACATTGTTGGTTAAAAATCATCAGTAAGTAGGATTAGACTATACTACAAAAGACTGTTTATATTGAATTTTACACACTGTCGCTTATAACGTATCGAAGAGTATATTGCTGGTTACTAATTATGAGCCACTATGAATTACCCACGTAGGCGAAAGTTATACATTGGGAATCCTTGGACAAGGATCACTATTCCACGTAATCACTGTTTGACTTTTACTACGTGACTAATAAATACATAAACTAGATAAGTAACTCATGGCTCATTAAACTGTGAGATCCTTTATAAACTTCTCACATCTAATTCTTAAGTTGTGTCCCTAACGCGATAAATTGCTGCATTTTGTCAGGGTATAATGGGAGCTAGTATGGATTACACTAATCTATCAATCTTATGCAGACACCCACTGTTTTCCCACCAAAACTCACCAACTTTACAATACAATTACATAACGAACAAAATAGATAAAAATATAAACTTAATGTTTTTATAAATACAATTGATTATATTTAATTCGTATATCTTCTTTTATTTAACTACAATATATTTGCACCTTTTATTATAAAGTAAAGTTGATTAAAATATTTTCCCCACCAAAAAGTTTAGCTTTTTGGTGGAACAATTACTTTTCTTAACTTTACATAGATTCAATTTTATCATTATACCTAATAACACGTAATGACTTTTATAAATAGCTTATTTAATTAAAGCTTTAATTTATTTTAAAGACGTTATATTTTTATCTATTTTCTTCGCTATGTAATTGTATTATAAAGTTGGTGAGTTTTGGTGGGAAAACAGTGGGTGTCTGCATAAGATTGATAGGTTATTGTAAGCATAGATCGACGCTCACTTGATATATAAGAGGCGTAAAGCGCCCCTCGTAGAGGATAAAAGGTTAAGCGTTAATAGATTCATATTATTATACGGCTACTATACAGCAGCTTCGCTGCTGCTTCTAACATTCACTCTACGTGTGACATCCATCAAGGGTTCTCTCTGGCACATTTAAACTCTAACCATCACCGTCACAGCATCCATTTTAATAGCCGGCACAGTATTAACGGCAAGATTAATATTACTAATCCAATATCTAGGCTGTTTTTTTGGGCATAGAGGAGTGTTATAAAAGTAAGAGGTTGGCCAGTAAGCACCTTCAAGATAGATTGCCAATTAGCACTAGAACTTCTCACTTAACTGTCTCAAGCTCAATGATCAATTCAAGATTGATAGATGCGTGCTTCTTGCATTTCTGTTGTACTATTTCGATTCAACTACGACCGCAACTATACGTGCCGAGAGGCTGTTCAAATTAAGCAGCACATGAGTTCATTTGAGGTGGACGTACGAGCGTGAACAGATGGTTGTGAAGAAACGAGCGGATGTTATGATTTTTATTATAAAGAATTCATCGAGTGTCTCAAATAGGACCTAGGTGAATACCTTGAATGAGTATAGAGTAGGTATAGGCCATTGTCTAGATAATCTTCGCTGCGGGGTCGTGTGACTTGGTTCCCCAAGAGCTGGGATTGAGGAACTCTACTTTTACCTGCGTGTATCAAACGTATGATCTGGCTTAACAAGTGCTATTCACATGACTGGCGGTGCTTAGTCTCGGAAAACTCAGTATATTAAAAAGTCTCCTTACTTGACTTACATGTTCCATTCTCAGGACTTGAAACCATCTGCTCTTAACGTGCCATTAAGAAATCTGGGAGCTCGCCTGGAGTCTTCATGCCACATTTGGTTTGTTAATAAATACATTCATTGGATTGGGGGAATTGGAAAGGGTTAGAATATTGGTTTTGGGGTTCCTGTCGGTTGATGGTCGATGTATACAATATAATACATCAAATCTTGGAGTAAGGGGCACGTTACCACGAAAAAGAGTATCATAGGGGGTCAATGAGGCGTATCCCGCGTACGAATTAACTTGTATACACCGGAGTATGTTCTTCTCCGGTATTCATTCTCAACATAAAGTTAACGATCAGCGCATTTGGGCTATGGATAGGCATGTGTAGATAATCAACGACCACTACGTCGGCCCTACTTAAGGTCATGGCCTAGCTGCCCGACCGCAAGTAGGATTCTCAAAATGGGCCAATTATGTTTAAACACGCGCGGAACACATTCTGTGCGACAAGAATTCGGAGACGGCCCTTCGACCGTCGGCTCGAAACATCGTGTCGTTATGGAAAGCCCCATCTACAGCTTTCCTCGTCACAGGTAGTTGTAGGTCCAAACACCGGTCATAGAGCTGCTGACTGAGTTCTTTAGGAACTAGTTCATCCTTCGCTGCTTCTAGAATGAATACCTCAGGGGGAGAATTTCCGGTTTCATACTTCCGTGATATAATCCCCAGGTTCTTCCAGCTGTCGAGGTGGTTCCGCAGAAACGGCCAGAGGTACCGATATGGCAACCACTTCTGCGGGTAGAGAACTTCTAGCATGGCCCGAATTGAAGTGAATGGGGTTTCGAGAATCAAGGAATCCAAATGTACGTTTGCCGGTATTATGGCCTCGGCTGCGAGGTTCGTAGCGACACCCGCTCCAATACTTTGGCCCCAGAGGATGACCTTTGCCGAGGGTCTCGACTCTTGGTTCTCTCCACTGTAAGAATTATGATGCAGCTGAGAAATCCAGCTAAGGGCAGCGGCAGTATCCATATTGAGACCCTTTTCGGTAGGACGGCCTCGCGAAGTCCAATAGCCCCTATAGCTAAGACATGCAGTTGTGCATCGAACATTTCGATCATCCCATTGTGACGAACGTCTCTTTAGCATGCAGAGGATCGAGGAAAGGTCGGGTAAGCGAGGGGGGATGGACGAGGCGTTCCCTATCGTCAATCGTGAGCTGGATCTCGATCTTTACCCCACAGAAGCAGAAATGCAATGCAGACCCTGTAAATAGAGTATGTAGAATGCAACATTTGGCCCCGAAGACGTTGCACCAGAACCAAGTTCCATGTCCGTAATACAGAGAGCAAGATCTGTCCCGTCAGCTGCGCGGATTCTTTCTTCCCGCCACTTAATGCCGGCACACCGACTGGCGTGATCTTCGATCTTCTCCCAACGCGCATTGGGTGGTAGGCCCGGCATGTATATGATCTTATTCTGAAAAATGACCAACATCAAACACTTCCAAGTCCACAATGCGACGAATAAGCCGCTGAACACTACGGGAGCGAGCACCAGACCTTCAACGTGGTACCTTCTCCTGCATGTAAATGAGTTGTCGATGCGGGGTGTCGTGGGATACCGTGACGGGACAATTGCCAACTTTGGGATACCCCGAATGGAGAACCGGGAAAGACGGCGAATAGTCAAGAACATCGTGATTAGAAACTCGAGATCATGGTTGAATGGCTGAAGATGGGATATGCGGGGTGAAGCGATGCGCGCGAAATATGCGAGTGGATGGTAAAATTATGATGATGCATTTCTCGACATTAAAATGGTGTGCTTTGAGATGCACGAGAGCACAAAGGGAGAAGAATTCTCGATCGCGAATTGTTATACGTCGTTCTCAATATATGGGATTTTACTTTTGCATATGGAAGTTTTTAAGTTGGAGAATCTTGAGCTTTATGACGATGCCAGGGGGGGAGGGGGGGGGCAGCAGGGCAGGGGGGATGCCATCATCTTGTCCCATAAAAAAAGACTAGCGTCCCGCCTGTCAATCCTCAAGTGCTTCCAGCCTACTTCCAGCCTACTTCCAGCATAAATAGCTCTTTCCACATTTCAACCGACTTCCATATGTGTGTTAGGTACTTACCTAATATATGTTCACTAAAAGATATATCTTAACGCTTAAGTTCTTCTCTTTGGGTTAGGTATATTATTGCAGTACATACCTACGTGCTAAATAAACGGTAGCACAGCATTTAGGTATGTATACCTTATCTTAGGCATATTTTAGGTACCTATCTAAGGCAACTACCTCCTATCAACACCCGATCCAACCAGCACATTGAATACACTATCACTATCACTATCATAAACATCGTCGTCATCAGGGACCCTGCAGTACAGTGCTTGCACGTGGTACATGTCATAATGGGGCTAATATTCCCCGCTCCTAGCATCAACCTGGACTAACTAGAACTAAAGTCTAGAACTCTATTGGATTAATACATAGATATCGGTGGATCGGTGGATCGATACCACGGTACAACGACTTTACGAAATAACGCTAGCGCAGTAACCAGTAACTCTACCTCCATACCAAATTCCGCCCGGCATGTCTCCAAATATTCTACAACTTTCTTCTTTCTTAGCCTGTCCGTCACCGAGCCCGCGATTCTTCATCTTCCGTCCCTCTTCACAAACTACTTCTACCACTACCAAATCCTATAAGATGCCTGGCCAATTAAACGGCGACGCTGGTCACGAGCCATCCGCCGACCACCATATAGAAGTGGTTGAAGATGAGACCCGTTCCGAGCGGGGAGACGGCCATCCGAGCCCCGGGTTAAGAGACAGCAAAGGCTGGGACGGCAAGCTGCGAGTCGACCGCAATGCCCTCTTCAAGAATCCCGAAGCTCTGTCGGATCCCGAATATTCGGACGATGAAAACGTACTTCCAGGAGAAGAAATAAGTGCAGATGAGGGTAAGTTGATAGTTTATTTAATACCCTCTCCCTATCTTCTACTAGCATATTAATCAGCGGAACTCCTTTACTGACCGTTGGTGTAGACCTCCTTGACGATGAAGATCCCGATACGGACGATATCAGTCTTACACATTCGCGAATCTCTTCTATCTCTGCTCTCCGGTTAGAGCGATTTAAGAAGGTTGTACGATTATGCCTTCGCCAAAACCTAGTCCAGCACATCGAGGGGCTCTCCGACTTAGGCCCCACTCTAGAGGAGCTTGACCTATACGACAACCTCATTTCACACATCAGGGGTTTAGATGACTTAACCAACCTCACGACCCTCGATCTCAGCTTCAACAAGATCAAGCATATCAAGCATATCGAGCACTTAACGGAACTTACCGATCTCTTCTTCGTATCCAACAAGATCAGTACCATCGACGGACTGTCGACTTTAACAAAACTCCGTCAGCTCGAGTTGGGCTCGAATAGGATAAGGGAGATCAAGAATCTCGATGCGTTGAAGAATTTGGAAGAACTTTGGCTAGCAAAGAACAAAATTACCGAACTGAAAGGCCTGGCTGGCCTGTCAAAATTAAGACTCCTGAGCATCCAATCGAATAGAATTAAAGACCTTTCCCCTCTGCGCGAAGTCCCTCAGTTGGAGGAGTTGTATATCTCGCATAATGCCCTCGAAAGCCTTGATGGCCTAGACGGAAACCCCAATCTAACCATCCTCGACATCTCGAATAACGCGATCCAGAGCCTAAAGGGCCTGAGCAATCTGAAGAACATCGAAGAAGTATGGGCAAGCTATAACCAAATATCAGACTTTGCAGATGTTGAGCGAGAGTTGGCCGACAAGGAGAATTTAACAACGGTGTATTTTGAGGGAAATCCTTTGCAGCTGAAACAGCCTGCTCTGTATCGAAATAAAGTGCGATTGGCGCTACCACAGGTTCAGCAAATCGATGCTAGTGAGTATTCATTACAGACAAACAAAGGGTCTAATGCTAACATTCGGGATAACAGCCTTTGTCAAGGCGGTTTAACCGCGGACCTATTCCCCTAAGATGGATATTTGTTTGATGTGTAGTTTCCATATTGCATAGCACGGCGTTCGGGAGAGGTTTACCTCGAAGGATTAGTTTGGGATCGAGCGAAAATAAGCCTTCCTTGTATTTTCAGATTAAGTCTCTTTAGGATCGCTTTAGGATAAGGTGCTCATTCGGGAGCAGACACTGTTGACGTTTTCAAGCTACCGTCAGGACATGTAACTCGGCAAAAAAAGGACGAACAGTGTTCGACACTGAATCTATGTCAAAAATAGCGATACGCTCGCGCAAACGGAAAATTACGAGTTCCACAGTGTATTCATCCCGTCAGTATTGATATCACGATACGGACTGGAAAAGTCTAGTCTACCTAGACACCATTCTAGCGAAATAACTCCCATCATCACAACAGACTTTACAATAGTGCCCACAATCGTCAATGTCAACGACGAAGATCCTCTACCAGCATGCACATTAGCTTACTTAAACCTGATTACGTCAAGAAGCTCAAGCGCAGAATACAATAGAACCCGCTGTCTAACTATCGGGCGTCTGTTTAACCAAAGATCCACATCTTATCCGTGTCAAAGTACTAATTAGAGAGACATGAAGGTTAGCATGTACTTAGATTTGGAGACCAGTAGGAAGTAAACAAATAAAGAAGTCGGGAATATCTAGACTCACGTTAGAAGGCTGGTTGAAGCGAATGCCCGCATCCTTGGCAGTGATGCTGTCGATATCGGCCTGCTCAAGATCGAATCCGGTACTGTCCAAGTTCTGGGCCATGATCTCGGGACGGACCGTCTTAGGGATAACGGCAAGGCCACGTTGAGTAGCCCATCGTAGGAGGATCTGCGAGGGTTGCTTGTTGTACTTCTCGGCCAAACTAATAATCAAATCGTCCTTCATCAAGGGCACGAGGGCCTGGGCGTGCTTGAATCCGAACTCAAGGAAAGAAGCAGGACCGAAGGAAGAGTAGGCCGTAACGGCGATACCCTCAGCCTTGCAGAGATTCAACAGCTCCTGTTGCACTAAGTATGGGTGGTGCTCGATCTGCAGAGCAGCTGGGGGAATGGTTGCGTATCGCAGCATGTCGTAGATCAGTTGCGCCTGGAAGTTTGACACGCCGATCGACTTGGCCAACCCCTTGTTCACCAACCCCTCCATGGAAGCCCACGTTATGTGCAACGGAGTGTTGGATCGGACAATGGTGGACTTGCCGTCGTAGTGCCATCCCGGAGGATACCGCACGGCCGGGTCGACGTACTTTAGAGCGCCGGGGAAGTGGATCAGGTATAAGTCGAAGTAGTCAAGACCCCAGTCGGCCAAGGAGCGCCTGCAAGCGGGCTCTACCTTGTCGCCATCCTCGAAGACGGGCCATAGCTTAGACGTAATGAAGAGATCCTCTCTCTTCACGATACCCTCCTTGATTGCACGCGCCACACCCTCACCACATTCTTTTTCGTTGCCATAATCTAACGTCACGAAGAGAACACATTAGCGACCTATGATAGTTCCTAGGTAGATCTTATTATTTAGTTAAAGAATCCGCTTCCACGTATATTAATACGCCTAGGATCTTTGCATAGTACCTAACATGAGATGCAGGCCAGGGGGGTACCCCTGAAATGCTGGGCAGCGGGGTAATAATACCCGAGGAGGGGCTCTTATTACTTCTGAGGACTGACTCTTCACGCGCCAACCTCGCGATAAAGTATAAGGAAAAGATAGATGGGATAGACATACCGCAGGCGCCGTCAAATAACCGGTAGCCGGTCTTGATAGCATTGTAAACCGTGTCGGCGGCAGTGGCATTGTCAACCTTCCACAGACCGAAGCCCACCTGGGGCATTTCATGGCCGCTGCTCAGCTTGATAGTCGGAGCCATTGTAGTCGACTTTATACTGAAGTGACGATAAGTGCTAGTGATCGGATAACAGTTCGATATCCCGGGGTACTTCAATGGCACGGCGAAGCGACGGGGGAGTAGACGAGAATTACGAGAAGAGAGAAACGCAATGACAGATCGCATGGTCCTCGCGGAGAGCTGTTGGTGGGAGCAAGTCTTTTATACCCTTTTTCCCTTCCAGCCACGAGAGTAAATAAGCTACCCTGTTGACTACCTACATCTCTACATCAACAAGCCCTACCACCCGCGACCGCATTCCTTATGTGGAGATATGCGCTTGTTAAAACACATTCGCCAAAGGAGGAAAAATTGGGCTGGCCGTATCTCCCCGAATAAACCCCATACACTACAAGTACTATCGTGGGCTCATGACTTAACTGATTGGCATGGATAATACCCTCCTCACGATAGAATGAAATCAGTCCTCCGCACGAAGAAGATGAGGGGAAGCATTGGCGAGCCTCTCATTTGCTCGTTTAAAGGTAAGAGATTGGGGCCAGAAGTCGTCGGCCGCTTGATGATCCAATATGTCTTAGAGGGGGGGAGGGCGGACGGGGGGAGGCGGGTATGTAGTATAAGTTCCAGCTAGAAAGCTCGCTAGGAACAGAACCGACGAGACGAGACGTAGATCGACGCTATCTCGAAAAAAGAGAAGAAAAAAAGAAAAGCCCCCCCAACTATCTACTAGCAGCGTGGATTGCAACGTTATGATTCGCTTGGGAGAATGATTTCGCCGAGACCCGACTTTGTTTTACCTTAACCGTCGTCGATTCGTCGATTGGAATACCCTCGTTGCTATACAATTTAGCCTGAATATCAACCGTGGGTACTATGGGGGTCCACTGCGGCTAATTCCCAATTATCTCTTCAATCTCATGCTTCCTTCTCTGCTTCTGTCACATTCATCCCACGTTTCTTTGCTGGATGTAGAAGAACTCCTCTCTTTTGTTCCCCCATTTTTGACATGTTATTAATCACAATTTCTTCAAGTCCAATACTACAGGTACTAGATAACGTAGGGACCTATGTAACTAGGAAGACTCGAAGGTAGGTCTATTCGACCAATCACGGTGCAGTTATTTTATTATCTGGCCGTTGTAGATCGGACTTGGCGATCTCGTATATGCCATTTAGATCTTCGACTCTGCGGCTCCTAATCCGCGCAGGTACTCTGGCGAACGTTACCCCAATTACTTCCTATCGTTGGCCCCCCAGCGGCTCGTCTAATCAAATGCAAGCAAGGTCTGGCGCAGTCTGGTAGCAATGAACCATAATAAAGTGATCCTGATGGATATGCAATGAACGTCCGAAGTTTACCTGCCCCTATATATTATCCATGATCCTCCCACCTATATTCAAATACTACTACTCAATACCTAAAATCTAGGTAGAGATCTAGTTATCAAGGTATTTCTAAGCTCTTATATCTATTAGGTACTCTTACTAATGATGGTAGGGTTATGGACTCATGGTACTAGTATAAAACCTTTTATAAGGGAGGGTTACTCCTAAGTTAAGGATATATTCATCTTACCTTCTTCCTAAGAAATTATAATAGTATTATGAAATACCCAAAGTAGATATGGTATCAGAATCGGTTGTATAAAGCGAGGTTTCAGCATCCCTTTATTGCTACCACATTATTGTCTAATTTGTAAACCTTAGAACTTTCAGTTCATGTAAAAAAAAAATCGATTGCAAAGTGTTGATCTTTTTATTTTTTATTGTATTTTATTTTAGTTTCCCAATAACTTTCAATCTTGAAAGGCATTTTCCGGAAGCGATCTCCTCTTTATTCGGTTCACCCTAATATAATATTCCAATTGTTCTTAGTATGCCCTTTAGGTCTTTGTCTGGCGGAAATAACCTTCTCAGCCTTACATACCTACCTAGTCAACGGCCGCAATTTTTCAATGTCTGTATAATTCATAATCATCATTAATACCTTTTACAACTATAGGGTGCGCGCAAATAGAAACACGGGGTGAAGTATTGATCCGTTGTAATCATGATTAATAGTAGGGGAACGAGGTCCCGCAAGCCGCAGAATTGGCCTTATGGCAGTAATCTTCTCTTGAGTAAGAAACCACCAAGAAATTAAAGCATGCATCAGACGCTAATGTTCGGGCTCAACTATAGAGCGTATTATAAGAGGCGTTAGAGTAAAAACTCCATCAGGTGAAGACCCGCGCTTCATACGTGCCCGAAGGTCGTTGAGAAGACTCCAGCAAAGCTTCGAAGAAAACCTTCCAGGGCGTACCCAATTCCAGAGAGTACTTGGTCATGGCGGCTTTGGTCTTGCCACGCTGGTATGTAACTTGAAGGATTTGCCAATTCCCCCTTCCCAGCACTATCTTATAGACGAATAGGCCTAGCATTCCTTACTAGCCATCACCCCAAACCCGAACCCCCCTATTAAATATATCATGACAAACAAAGCGTATACCATAATTAACGGTTAGTGCTATAGTGGAAAGTGAAGACCCTCAGCGGCCGCCTCCTTGACATTGCTGTTAAGACGAGTATTAGACAGGGCGACGAAGAGAAAGAATTAAGATCTGAGATATTTATTCAGGGTGTAAGTGATCATGCGCTCTTATTAAAGTTAGTATTATTGACTTTTCAACAGGACCTGCTCAAAGGCGCAGAACACATCGTCCAACTTATCGATGTCGAGGAAAACGTTTCAGATGCCGCCAAGCTCTACAACAATCGAGATGCAAAAGTACCAGTCATGATTATGGAAGTTCTCGAGAGATCTACGCTCGCAGATCTTATAGATCGGATTAACAAGGCAAGACTTATAAATTATGGATTTGTTTATGAAGCCGAAAGTATCTGGGCAGACAGACGATGGGAGAAGAGGGAACACGTACAAATGGGCTATATTCCTAATCGAATACTATGGAGACTTTTCTTGTGCTGTAAGCCAAAGCAGACCTAGATCGTAGGATTTATTGGAAAACTACTAAAAGAAAGCATTTAGTGGCCAGAGGCATAATCGGAATGGCGTTCGGGCCTCCAATGGACCCAACTTATGTAGAAGGGGAGCCTTATCGTGAAGAGGTACGAGAAGGCCGGCAAATTAAACGGCTACTTCACATGGACCTCGATATATATAACGGTTGGAGATTTCTTCATCTAATAACCTAAAACCTAAGTACAGGTAGCTAACAGCAGACAGTCCTTATCGGAGATATTAGCCACAGCTTACTCGACCCCGAGCATGTCATGTCCCCAAAATTAAAGGTTCGTTAACTCTTTATAAAACGCGTGCCCTACTATTGCTAACCAGCTGTTTCTCTAGATAGCCGACTTCGGGATTGCTATAGAGTTGCATAACCACATGCCGGTTAACCAGTATGAAGCTTCCTTTCCTAGTTCTCCCCCGTTTTGCGTAATACTTTATACGATGCGCATTATTAGATCTCTAATGTCTGATCCGTGATTTAGGAGAGAAGCCCTGTTACATAGAGGAAAGAAAGATTTTTACGCGCCAGTAAGTTGTTTAATCCCTATTTTGGCTAATTAAATTGCAACTCACATTACGAAGGAACAAAGAGACAAAACAAATTCCGCGCGGGATCCTCGTGGCATAGGACCTTCGATCAATGTATGGGCTATAGGTTTAGTAAGTATACTCCTCTCCGCGAGGAACTCTTGAGTTTGGTAATAACCTATGGTTATCGAGTAGATCATGTTGAACCTCTTAACGTTGGCACACCCGCAAGTTTCCTCGTGGGAGGCCAGAACAAGAACATATGCTGCACCCCGCCTAGGAGATCCCAATTATCAACAAGAATTCATAACCTGGGGCTGGTTCCTGCTTGATCACGAGGAGCACCATCCTAGTCCGTTTATTATGGCATTCGACTATGAACTTCGCCTGCTAATAGCACGTTGCTTGGAGACTTACGGCCCCAGACGTCCAGTGGCAAGCCAAGTCTTGGCAGTGATCGAGACAAATATCGCAGCCACAGACGCCAAGTCTCAGCGACTGTCCGACGAAAGAATTGCCCGGGAAACGGCTGAATACAGGCAGCGTCTGATACTAGAGGAGCAGAAGGAAGCTGAAGCCATGCAATATTCTGATTACTACGATCCTGATTTTGATGATTCGCGGGACTATGGACACTCAACTCGTCCACTAAACATTCATCAAAACGACCCGTTGGCCGTGGATCCGAATGAGATGAATCAGTGGCTGGATCAGCTAGACCCTGAGGCTCCGGCAATGTCCAATAGGGAAGCGTCGCCAATTTTCTATGGTTCTCAGAGAACTGCCATCCAGAGGCAGAGGAATCCACTCCTAGTACCCGTTTCGGAATCAGAAGATTCGCATATCAGCGACCCATGGGGTTGGATCATGGGAAACAACAACCCTCGCCCTCCCCCCATTCACCCTCAACCCCTTCCCGAAGCATACGACCCGGTCCCAATATACCAGCAACCTGCTGCGGAACCCTCAACCACCATTCCGGGACCCTCAACCGCCGTCCCGGGTCCGTCCACGGCTATTCCCGAACCTCCACCACCGCCGAGGCCAAGGACTCCAGCAGCCCAGAGAATCATCACACGCAACGACTACCGCCCGCTCGGGGAATTCCAGACGCCGCCCGAGCTCGAAGACGTCGATCTGCTTGTGAAGTTTTATAACGACCACATCCGCAACCCACCTCTAAGAACAGACCCTTACGCAGAGCTATGGGGACAGAGGACTCCCGAGCCAAGTATAACCACCGTAGTTAACCCGACACCCGGGCCCCATGTCAGGTGGGGGCCAACCCCGATGCCTCCCGGGGGGCTTCCCTCTGCGATTTGGAATCCTCCTCCTCTTCCCGGATACCCCCCCGCTCCTCCTCCTATTCATGGGATTCTAAAGCGGAGACCTGTTCCGCCACCAGCACCGGGACCTCCTGGTCCGCCACCAGCACCGGGACCTCCTGGTCCGCAACCAGCACCGGGACCTCCTTACCCTGTAAGTGATGATACAGGAGGTGATGACGATATATATAATGGTAAGACTTGATAACCCCCCCGAAGCATACCCTATTACCTATTATAAGACAAGCTGACCGTGTGCAGCTACTCCCCGTCCTCCCCCCCGTGCTTCACCTCATATAAAGTGGGCCATGTGATATAGCTTACTACGATCTAGGAGGGCTGCATCGCTGTACAATACAATAGCACTCGTTGTTTTCTTCGCTTCACTTTCGTTTTTCCATTGTATCGAACATTGATTTGACTTGATGGGGCGTTAAGGAAAGAGGGATGCTTAAATAAATATATTTAGACTATTGAAGTTAGGTTAGTTATGAAATATAACGAACCGAGTCGGAATTCCAGGCATAAATCGTATCTGACTATCTTACGTCTTGAATTTATCCTTGCCATTAGACGATCAGGCATGATAAATAAACTTGGGGTATTTCTCTATTTAAGCCCGTCGTCATACATAGGTACCTACCTACAGGTAATAGGGGCCTTCCCGTCCCCAACTCGCTTTCAGGTTGCCATCAAATATCCACCATACTCACCAAGCAATTCCTTTCTATCGATGCACAATAGATCCATTAACGCCGCTAGTATAATCTCTATAAGTACCGACCTACCTACGTATGCTCTTTAGACCGCCTATCCCCTTTCCTCTCCTTCTCCTTGCCCTTCCCCTTATCCTTCTCACTCGCATCTTCCCGATCCTCGCCCCTCTCCGTAACCACCAACCAAAAAGTCCCAGCTCCCAGCTCAAGCGGGCTAGGAACCCGTACGTCGAGCTCCGCAATATGTCCTCCCAGAGCAGCCAGCTGTCCTTCCGCGCTTTCGTCCTTACCCCCGCGTGAAGTCTGCAGTAACTCGTCGACGGACAGGCCGAGAACCTGGCCTAGTTCCGCCGTGTCTAGCAGATGGGCGTCGAGCCCGCGCCAGTGCAACCACTTGATGTTCGCGGCGGCCGTGTATGCGATGGCGCGCTCCTTTGGCGTCTTCGGCTCCCGGCTGGCGGCGTTTATAGCCGCGAACGGAAGTGTGACTGCGGCGCCGACGGCCCGGAGAGCGGTGGCAACTGGGATGCGGATGGTGGCGCCTACGACGTGAACTGCCGCGCCGACGACGTTGCCCGACTTGGCGGTATCCTTAATGGTTTGGCCCGAGGCTTTAATGTGCGCCATCGTGTCCTTGCCGAAGCGCTTGGGCACGTCGCCGACGTATTGCGCCATGTCGCCGGCATGGCTGATGGCTTTCTGCGAGACGGTCGCCGCTAGAAAGCCCGATAGAGTGCGGATGAATCCGAGCCAGGTTTCCTGTGTGATTCCATGGCGTAGTAGTGATGGCGAGGATGCTTCGAGGAAAGGTGAGGTGGGGTCTGGTTTGATCTGGGGGATTGCGATCGGACGCTTGTCGCTAGTATTGGCTGCTAAAGCCGAGTATGGTGGTAGGTCACTATCGGGAGGAAAATTGAAAGGGGATGCGGCTGTCGGCCCCGTTTCCGGTATCTCTGTGAAAGTCGAGGGACCGGAGAATTCTTCATATGCGGGGAGTTCCTCATCCTGTGCTTCCTTTTCCTTCGACTGTGCCATGGTGTAGATATTAGATTATAAATAGTATATTATCTTTTAAATTTTAATATTCAGTTATACTCCCGGGTTGACTAATGGATGATTCTTGGCTAAACTTCCATGAGAAAACTACGAGTATTAATAGTAGAATTTAGAACCACCTATTAAATGAAAAATGCCTGAGCTCCGGCATGGCGATGCCACTGCGCCGCTCTGGAGGTGGGGTAGCTACTCGTTGTGAGGCCTCTGAGAACTCAGCTGATGGAGATTATATATAAATAACGAAAGCGAGAACGAAAACAGTGGAGATATATCCATAGAACTAAGTAGGTTGGTTTAGTACTTTCTCAAGAGGTTTAACTTAGTAAAGTTATGACCAATATTTTAGAATCCTTCACTTGGTTATAGCTTCGACACAGAGCTAAGCCGCCAAGTAACTATAGGGCTGAGAGATCCTCAAGAACTATTAAAGGGCGATATCCATGGTGATGTGTGGCTCTATTCTACGTACCCGCGTAGTATTTTTGGGAATTAATGTATGATACTCACATAGGTTGATTGTACTTTAAATGCCTCAGGTTAATTCGAGTCATATTGTTCGCTTGGAGAGAACCTATGTAAGGTTGGGTACTTATCCTAAGCCAACACTGCGGCGATAGAATAGGTACCCTAGGTATACGCTATAGGTGGCTAGGCACTGATCCATACAGCAACTATTAATCCTTATTGGTGCAATGCAATGCTTATCTATTGAGTGGCTTCTCATTTCACCACTTCGAAATGCGGAGCGTAAGTATAACATACTTCTTAAATATTCCTATATTCATAGCCATACTCAATTTAATTTTGCCTGTTTTGATTAGGTAAAATTGGGTTACAGTAGTTAATACCATAAGCCCTTAAGAACAATCAAGGAAGAGAACTTAGCAAAGCGTGGTCACATAAATCGAGGTGACTGATAAAACTTAAATGAAGGGTATATACTTGCATTCGACTTGTGTCAAGGTCAAGCCACCGAAGTAACCAATTTATTGGTGTTACCTAGGTTTTTACACTTGTGCAAGTCATCAAGAAACTAAGTCTGACTATGACCACTAGACAACAGAGTATATTACCCTGCGGCTTGTCAACACTATCCATCATAAGACTCAAACGGACGGGAGATGATTGGAGGCTTCTCGGCATTTCCGTAATGTAGTACGGCTATGTGGCATTCAGATGAAGTGCCACCGACGATCGTTGCCAAGGTGCGTGATGTAATATGATAAGGTCTCACCCCGTCCTATCCAACTTCACGGCTCCCCTTAGACAGCCTCTGCATATATATAAGGTTCGGCTTTTTTTGTTTCATGTTTCCAGGAGTCGCCGTGTATAGCACGTTATCATTGACGTAGTCGGCTTTATTATCGCCTTACCCTTGAGAACCTGGGGTAACGTTCATATGGACTTTCTATAATAGGCAGTTCAGAGCATCGCCGACCCACTTGATCACTCAAGCTGCATTGATATCCCGGACTTCCTTAATTACTTTCTTGATTACAAGATACTATAGTATTATCCACCAGGTACACAACATATAGGTAATCAAGAGACACTTCAGATGGTGAACTAGATATCCCGTCTCTATAACGTATAGGCTCTTTATTTGCTCTAGATAGTAAATAATAACTTGAGCATGTTTTATATATGTTAGAAAATTATGGTTGCCACTTCATCTTGTGATATCAATCAATCTCGATGACTGACTGAAACATGCGGGAAAAGGTAGCATATGCAAGACATTAGGGTGGCATGAGGCTCTAGGCTAACAGCTACCTAAATCAAACACTCAATCTGGAATGCAACGACAAGGATAAAATAGGAGGTGCGGGAGGAAATTAACTACTTAACGTTGCACTTCATTCCAGCATGCGGATGGACTTAAACACACCTAACGTACGTAGGTATCTATCTATATATGTATGAGGGAGTGCATCAAGTGTTGTTCGATCTTTGATTTCCACCTTGTGTCGTTGCCAACCGGAACCCATCCTACTCCTGAAAGATCACTTAGTCGTTAAACTTAAGTATTCGGACCTAACATGCATATCTCTCGAGCTGTAACAACCGCAACCGCCGCGGCGGCACCGCGGTTCGCCATGTACTACGACCAGTGGCACACTGCATCTCCCAGCAAGGACCAGATGGCCGGAGTAACACATGTAATCACCGCATTTGCCGGCACTACACTATTCACAAGCGACCCGGCCGGCTCTTACTCGCCGTTCGTAGACGTAGGAACACTCCGCAACCAATTTCCTGACGGAACAAAGATGTGTGTAGCGATCGGAGGATGGGGTGACACTTCCGGATTTTCCGTCGGCCAAAAGGACGATGCATCGAGGAAGACTTACGCGAAGGGTGTTGCGGCGATGCTCGAAAGCCACGGTTACGACTGCGTTGGTAAGTAGCTCTAATTCCAAGAGAATAAAACAAAATAAAAATCCGCAAGATCTATATCGTTAGCTAGGTTCTAACCCTCGGTAGACGTTGACTGGGAATACCCCGGTGGTAATGGCGAAGATTATAAGCAGAACCCCAACTCCGGCAAGGTCGACGAGATCGCCAACTACGCCTTGCTACTGCAGGAAATCAAGTCAGCGATCGGCGACAAGGAGCTTTCCATCGCGGTTCCCGGCCTCGAAAGGGACATGATTGCCTTCACGTCTGAGCAAGTCCCCAAGATCAACGCAGCCGTCGATGTAGTTAACGTAAGTCGCACGTATACCGGTAACACGCTCCAGACAGAGGCTAACAAGAGCTCCTCCCCGACAGGTTATGGCGTACGACTTGATGAACAGGTAAACGCTACCTACCAAACGCGATATCCGTCTAGCAAACACCCAACTAACCCTACCCCTTCCATAGACGCGACACCCAAACCACACACCACACCTCCGTCAAAGCATCCCTAGCAACCGTCGACAAGTACATCTCGCTAGGCATGGACGCCTCCAAGCTGAACCTCGGCTTCGCCTTCTACGCGAAGTACTTCGTCACGCAAGGCGAATGCACGCAGCCGATCGGGTGCCCCACGGTCGAACTAGAGGACGCCAACGGCGGCGACACAGGCAAATCCGGCGCCGTGACGTTCCTCGAGGGGCCCCCGGTGCTATCCAGCGGGACGGCCGACGCCGAGGAAGGCGGCCAGTGGTACTGGGACGCGGCCGAGAGCAAGTTCTGGACGTGGGACACGCCCGACTTCATAGCGCAGAAGTTCGAGCAGATTGTTAAAGCTAGGGGGCTGGGCGGCGTTAGTAAGTTTTATCTACCTACCCTATTTCTTGTTGTCCATCGGTATACCTATTCTCTGGGAAAGGGGGGGAAAGAAGCTGACTTGTTCGCGTGCAGTGGCTTGGAGCTTGGGTGAGGATTCGGCAGATTGGACGTACGTCAAGGCTATCCAGGCTGGTTTGGCCACGCTATAAGCGATCACGTTGTGATATCCCCTCTTACAGACGGGTTTGTTCGATGCCATTTCGTGTAAATATTTTCAGCCGAGACGTTGGGTCTTGGGACCTTTGTATATACTATAACTTCCATGCATTATATCAAATCAGTATATCTTGAGCATAATCGATTTTCTACCACAAAAATTGCCTGTTAGTCTAAGAAAGTAATAATTGGATCTGATCATGAAACAAGATTTCATGAGAAAATGTAGTCCATAGCCCCAAAGCTAGGTGGAAATCAAGGCTGCATTTGATTTAGCACAGAATGATATTTGATATAGAGTAGGCAGTACCGCTATATTCAGAGATTATCGGGTATCTAAGACCGTACGAAAGGACAAGACCTACTATTCGCAGGCGATTTCCGATTCATTAACAATTCCGCCCAATCCTACAAGATCTGTCCCACTACTCTTCATCTTCATCAGAAGACTCCTCATCCTCATCGTCAAAATCTTCCATTTCTTCGTCTTCCTTCTCCAATCGAGCAGCGTTCTCTTCCAGCGCCTCCTGCTGCTCTTCCTTTCGTTTCCGCTCGTCCTCTTTCCTAGCCTGCTCTAGCATCTTAGCCTTCTCCGCTCCTGCCTTTCTCTGAGCAACGACATAGGCGCCAACCGGCGTCTTTTCCCACTCGAAGTCCTTTAGGAACGCATCGACCTGTGACCGATCTCTAGGCGCAAAGTCGACCTTGGCCCTTTTACCTTCGATGAACTTCGTATTTGCCTCAAGCTTTTGAACTAGTAAGACAAGGCCAGCGCGAAGCTTGCTATTGTTGTTTCCGCCTGTCTTCTTTCTTGACTGCTTGAGCCATCGCTTAAGCATGATGATAACAGGCAGAGCAAACTCAGGGAACGCTATATTCGTAGACCATAGGACAAAGTACTCCGAGAATAGCTCTACTACCTGTTCCCCGACTCCGTCTTGATAAACTCGTGTCCGTAGATATGCCTTGGGGGCCTTGTAGGCTATGTGGAAATCGAGAGGCTTAATAGTTGACTGCTTTGGTGACTTCCTTATTTCTGCGGAGTTTAAGACTTCTAATAGGGCTGATGCCAGCGGGATATAGGTTCCAGTCGACCGTGAAACACGAAGAAGCGACCTGATCATATGGAATCGAAGAGGGAAATAGGTTGCGGTCGGTATTAGGCGCATGGCGCCAAGTGTAACTTGGACAAGCGGGTAGATGAGGGGCCTGAGCTGGGATTCTTTCCCAGTTTCCGCCTCCTTTAACGGACTGCAATGCTCCGATAGTACACAGGACCAGAAATCCACCGAGTGTACATACTGCCAATTGTAGATGGTTCTATACGAGTCGTTCTGGTTATGTACGATGCTGTTGCGTAGGTGGATAGCAAGTTGGCGGATGAAAGTGAAAGCCGTCGTATAGCCAATATTTTGGTCTAGGGCCCAGAGCTCGGCGGCAGAATTTTTCATTAAGTTGATTCCTTGTATCGTGTTGACGTTTGTCACACGAGATCCTGCGACTAAACCTTGGTAGGTTGCTTTCAAGACAGCTTCTCTGATACCTTTGTCGCCCACGACGACCAGTCGTCGCAAAACTAAGAAGGCAGTAATTCGAGTTGAGTCGCTACTCGTCGATTGCGACCAGAATCCGACAACAGCTTTGATCAAACTTTTCAGTAGCTTTCGGAAACTCAAGAGGTAAGGGACAAGAGGCGTGATGGCAGATAATGTCAGCTTGAGGGTAGCATCGTCTGATAGCGTGCCGACCAAGTATAAGATGGAGG